GGTTTTAAGAGATAGGTTCCTGAAATTTGACTTCTATCAGTGCGACACAAGCTCGTTAACTCCTAAAGAGTTCGAAGAAGTGGAAAACGAGTCCGAACTGTGTGTTTCAGACTTTGACGGATCTGATTGTTATCTCGACAGTGAAGAAGACGATTTACACTTAGCCTCCACCAGTAATGAGGAGACTTGCGTTTCAACAGACTCAGCGGAAGATCTGACTAATAGCTCACTAAGTAGGAGAAAGGAGGGGAACTAAAGTTACGTGCTTTGCCAAGAGAAGGCGCTAAATCCTTTTCAAAATATAGCTAGCCTTGTGCAGGTTATGTCACTTTCAACGTAAACTCATCGCAACTCATACGTAATTAATGATAGTACTTACTAGGACTCATCGCCTTTGACGGTGGGTGGGTTTTTTGAATCCTCGGTGGGTAAAGCGATTACCCGGTAGGGATAAAATGTTACCGGGTATACTCAGTGATCATGTCTGGATATCTGTCTTTCAGCACAGGGGACGAATTTGGGTCGTCAACAGTCCTCACGGATCCAGATCACTTACAAGAGATCACTTACAAGAGAGATCAAAAGCCCAGCGTATCCAATATGAATCCACCACGAACGCAAGAAGTTGAATATATGAAGACTGAGTAAGAGGTCAAAAGCAAGCCGCTAGATAACTCCACTAGCTCTCAATTAGATGAATCATGAGTGACAACTCGTCAAATGCTTGCAGCTGATTCAACGTCAATCCCGTGAAACGTGATCTCTTTTCTAAAGCTTCTAAAATATTGAACAAAGCGTAGCCTACTATGAGCACGATACGATTCTCGGCCATGTGCCGCGCTCTTTAGATTTAATCTCCTTTAGACGTTCTTCGGCCAATTTCAGATTTCCATATTGATTATGAACAAACTTGCAAGCTTCTCCAGGTGTTGCGAATTTTCACATACAATTCCGTATGTTATAATATGAGTATGTAATGAGTAGCGATATCTAAAGGGTCTGGGTTTTGTTATAAACAAAACCCAGACCCCTTTTAAAACCCCTACACCCCACGTGTTACACTCTCATTAGCCAATCAGCACGCTTCGTTTAAAGGTAGTGAAAATTTTCCAAATTGACCACCAGAACCACGAATCGCCTTCTTCAATTTTCTCACAGACAGTCCGGGCCGGGTTAGCCAGTGAGATCCCGAAGCCCCTTTATAAAACCTGCAGCATTTACAAGTGGTTAAAAAAATCCTATACTTTCATTTAGAAAAACAGACTTCGTCAAAACCTTTTTATCCGCTTGGTGGATATTCTGTTGTTAACGTAAAGCCTGTAGTAGCCTCTACACTAACAACGGACGATGGTGTTGCCAAGATTGTACGCCGCTACGTCGCGTGGGGCCTTCAAGGCCGCACAACAAGCAAGAACGCTTGCTTCTGCTGCCGCTAGTGCTTCGCAAGGTAAGGTCAGAGCTGTTATCGGTGCCATTGTGGATGTTCAATTCGAACAGGGCCAATTGCCTCCTATTTTGAACGCGCTTGAGATCAACACCCAACAGGGCAAGTTGGTGCTCGAAGTCGCCCAGCATTTGGGTGAGAACACCGTGAGAACGATCGCCATGGACGGTACCGAAGGATTGGTTCGTGGTGAAAGTGTCAGCGACACTGGAGCTCCTATCTCTGTGCCAGTGGGCCGTGAGACCCTGGGTCGTATTTTGAACGTCATTGGTGAGCCAATTGACGAGCGTGGTCCCGTGAACACGAAGCTCAAGAAGCCTATCCACGCCGAGCCTCCTGCTTTCATTGACCAATCCACCGCTGCAGAAGTGCTCGAAACTGGTATTAAGGTTGTCGATTTGTTGGCTCCTTACGCCAGAGGTGGTAAGATTGGTCTATTCGGTGGTGCCGGTGTCGGTAAGACCGTGTTCATTCAAGAACTGATCAACAACATCGCCAAGGCACACAGGGGATTCTCTGTGTTCACCGGTGTCGGTGAGAGAACCAGAGAGGGTAACGATTTGTACCGTGAAATGAGAGAAACCGGTGTCATCAACCTCGAAGGTGAATCCAAGGTCGCCTTGGTGTTCGGTCAAATGAACGAACCTCCAGGAGCCAGAGCCCGTGTCGCTTTAACTGGTTTGACCATTGCCGAATACTTCAGAGACGAAGAAGGCCAGGATGTGTTGCTCTTCATTGACAATATTTTCAGATTCACTCAGGCCGGTTCCGAAGTGTCTGCTTTGTTGGGACGTATCCCATCTGCCGTCGGTTACCAACCTACTTTGGCCACAGATATGGGTTTGTTGCAAGAAAGAATTACCACCACCAACAAGGGTTCCGTTACTTCCGTCCAAGCCGTTTACGTGCCAGCCGATGACTTGACTGACCCTGCCCCAGCCACCACTTTTGCGCACTTGGACGCCACCACTGTGTTGTCCAGAGGTATCTCTGAATTGGGTATCTACCCAGCTGTCGACCCATTGGACTCCAGATCCAGATTGTTGGACGCTTCTGTCGTTGGTCAAGAGCACTACGACGTTGCTACCAACGTCCAAGAGACTTTACAAGCTTACAAGTCCTTGCAAGATATCATTGCCATTTTGGGTATGGACGAATTGTCTGAACAAGACAAATTGACCGTCGAGAGAGCCCGTAAGTTGCAAAGATTCTTGTCTCAACCATTCGCCGTTGCCGAAGTTTTCACCGGTATCCCAGGTAGATTGGTCAGACTCAAGGACACCATCGCCTCTTTCAAGGCTGTTTTGGACGGTAAGTACGATCATTTGCCAGAAAACGCTTTCTACATGGTGGGCGGGATTGAGGACGCCGTTGCCAAAGCTGAGAAGTTGGCCGGTGAGGCCAAATAATAGGTGCAATCCCCGAAAAAAATTCAAAACGCAACAATTCATGCATGTACAGAAAGTAACAGTTTGAAAAGATACATTTATGATGATGATGAGAAAATGCTGTTGTTGGCCTATTTTTTTCTACACCTGCCGTGAATCCTTTCACTAAAAGGCCAGCTATGGGAATGCCATTTAAATACAGAACTCAATCCTTTTTTTATATTCAACTTACTAGTCAAAATTCCGAAGAAGACGTTTATTATACACATACACTTGGCTTTTTGTAGGCAGGGGTTCTTCAGATTCAAGAGCTCCTATGGAACAGCGTGGCTCTTCCTCGAAATTAACACTGATCACGTGATTTCTTCGGTTTTCCCAGATTTCGATACGATTATTAAGGAATTACTCGGTGAGAAGTAATAACTCTGGGGTTTTGATTCAAGTCTTCAATGCCGTAAACTCGAGATAATTTAGCAATCCGTGGGACATGGCGAGAGTTGCAGCGGTAAAAGGGTACACAAATTTAATTTCGGCGGTTAGAAATTACAGCGACACGCAAAAGATCACTAAAGCATCAGTAAAGTATTGTGCTTTACCGCAGAAGTCATACATTAAAGTACGAGGTCCCGATAGTGTACCATTTCTCAATGGATTGACAACATCCAAACTTTTACCCCTATATGTTAAAAAAAATCTCACAACGATTGGAAGTGACGAGACTAGCAAGCTGATTGATATAAAGGACTACGACTATATTAAGGGTAATGCTGGTTTATTTAACGAGTTTGGTGAAGATGGGCCATATATCTCACGTTTTGGGACGTACACTGGGTTTTTGAACAGCAAAGGAAAACTGCTTACAGACTCGATCATTTATCCGACTCCAGTTTGGCCCGAAGATGTCTATGCGAACAAGTTCCCAAGATTTTTATTGGAGCTTGACCAGAGTGTCATTCCTCGCATGTCAGCGATTCTGGAGACTCACAAATTGCTGCGAAAAGTGAAAATCGAAGTCGCAAGTCCCGCAGAGTTCAATACCTGGCATTTGTCAATCAAATTACCCTTACCTGCGCCCAAAGAAATGAACCCCTGGATTGAGAATCTCGTAGTACCTTCAGAATCATTGAAAACCCCTGATATCGCTCTCCAATTTGCTCGGCACGTTTTATCGATGCTGTTCCAAGGCAATGAGCACAAAGTTTGTGGAATGTATTTGGAAAAACGACTGCAAAATGTTTTATATGAAGACCCAGAGGCCCCACAAGATTTCAGAGTAGTAACTTCTCCTGAAGTGGAAGATATCGCGTCCATCTTCAATTTCGAGATGATGCCCTTTCAGTTCGATTGCTCAGAAATCAGCGTTTCAGAGGCACGGCGCACGAGATACAAGCATGGATTGCTCGATAGTTTGTCCGATTTCAAGGCAGAATCGTTGCTCCCCTTGGAAATGAATTTCGATTATCTACCGAACGCCGTCAGCTTTGACAAAGGATGCTACGTTGGTCAAGAACTTACCGCTAGAACATACGCGACGGGCGTACTTCGAAAGCGATGTGTGGCTGTCCGAATTGATAATTTCGCAAAACTGACATCTTCAACGCGAAACACATACTTCGACATTAAAAGCTCGCAAACATCATCCAGGCCGGTCGATTCGGCGCCGTCCCCATTTCAGAATGCAAAAGCAGGTGCTCGAAATCGGCGTCAAAAACCCGCAGGAACGCTTTTATGTCACGAAAAGGATTTCGGGGTAGCTCTGCTTAGAACCGAGTTTTTCAAATCACTATTTTCGCGTGGGGAAAATGGAGATTTTTACATAGAGGAACCTGTTTCTGGGGATAAGATCACGATTATTCCACAGAAGCCATTTTGGTATGATGACTGGCTCGATGAAAACCAAGATACTTTATGATGAGAATGTACATATTTATTGAATCTCGTAAACTTTAAGTTTTGATTTGAGGGCGCGCACTGTAGATTGTCCGCACTGTCAGGACTGAGATTTGTCTTTGAATTAATCCATTCTCAAAGCTCCTAGCTGTACTCATCGCAGGTGCCGGTGCTTCACTTAAAAACTCTGTGACTTGCTGAACCCAAACATTTATAACATCCATACATTTTCTGGTTTAGATTTTTTTATTTTCAAAAAAATAGATCCATGGGATGCTAGCGTCGTCGTTTGCGTCCCACCTTGGGTGAGATCCGCAACATGCCCGAGGCAGGATGCGCCGCAGTGGTATGGCAAGCTCTAGGCAGAGACTGGGACGAGCGCTGGTGGGAACCACTCGGCTTCCGCCTACCGTTTGATCCTGGATTGGGGGCGGCGAGCCCTCTGCGACGCTAGTCGGTCTGCCAGGCTAGGCGGAGAATCGTGGGATCTGCTTGGCCTCAGGGTCGCGTGCTGCGTTAGCTCGTAACTTTTCACCATCTTTTCGGAACCCGCAATGAAGCCTGTGATAGAAAACATTTTTGGCTTGTTTAACTCGTTAGTGTGATAATAGCAAGGACCTCAGAGTGCACCAACATGTCTGATCACGAAGCTCCAGTTGAAGTTCAAGAAGAGTTCGAAGTCGTGGAGGAATTCACCCCAGTTGAATTGGCCACCCCCATTCCTGAGGAAGTCCAACAGGCTCAAAATGAGATCAAGTTGTTCAACAAGTGGTCTTTCGAAGATGTTGAAGTGAAGGATGCCTCTTTGGTCGACTACGTCCAAATCAGACAACCAATCTTCGTTCCTCACACTGCTGGCCGTTACGCCAACAAGAGATTCAGAAAGGCTCAATGTCCAATTCTAGAGAGATTGACCAACTCTTTGATGATGAACGGTAGAAACAACGGTAAGAAGTTGAAGGCCGTCAGAATTGTCAAGCACACTTTGGACATCATCAACGTCTTGACTGACCAAAACCCTCTACAAGTTGTTGTTGACGCTATCACCAACACCGGTCCAAGAGAAGACACCACCAGAGTTGGTGGTGGTGGTGCTGCCAGACGTCAAGCCGTCGATGTCTCTCCTTTGAGAAGAGTCAACCAAGCCATCGCTTTGTTGACCATTGGTGCCAGAGAAGCCTCTTTCAGAAACATCAAGTCTATCGCTGAAACTTTGGCCGAAGAATTGATCAACGCTGCTAAGGGTTCTTCCACCTCTTACGCTATCAAGAAGAAGGACGAATTGGAGCGTGTCGCCAAGTCCAACCGTTAAGAAAAAGCTCAGCGAGATTTTGTCATCTGTACTTTTTTCTTAATATCTGTACACTTCGTAGCTCTCTCACTACGCTAAAGGGGAATGTAAGAATCAATTTAAAATATATAACTCTTTAATCATCTGTTAAAGCCTCACACCAGGCGCGCGTAGCTTAATACCTCTAGCTTCTGCGTTGCATGTCAAAACCTACAGATACCGAGCAATCGAATTTTCAGGTTTTCGTGTACATTTAAATAAGACTTTAAACCTTAAAACCTACGGAGCAAACGTCAAGATCGCGATGTAGCTTATCGGTGGGTTTTTTCATTCAAAATCTCGGATCCGCTCTAAGCTGATGATAAACAGCGTCCCAGACTGCCATCCTTTAACTCGAAACTCGAAACAATGAGTTGATCAATCAAAGTATCGCGTTTTAAAGTCTGGATTTGTTCAAAGAGATTCCTACGTCGAACATTTCAAGCAAAGTCCGAGGCTCGAATGAGGCCGGCGGCTATTCGTATGAGAGTACACAGAAATCAACAAATGCGAAGTGGAAGTAAAAGCATAAATTATTCACATTAGAGCGACAAGACTAACTTAAAGAAAGTAAAGCTCTAGCAGGCGTTAAAGAATTTTTAAAGGTTGACCGGGAGCGCCGCTGTTTATTTTCAGTGGTGGGCTTTTTTTCGGCGCTCAAACGACGCCAGGATTTTCAAGTGCTTGAAATCGATATGATAATTCGGCTTAGGAACACACTGTCTTACGCTCGCAAGCTTAAATTTGTGTTGGTAGTTCTCATCGTATAGCACACCGATGTGCTTTTCCAATCAGGCAGATTATCACAATTTGAATTATTTTTGAATCGTTGTGTAATCGGATGATTTGTCATCCTGGAAATGCGGAGTTGCACACGGCTGAGGAAACAAAGGATTCCGCGGATCATGGGAATGACGCTGAGCGGCAGCGCACACAAAGCGCTCCTCCGCTCATATTGAGATGCATGGCAACAGGAGTCCGGGCCGCGCTATTTTAATGGTAAACGCTCGAGATTAGCATTTAAAAGGAAAGGGCATTCGCTGTACCCGCTCTTCAATCAACACCCGAATTATAACCACATCAAGACCTCGCCATGAACGTGTTGATCGTTTTCGCGCATCCAGAAAGACACTCTCTGAACGGAGCTCTGCTAGACGTTGCGGTGCGGGACCTGGAAGCGCAGGGCCACAAAGTGCAGGTATCTGACCTCTATCGCCTGCAATGGAAGCCAGCTGTCGATCGCAGCGATTTCCCAGATGTTGGGCAAGGTGATCGGCTAAAAGTAGCATCTGCGTCAGCAAGAGATTTCACTGCTGGAAATCTGACCGAAGACGTCAAGGCCGAGCAGGAAAAGCTCCTTTGGGCCGATACCGTCATTTTCCAGTTCCCGCTCTGGTGGTTCTCGATGCCCGCGATTCTCAAGGGCTGGATTGACAGAGTGTATGCGTGCGGGTTTGCTTACGGCGTGGGAGAGCATAACGACAAACGGTGGGGCGACAGGTACGGCGAAGGCAAAATGGCTGGGAAACGTGCTATGCTCGTCGTAACGACAGGAGGGTGGCCAGAGCACTATTCTGCTCGTGGAATTAATGGCCCCATCGACGATGTCCTATTTCACATCACGCACGGTATGCTCTTCTACCCAGGCTTCGCCGTCTTACCATCCTTCGTAGCCTATCGTGTTGACCGCCTAAACGAAGCCCAGTTTGCAGATGTGTCCGCACAGCTTTGTAGCCGGCTACGTGAGCTAGAGACAGCTTCGCCCATCGCCTACCGGAACCAGAATGGCGGAGACTACCAAATTCCGTCGATGGAACTACTTGAAGGCTTGGAAAAGTCCGGGGAAACTGGGTTTTCGCTGCACGTAGCAGCACCGTAATTGCGTGACAAACACCTGTCACGTTTTTTTTTGATTATGGCCAAATGGAACCGTTGCCCCCAAAGTCATTATCATGCTTGAATGACGAGCAGCGGTCAGAGAGGATACATCTAGGGGATGAACTAAACTGATTATGATAAAATAGAATCAGAAGTAGCTTTTCTGTAGCTCTATACTCTAAGCTTTTCTCGAGTTACATTGATATTGAATTGATACCGAATCGATATTGGCAAATAGTTGGAACACAGCAGGATCGGACTTTGAACTTCAAAAAACTTTAGAATGCGAGAATTTACGGACGAACATGGACTTCCCAAATTACCACTAGCTTCGTTGGAGAGGACTTTTGCAGAATTAGAGGAATGTATAAAACCACTCTGGTTTGCTGACGGCTACTACAAGCATCCTCTCGATCCGGAACATGCGTACGATCTGTCCGGCAAAATTACTGATTTCTTGAAAAGCAGCGTCTCAACGAAGCTTCAAAGAAAATTGGAGGAATTCTACGGATCGAAAAAATGTTATTTCGATGGGCTGCATTTGGATATCGACGGTTATCTGGGAACTGACGGCCATCACGACGTTCTTCCACGGAATCCGTTCCTTGTACTTGCTGAGGACGCTGTGCCTGATATTTCTCAGGCAGAAAGAGCTGGAATTTTGTGTTACTCCGCTGTGCGGTTTGCTTCAGCGCTTAAACGCGGTTTACTTGCCCCAGACATGGGCTCCGGGGGTCGCAGACTTTCTATGTCCGCATATTCTAATCTTTTTGGGTCTACCAGGTGTCCCGTTTTCAGAGAGGGCGAGATCGATGCCTTTGATCTCAACAGGGCATATCACGAAAACGATCTGGACGACTACGACTGCGGTCCACGTGAAGCTTGGTTTTCAAACGACGACGAACCTGCCCGGTGTAACGGGATCACCATGAGAACTGCGCCAGATTCCAAACATGTTTTGATAATTTCGAGAGGCCAATACTATACTTTAGAGGTTTTGGATCAAGACAACGATTTGATTTACAACGAGCTGGGATTGGCAGATGCGCTAAAAAGCATTCTGGAAGACTCTTCCAAGCCGCAAAACGCGCCGCAGATCACCGCCCTTGGAAGTTTGACCTCATACTCGATGAAGACATGGAGATACGCGCGGAAAAGACTCCAAAAGCGGTTTCCTGAGGAGATGAAGACCATCGACACTGCACTTTTTGTTCTTGTACTGGATGAGTCTGTCGGTGCTGGTCTTGGTTTTAGCGAATGCAAGAGATTATTTAATGGCACCAGTGTCATAGATGAAAACACGGGATTTCAAACGGGGTCTTGTATTTCGCGGTGGTATGACAAATTACAGGTCATCGTTACCGCGGATGCTAAAGCGGCGGTCGTGTGGGACTCTTATACTTGCGACGGATCAGCTGTCTTACGTTTCACGTCTGATATGTACGCAGAGTCCATCCTACGGTTGGCTCGAGAGGTAAATGGCGATGACCCAAACTTTTCTCTGTGGCCCTCGGTCTCCATGCGTGCTGGAGATGGGGAAGAATTCATTGCGGCGGCCAATGTGCGGAAGATTGTATGGTCTTTTAGCAAGATTTTGAAAACGCACATTCATTTATCTGAAACCAATCTGACAGATCTCATAAGCAAGCACGATATTGTGCAAGTACGGATACCATATGGCCGTCGAGCAGCTCAGCAATACGGGGTGAAAGCTGATTCTCTAATACAGGTGGCTTTGCAGGTAGCGCATTATGCCCTTTATGGCAAAATGGCGTTTACCTGGGAGCCGGCATCGACGCGCTATTTTCAAAATTGTCGATCCAGCTGCGTCCCTATTCAAAATCAGCGCATGCTTGAACTGTGTCAAGTCTTTATTTCTAACTCTTTGAGTGAAACTGATAAACTCGAAATGTTTCTTGATGTGTGCCATTCGCATACCCGCTCTCTCGATGAAACAAAACATGGGAGCTCATTTGAGAAACATTTTGCCGCGCTGCGTTATTTATTTCGATTTCATCGCCATTTCGGCATTGAAATGGAAAAAGAAGAGCTGAAGATTGCGTCTTCTCTTTTCACCAGCGAGATGCTCGTACCCCTCCTGGCGCCAGAAATTATTGCTGCAAACTGTGGGAATCCAGCAATGCTCGCGTTTGGGATCAACCCTGCCGTTTCGCAAGGTTTTGGCATCGGTTACATCATCAAAGATGACCAATGCGAACTCACGGCCACTTCTCAGTTCCGGCAGGGAAATAGGCTTTTGTTTATGGTGCATAGTGTTCTAGCCGAAGTGGATGATTATTGGAACTCAAATAGAAGTACGAGCAGCTCTTCTGCGACAACCGCAGTCCCAATAAATGAAAAGCTCTATGAGCTCGATAATGCTGGTGCAAGTGGGAGACATAAGGGCCCACGTTTGGTTCAGGGAGGAAGTTTAAATCGTGGATTTGGTCTATTTGATCTCAACGAGCACATCAAGAGTCGTTCTCCTTCGCAGCACGGCTCTAGGAATAATTCCTCAGCAAAACTTAACGAACTGCATCGGCATGAGGAATTCGCACCAAGTCACCTTTTTGAAAGATTAGACGCTACTAAAGAGGAAATGGAGTCCACCGGACGTCAAATTCTCTTGATCAATCCAGAACAGAAGCTCTCGCAGGAACCATCTTTCTCGAAGCTAGAATCCTCGCCGCGTCCAAAATCGAATGTTATCAGTAGTAGGTTTGACATTGATTTTGAGAGAGGACTAATTGGGAAGAAGGTATTCCAAACATCACAGTAGCTGATTTCTTTGGAACTTTAACAGTTGGGATGGATATATGCTATGTAACTTCAATCTAAATGTTACTCATGAATTGGTTTTACTCAAGATCTCTGCGTCTGCATGTGAGAAAGATGCAAGCAAAACAGTGTCAGCAAGAAGAACAAAACTGCCGCTGATCGTGAAACAGCTCCAAAGCAGACCCTTTTCCGCAAGTAAGCCGGTGAAAATAGGTCCAATGCACCGGGAAAACGTTTTCCCCATATTCACGATACCCATTACTCTGGTAAGATCGGCAGGTTTTATGATGCTGGTTAACAAGATCTGTCTCGGTGTCACGTCCATGGCCACTGTGAGATTGTATAGACTGAAGAGCAAGACCGATAAGGGAAAGTAGAACTCAGCGAAAGGGATAAGCATGAAGAAGAGAGCAGAGGGCACCTGGGCGACTAAGGTCGCTTTGACAGGCCCAAATTTGCGGGCCAATATCGACGAAGGTAGCGACGAGAGCGCCATTATTATTCCAGCACTGAAGAAGAGGGTACCCAGAGCCACTGAAGTGAGTTTAAATACCGTGGAGTAGTAAAATACCATCCAAGCACTTGTCATAAATCCGACGCCGAAGGAGTCTAGCATGAAAACGATCAACAGTCTTACAAGCACGGCGTACGTCTCTGGCGACAAACCTCTGGTTGCGCGACGCGATTTCAAAAGGACTGCTGTCTCTTCTTCCACTGTCTCGGGGAGTGTGTTGTTCGAATGACCTGTCTCCGCCGCATCGGAAAGAAGAAGAATGGCGACCAATTTTGCAGCTGCCAAAACCGCGTAGACGACAAACACAAGCTTATGACAGTCTAGCAGTGTATCTGCCGCGCCAGTTTCAAGCAAAAGTCGCACAATCCATCCGCAACTGATCGAGCCCAATGCGCTTCCACTCGTGCTCATCATCCAGTGCACAGCATACACTTCTGGCCGCTTGTTATGCGGGGTCAAATGCGCAAGCGTCGACTCCTCGATCGACTTGAAAGGCCCTACCTCGTCACTGGAGGGAGAAATCACGCCCAGCACTGCAAATGTCAGGAGGACGTAATAGTTCTCGCTATAACTAAACACAACCCCGCTCGCACACATGGCTATGGCGCCCGCCACAAGGGTCCTGCGCCTTCCCAGCCGGTCTGCGTACCATGTCAGGGGGTATGAGATTGCCACGTCACCGATAAGCGTTAATGACATGAACCAACCCATCTGCTGCTCGGAAACATGAATTTCACTCAAAAATAGCGTCAGAATCTGGTTAGTCAACCCATAAGACATAAGACGTAAAAATGCTGATAACCAGCATATTTTCACGTCTCGATTGGCGGTTTTGAAGGCCTCAACAACCCTCATTTGCTATGGTTATTCAAGTCCTTAAACTGCTTCTCGTCCAACTTCACCATCATAAAAGCAGGCGATGACCCCAGTTCTTGATCTTGAATTTTTCAAAAATTTCAATTTATCAACTCATCGCCTTTGCCAAGATCGAGATATGACCAGCAAGAAAACCGAGAATTGGACAAACTTAAACGAAGTCAAGGGCTTATAGCCATTTCTGCATTTTATCGCATGGGCGTTCATTTTTACAAGGTGATATGAAAAGTCGTAGCGAGTCTTTCGAATCCGATGGCTTAGAAAATGAGAGTTCTAGAAATTTGAAGGGCCGCCGGAAGAAACTGGCCTGTGTGGAATGCCGGCAACAAAAATCGAAATGCGATGCCCACGAAAGAGCACCTTTGCCATGCACACGGTGCGTGAAGAAGAACATCGAATGTATGTTGCAGCGAGATTTCCGTCGGACTTATAAACGGGCGAGAAATGACGTTATTGAGAGACGGTTTCTGGAGCTGACGCAGTCGTTGAGCAATCTGGATTCTAAGGAAATCCTCCGACGTATTGAAAACGAGGAAAAGGGCGTCATGGATGGAGACACCGATTTTTTCGAAAGGGACCGGATCGCTTCGCTTTTGCAGAAGCGAATATTGGATCAGATGCACTCACATACGGTCGATTCTCGGGCTGATCGCTTGTCCGAGGTGGTAGACGCTGGTCTTGTGACGTGTCGGCTGCCGAATGACGTAGAACTCACGAAAGAAATGCTGCAATGCGAGCCCAAGTCGCTGGGGGACGTACGTCTGTCAGCGCAAGACATCGCAGCATTGTACAAAGAGTTCGTCGTCAAGTACCATCCATTTCTGCCCGTGGTAGACGTGATCAAGGGTCCCGAGCGGCTGCATGCGTTGTCGCCGTGCCTATTTTGGGTTATCATGCTTATAGGACAACGGCAAACAGGCGAGTCATCGACAGTCATGGCCAATTTGTCCGCACTGGTGAAATCTATCCTCGCGGAGATTAACATGTCCCCAATTATTCGGTATTCGCCTTCAGAAAATGATGAGCCTGTGCTGAACGTTGCTTCTGTTTATTCCGTCCAGGCTTTTTTGCTGTATACCTTTTGGCCTCCTCTCACTTCGTCTCTGAGCGCGGACACGTCCTGGAACACCATTGGATCTGCCATGTTTCAGGCCATACGTGTGGGGCTGAACTGTGCGGAGTTTTCTAGCGAATACGCCAGTGCCAATTCAGAGCAGATAGCAGAACAAGTGAGGACCTGGGTATGCTGTAATATAGTCTCCCAAACGATCGCGTCGGCATTCGGGTTCCCTTCCTTTGTGTCCTTTGACAACACTATCTTCAACGCATGTAAGCTCGCATCCGAGCAGCATGCGAAAGAGAAGGACAGCCAAGTTCCCGAATCTTTGAAAATGATGATGCATATAGCGCATTTTGAGAATCAATTGACCAAAACCATGACTTCGAATCCGTTGAACGCTATGGGTATGGTGTCTAGCGAGGAAAGACTACCGCTACTGCGGGTATTAGACCAACAACTGGGAGAGTTGGAACTTAAATTACAAGCCAGTGGGCTAGATGACATTCGCAAGTTTCTCCTCCTCGTTTCCAAAGTTCATTTGCTAACTTATTATTTCACGGATGCTATCTCTGAAGGTGGCGAGTCTGACTCAAATTTACTGGACGTCCGCAGCATTGAAAAGAGTTTTGAGACCAAGAGGGGGTTCGTTAAAGTTTACAATGTCGCGGTAGAACTTCTAAATCATGCTAATTCGATGTGGAAATCTGACCCGACAGTCATCAAGTCGTTTCCAGGTGTATTTGTCCTCAATATTTGGCAAACCGCATGCGTTATTTGTAAACTTGCTCATTCGTCACTGGATTCTGTGCTGGACGTAGAACTTGGCAAGCAAGTCTACAAAGATGCGGTCTCACTAACGCTGAACGCTTCGATCATTAAATATGATATGGCCTACAGATCTTCCGGCATAATGCGAAGCATTTGGAGCATGTTCAAAAACATGCATTCAGACTGGAAGAAACCTGAGGACAAGACAACAACGAGCAAACACCGCGATTTCAACCTGGACATTACGGTGAATTCACGTATGTCTGCTAGTGTCTTTTTCGACTGTCTCTATATTCTTCGCGAAAAGTGCGGTATGGCCAAACTTAAGCGTGAGCTTCGCCGCGAGTCCAGGCACAACAAAACTACTGGTAGAACTCAAAATAATACAAGCTACGACGACCATGAAAACAGTGACATTCAGAATTCGAGTGATCGCGAAGATTTTGCCGATGTCACGATTGATCCGACCTACGATAAGAGACGTCTGCGCCGTTTGTCGGGTCAGGAAACGCCTGAGGAGGATGCCCGGAAATTGATCAAAATGATACCTCTGGATCCTGAACCTATCAATGCATCTGTGACAAACATTGGAAATGCTAGCGGTCCCAATTCTGCTGCCGGTCATGACTCTGTCTCCCTGAAAGCAATTTTGAATCGAAATTCGCCTCGGGAACACATTTTGAAAAGGTCCCACGAGGAAAATGGAGGTCAACGTGGATCTTCGTCTTCGGATATTTTGTGGAAGGGCACCGGGCTACCATTAGTAAATTTACAGGCTACGCCTCTATGCTCGGAAGAGATTTCTGCGTCCGACGCAGGATCTTCTGGTGCTCCAAAAGGTGACACAAGCGCTACTCCCCTAGCAAACGCATTCCCAGAAAAGTCTCCCGCGCCAGTAGAACATTGGGAAAATTGGGAATCTGATTTGGTTTGGAAAGACGTCGACATCTTGATGAATGAATTCGCCTTCAATCCAACTGTTTAAGCACCTAGGCACAACGAGAGAAGCTACAAACGAGCAAAAACCCGGACAACCCTCACAGGAAACAAGACTTTCTCATAAACTCTGTCAAATCATTGGAAACAATGCCTAACTCATCGAGAAGCTTCTGTCAAAAGGATGCGAATGATGATGAGATTTTGCGCTTACGTAATGATTTCTATGGATCACGTGCCTTTTCTCGATAGTCACATGACTTATTTATCATTTTGTCACTTTATCATTTTTTTTCAAGATTTTCCAGGATTTTGAATGATGAAAAATTTTTATGATTTCTAGCTTGGGCTTAAAGCAAGCTTGAGAAGTTAGTTCTAGCGACTTAAAACTATTTAAGGAGTCTGGAAGATCTGTCAGACGATTAGAGGTTTATTTGTCGCATTTTAAAGCTATTTGAAAATTTTTCAGGCGAAAATTCTGGTCGTGAAGTCCCTATGCCAGTCGACATCGAAGATCAGGAACCTAGCATTGTCATCAATGGTGACAGCTTAGGCAACGACATACCCGAGGAGAATGAAGAGTTAGAATTGCCAGAGTTCGAAGAAGAGGTGAAGCCAAAGAAGAGCGTTGCTTTCAGCGGGCTTGATGACTTCGAATCTGAAGAAGAAAAGAGAAAACGTGAGTTTGAAGAGGGTGGTGGTCTTCCCGAACAGCCACTGAACCCAGATGCTTCGAAATTGAACCCCCTCTCTCCGGAGATCATCAACAGACAGGCCACTATCAACATCGGAACGATCGGTCATGTGGCTCACGGCAAATCGACTGTGGTCAGAGCCATTTCCGGGGTGCAAACTGTTCGTTTCAAAGATGAACTAGAACGTAACATTACAATTAAGCTGGGTTATGCTAATGCCAAGATTTACAAGTGCCAAGATCCGACCTGTCCGGAGCCTGACTGTTACAGATCTTTCAAGTCCGACAAAGAAGTGTCACCAAAGTGTGAACGTCCAGGGTGTGGTGGTCGCTACAAGCTAGTCCGTCACGTGTCTTTCGTAGACTGTCCGGGCCACGACATTCTTATGAGTACCATGTTGTCAGGTGCTGCCGTGATGGACGCGGCGCTACTTCTGATCGCCGGTAATGAATCATGTCCTCAACCCCAGACTTCCGAGCACTTGGCTGCCATCGAAATTATGAAATTGAAGCACGTTATTATTCTACAAAATAAGGTTGATTTGATGCGTGAAGAGACGGCAGTTGAACATGAGAAATCCATTCTGAAATTTATCAGAGGTACAATAGCAGACGGCGCCCCAGTTGTACCTATCTCTGCTCAGCTGAAGTACAACATTGACGCCGTGAACGAGTTTATTGTTAAAAGCATTCCAGTGCCACCAAGAGATTTTATGGCGTCTCCTCGTCTGATTGTCATTCGTTCGTTTGACGTTAACAAACCGGGTGCTGAGATCGAGGATTTGAAGGGTGGCGTCGCAGGTGGGTCCATTTTGAACGGTGTTTTCAAGTTAGGTGACGAAATTGAAATTAGACCCGGTATTGTGACTAAAGATGAACAAGGCAAGATTCAATGTAAGCCAATCTTCTCCAACATTGTTTCTTTGTTTGCCGAACACAACGATTTAAAGTTTGCTGTTCCGGGTGGTCTGATCGGTGTAGGGACAAAAGTAGACCCAACTTTATGCAGAGCTGACCGTTTGGTTGGTCAAGTGGTTGGTGCCAAGAGTCATCTACCAAGCATTTACACTGACATCGAAATTAACTATTTCTTGTTACGTCGTTTGCTTGGTGTTAAGACCGATGGCCAGAAGCAAGCTAAGGTGAGAAACCTAGAACTAAACGAAGTTTTGATGGTTAACATAGGTTCTACAGCCACAGGTGCTCGTGTAGTTGCCGTTAAGGCCGATATGGCGAGACTTCAACTAACTTCTCCAGCTTGTACCGAAGTTAATGAGAAGATTGCATTGTCAAGACGTATCGAAAAGCATTGGCGTCTAATCGGTTGGGCTACTATCAAAAAGGGTACGACGCTAGAACCCATTGCTTAAATGAGTTTTTGGCTTGCTTCTGTACCACTCAAGTCATAAGCTTGTACCAACAAGGAACAAGCGCTGCAAACCAAGCTACCCCGCTTGCGTCAATCTAATTCGCACTCCTACCTGTATAATGTTAAGAGCATGTATTTGTCGAAAACGGCCTTTGGATCGTGCAACAACGGTGAAATTTGAGAGATTTTGAACTCAAAAACGACAGAGCTTGTTGTACTCTATGGTGAACGATGAAAGATTGTTATGTAAAATGATATGCATTCATGTGGAACTTTTGTAATTTCATGTAATATTATGCTAAGGTGCTATCGAGATTAAGCGTTGAAGCAGCGGCTTGGAATGCCTCTGACTTGGTAAACTTGGGTAAAGAATCAACCTTCATAAGACGGTAGATTCGTCGCCCTACACTTTCAAAAAGAGGGTAAAGCTGTCTCAAAGTTTTAAGAATGCCCGTGAGTGTTTCTTCCGCGCTTCCCCCATGTTGGTACGACTGGCAAGTATCCGACGAAAAGCTGCTTACATTAGCGGGTCCGCTGATTGCTTGGAGGGCTACACTTTTTGCCTCTGTTTCGTCGCACGACGATGCATGGAATTCGTCGTTGTCATTCTTCACAGCAGTGCATTCTATCCTTCCCGAATTCGCCGCGCCCTTGGTATACAAGCACGGCTGTGGGTTTAGAACCACCTCAGTGATGGACTCTCTCAGACAATGATCAATGTTCAGCTGAAACGGGGCCCCGACTGTGATATAAGAAGAAAATATTTGATATGCTATCTCCAAACATTCGTTGGCTTGCTTGAGAAGAGCTGAATTTGTCGTAATCACGATAATGTCATTGAACTGTCTAGCCCTGGATACCCTTCGCTTATCTTGAGACCTATGTGATTTCAAATCCATCAGATCTTTCAGGATCGTCATTCTTTTCAAAAACTTTTTGATCTCGAAGTAAACGTCTAAGTTTTCCGCGCAGTATTCGCTTTCCAAATGGTTCCTGAACAGGTGTCGCATGCCTGGATCTTTGAGAATGTGACTGAGATCTACGTAGGCCACTGTTTGTTTAAGTATCGTCACATCGTTGAATTCTTTCAGCTCACAGGCTTTCTTTTTCATGAGGGTAGCGGAATCAGCGAGACTGATAAAAGAAGTTTGCGCACTAAGACCGTAAAGACTTCTGCGATTTTTTTTAAGTTTGTTCATTTGTTTCCAGCCCAGTGTCTCAAATCCTGATTCAGTCAACGTGTAAAAACATTTGGAGCCTATCGAAAATTTCCCGCGGTAATTCTCAGTATTTATTGAGTAGATTGGGCGGATGAGTCCGTTTCTCAGGAAAAGTGACATGACAGTTACTGCCTCTCTTGGATACATAATATCAGTGCAATCCATGAGCCATTGCCACATTGCCTTCGTCGTAAACAAGACATCCACCACGTCACCACCAACAGTCTTTGAGCCCAAAAGTCTAAGCCCGCTACTGGAGACGTAATATTGAACATGTGCGGTTGAATCCGGATTGGTAAAAAATCTGTGCGCCAAAGGTGACTCTCTCGTCTCATCGTGATTAGGTGGTGAAGTTGGAGATCTGCGAGTATTGGAACTGTCAACGGTAAGGCCATTTCTCGGTAAATCGAAACTTTCAAAAGTAAAACTTTCATCATCACATTCTATGAGCTGACTCAGAGACGGTAATTTGTCGCTTTTCTTTGACGGAGACCACTCATTGGGCGTATCACCCATTAATTTGGAAAACAATAATGAAACGAAGTAGTCGCTGTGAATAATGGCGTCAGTCATTGCGCTTCGCTCAAATGAAAACAGTTCCATGGAGTTCAAAGGAGACGTCAAAATCGGTGGCAGTTCCTTAAGTCCAATTTGGCGAACAAACTTCATCAAAATAGCGACCCCCTTGGGGGTAGGCTGCAGAAGAACCTTGTCCTTAGGTGTAACTCTAGTCCTGTCTCCAGGGGCGTGTATAAGTTTGGCGTCCATGAAAGTCGCTAGCAAGCACGTCGCAAGCTCGCTATGGATGGCGTACGAAACGGTAACACTTGTGATATTCAGATTGACGTTCAGCTTGAAACTGGCCATAGTGTCGATTGCCTCTTTCATATAAAACGTAAACGAGTGGTGTCGGTGCAAGTTAGAAAACATTTTCATGCGATTCGGCGACGGCCGTTCCTTCAAATTGAGACATATGAGTAGCACTGAGAAAACTTTCCTCAGTTCATCAGAACAAATTAGCCCATTCGACGTACGTTTAAATGTTGTCGAGGCTAATTTCTGGAATCCAATGCCCTCTTTTATAACCTCTTTATTATTATCGATCATTAGCTCAAAATTTTCCTCTAAAGGTTATTACGACATCATTTGCGTCGAAGTCCATAACTAATAAATAGACAATGCACCAACCTAACGGTCATCGTTTGCATATTGCTTCAGATTTTCTCAAGGGCCAACCCAAGGTTTCAAGGTCGGTCTCATCTTGAAACAGTGCAGCCCAACTTTTCGAACCTCAAAATCAAGAATTTGTCGATTGAGGTTGCATTGCGCCCAACACCAAGACATGCGGTGGTTCGAAACCCGATACCTGACATTAAATCAGGCCATACGACTCGGCCTCACCTGACCCAACTTGAATCTGTTAATGAGGACGTGGATGACGTTTAGGCTTATGCAAGATAATTAATAAAGGTTTGCAATATCTTCAGACGTCACAGAAGGCTTTTTCGACTCGCTGTTGTGACTTTCGGAGTTTCCATTGGAATAGTGCCTTTGATGCAAATCTTGGCCTTTAACCTCGGATTGATGCCCTTCATTGTTCAGGCCGGAACCCTTATTACGGTTAGATGGTTGTGGCAAACCGGATTTTGAAACAGGTGTATAGTTGGCATTCGATACGTCACCTGAGTTTGAATGGTCTTTGGGCCTATTCAAATTGCCATAGCCGTATCTTGACCGCTGATTTCCAGGCCAGCCGTTATCTCGAGTTGCGCCTTGATAGCGAGAGCCTTTGTAACGTTGTTTCGTAGAGGTCTGTGTACTTGAGACGTTTGAACCACTGTATCTGCTTTGATGTTTTTGAGGACCAGGACCAGGGTTCTGGGTAGTCGTAGGTGGCCGCTGAGCGGTTGGCTGTTGACGCGGTAGTGTATCTTGAGTAAAGGGCCGGTTGTTTCGTGATGGTTTTCCAGGCTGGCTTTGCAATGGTGTGGCTTGAAAATTGGGTTTGGTGGGTGTTAGCTTTTCAGACGGAAATCCAGGACCCTGGGCTTTTTCTGGTCGTCTGGCTCCTCTGTAACGCGATATGCCACCGGCCAAGGGGTCCTTCTCGACGATATGACCAGCAGGTGCAGCCGGAGGCTGCTGACTTAAAGATCTGTTCTGCTCTTGTTTGTAACGCTTTATATCAGCTTCGTGACATTCTTCACACGGCAAAAGCAGTCGCTCAGCAGGAAGAGGTTCCTCTGTAAAGAAAGCATGACGCTGGGCAGCCATAGCCGTAAGTCGTTTGTAAGGGTCGAGCGCCAATAATTTCTTGAGTAAATCCAGTCCTAATTCTGACAAATGAGGTCCAAATCTGTCCGCAATTGTACCCGTGTAGCTGGTTGCTGTGAGTTCCGCTCCTGGTAAGTATCTTGCCAGGGCCCATATCTCTTCGCTAGGGGTCCCCATTAGCTTGAAGATAACATGACCCTGATCGATGTCGGTTTGACCTTGCAAAATTGGCTTTTTCTCAAACAGTTCTGCAAATACACAACCGACACCCCACATGTCGATCGCAGTAGTATAATTCTTGTCGCCTAAAACTAACTCTGGAGCTCGATACCACCTCGTGACGACCACTGAGGTGTATTTGGCATCAACACCTGCACCTCCTGGATATTTCTGGTTGGGTGGCGCACCGTAGTAGTTTCTGGCAAGTCCAAAATCTGCAATTTTCAGTATTCCTTTGTGGTCGATCAGCAAATTGGCAGTCTTGATGTCTCGGTGCATATATTTTTGACAGTGGATGTAGTTCATGCCCTCCAAAATTTGAAGTAATATGTTCTTGATATCGGCCATCTGTAGACTTATCCGTGGATTGTGCAGTATACCAGAGAGATCTGAAACCATGTAGGGTAGAATCATATAAAAAGATTTCCCCAAAACAGCTCCCTGGCTATCGTTGTTTGTTGCACTTTGCGAAGGAGGATAGTCGTAAACCATCTCGATCAACTTTATCACATTTTTATGATTCAACTTTCTCAAAATCATTATCTCCCGTTGAGCCGTTATGGGGAATAAATCTTTCTCAGCCTTGACAATGATGCGCTTCATAGCAACTTGCCTCTGTGTTTCGAGATGCACACCCATGTAAACCTCTCCAAATGTACCTTGACCCAGTTTCTTCTCTTCCTTGTAAATTCCCGAAAATGCTGTGCATCCATATACTTTGGCATTGAGCCTCGCTTTCAGCTCTATGAAGTCAAGTCCCGTTTTGTCATCTTTTTGAACCGTTGGCGTTTGCTTTACTTTTCCTATCTTATATTTATACTCCGGTCTTTTCGAATCTACCACTTCCTGACTCATTATGGACCCGGGAAACAGTAGATGATGAGAGATGAATCTGCGTTTGTCAAGTGTTTAAATTTCCAGGCCCGGAAGCTTTAATTCAAGTTAGAAAAATTGAAGACCCTGTGCTTGGAAAACCTTTTCGTTCATGGTGATAGTGAAAAATGTTACCACGAAGCTAAAACAGGCATAACCCGGGCGATCAAAAGCGCTGGTTTATGCTGGTAATCATGTTTTAAGTCCAATGTTCCTATTGATTATCTTGGGTGATCCCATCTAAATAGTTCTGCTATTTATTGATTTTTTTGTCAGGCTCGTGTTCTGACTGTAACCGGCCAAATTAGATCTAATTTAATGCTATGGTTAAAGACATATACATAAAAATTGAGAGGTCATTTTGGGAGATGAACCAAATGCAATGCCTTTTTTGAGGTAGCTGCTATCACCGCAAGATGTAAAAAGTAAGTGCTCGTTCGACATTATCAAAGTTGAGTCCAATTGTAGAACATGGAAGACTGCGGTAAAGTTTTCCGAATCTCAAACAAGGTTATCTGCAGCTGGAAAATCCTCAAATCAAACGGGATGCTAGTCCCAGTATTCTGGTAATTGCTTGCTTGAAATGCAGCCTGGGCGGAGGCTCGAAGGCCCACTGCTCCCTTTTCGGTTAGCAAGCCCATGTCAATCAGGTTTTCCCAAACATTTTTAACGTCACGCTTGCTCCACACTCGCAGCGTGTTATCCAGCTTGAAGCCATCTCCGTCAGCCTGGGTTACTGATGGAATTTTTTTGTTCGTCTCCTTTATCATACTGGCGTATTCAGCATAAGATAAATTAAAATTCACCGAGTCTTCGTGTTTGAGAGCAGCTCTTGCGGCCGCTGTGAGCAACGCCACTTCAAGGTCGGACAGCGACTCAACTTTTGCCACAAGAGAGTTAGCATATTGATTTTCAAAATACGCTTCGATCGTTGTGCAAGATGTTATGGCCTTAATCAGGCCCTCAAGGCTTTTCTCCCTAGAAAATGCAAAGAATACTGCAGTAGTCAGTAGCGGTAGAGAACGAAATGTCTCAAAATTGCTTCGCAGCATCGAGCACAACCTTGACGTTTCTGTACTGAGTAGAGCCTGAACGGCCTGATTCCAAGTCGCAGCCGTAGCACTATGTTTTTCTTGCAAAAGTATCTCATCTCTAAAATTGTCGATGAACTCAGGTAAAGTTGTAATTTGCGGAACGAAAATGATTCTCTGAGAGAACCTACTTTTCACCCTTTTCTCAAGGTTCTCGACCACAGTGAGCTTCGTTGTGCAACCCAGGATACAAACTGGAACCTGGGCTTGCTCTACCATGTCGAACAGGTTGTACAAAAGCGTCTGCCTCATGGGACCTGCAAAGGCATCTATTTCGTCGAAAATAAATATGATGGAGATTTTATCATTCCTTGATAACGCCGTAGTCTTCTCCCTCCAAGAGCTATCGACAAGCCGCAAGATTTTCTCAAAAACTTCGGCGAGAGACCCGCTGCTGATTTGAAGCTCTGTCTCCTCCTTCCCGTGTAAACCTTGTAGCTGGCTCTCCAGCTGCAGCGCAATGCTATTGATGGCTGCAAGTTCCGAATGAACGAATCCATTCAGACGAATGACGACAAATTGTTTATCGAATTTTTGGCTCAGTAACGCGATATGATGGTTGATCACAGCAGTCTTTAAACTCCCTCTTGGTCCAACAAGGATCGCAGAATGGCTCTCCTTCTGGACAACGGACTGATTAAGGATCCTTTGCACCTCGTGAGACGTATCCCTAACAAACTTGGGAAGCCTGGCCTGACCAGCAGGTAAGGTGTGATTGAGTTGTTGGAGTAGCGCGTCTTTAAACGTCAGAAACTCAGAATTTGGCATTTTCGAGTCCTCTCGTTCCTCAAGTCTCCGCTTTTTCGCCGCCATTTCACAATCGGACATCAAAGGTTTGTTAGAGTCTGGAAATTGAGCATCATGCTCAAAAAGGTCCGTAGTCAACGTTCTTTTCACCGCATCGCCGCTGCTGACGGATGCGACTTCGTTCAAGCTTCGCTCCTGTTGGCTAGAAACCTCACCTTCAATCGATCTCTCGTACGGTGAAATGTCATCGCCAAGACTGATCATGCTCTCAAAGCAGACACGAGTAGTCTACAGCGATAGATTATGGATCCCGTTTCTGGATCACTAGCAAACATGCTTTTCCAGTAGCGGGTGATTTACGATTTCGTCAAAAGTGATACTAATCTCAAATTTGAAATTTTGATACCAACATCGCTTCGGACGGATGTTGAACGGGCTAGCTCATCGGTTCCCTGGGCGGGCAACGGAGACAAACTCAGGAAACTATCACCCCCACTCTCGCGAAACCCTATAGCCCCCAGAACCCTTGTTTGTTTTGTAAATACCCAAAGGAACTCAAACACGGGATTTGGACGGGACTGCCCATCGGCATCCGGACTAGCGGTAAAACTGCTTACCGTGCGCTAACGTGCCTGCACTGCATCCCGGACAGTCGCAAGCCTTGTCCGACGCACTTCGTCAACTTTTGCAAAGCTTGCGCTTACTAGAGCATGCGCAGGCTCAATTGAGCTTCATGTGAAGCTCAAAAGCGCCGCATAAGCGCACCAGTTAGATACTGCAAGACCGATCGATCCTGCAGTGCATGATGCAGCTGCATGGAAAACTCAAAAATTTCGTAATAGTTGTCCATGTCTGCGTCAAGTAAGGTCCAAGCCTCGAACAGTCGTTGTAGCGCTGCGTTGGAAACCTGTGGCGAGAGCCTGCAGAACCATTATGCAATGGAAGCCTGCAGGAGGGCTGCAAAGAACATTTGAGTTTTACCAAATACGGTGTATGCTAACGTCATCACCCGCTTTGGGTTAGTTTCAAAGAAATTCATCGTACTGATGCAAGGGCATATGCTGCATCCGTCACCTATAACAACAGAGCTTTTTTGATTAACTAAGATTTTTTTTCCGGTACCGCCGTTCCCCTCAACGCTTACTCTTTCGAACTTTTCTGAGCTGGATCTTACTTTTACGATTTCCCAGTATGGCGGTGATACAAGGGTTAGTAAAATAACGGCCGTAGGCGGTCCACAGCCGTAGGACCAGCGCACCGGACCGTTCGGTGGACATCAGTTAGTGCGATAGAGAAAATAGGTTGAGAACACAGGCGGTAGTGGGCGGATAAACTACCAGCGTAATTCGTAAATTGGTTCCTGGCAGTCACCCTGGAAGAATGGGGTGAGGGGCGGGGGTTGGCCAGGCTCAAAGCCAACAGCGGTTGCCTTTAGGATGCCCTCCTCAAGTGGGTGGAAGCCAGACTTAGCAGTCCTCGCAGTGCGGGTGCCATGCGCATGAGCCATGAGATTACCGGTGGATACAATGCACTCAGGCCAACGCAGGCCCCGCCTGGCTTCTCCGACTCCTCCGAGCAGTCACGCAGAACCGTCATTGATCGCTTCTTGATGCAGCTGCATCTTGCACAGGCAACCGGCAAAAGTTCCACAGGCACTAGACGTGCCTACGTCACCTACGAAGGCATTGTGGTTCTGGTGCCTTGTATCTGCATATTTCCTGCATAGTCACGAAATGCGCTCAAAGGTGCATAACAGAAGGAACGGTAAGCAAAAAGCGTATGTAATCGAGAAACGAGAGAGCACAGCGACCAGACCAGAGAATGAGATGCAGAACACAGAGCGATCGCGACAAACGATTAGCTCATATAATACGCGGTGAAGACTTTCACGTTGTCCAGCATGTTCATTCAACCCTAATTACTTCTGCTCGGGAACTACCAGAAACCGCTGGGCTCCGCTAGCCTCAAAGTTCTGAGCTTGTGGGGTACTTTTTCTCGGGAAAGGGATGCGACCGTCCAAAAAAAGCAGAAGGCAAAGTTTCCATGCAGCCTTCTCGAGGCACAAAAGGCACATGAAGGCACGCACATGACTACTTATGCACTGCTCTGCATTCGCTGTTCAACTGCACGGCTACACAGGCACCATACATGCCCGTTAGGCACGTAATGCAGGCACCATCTGGTTAATGCACTGATATAGGCACGCCTTGCGCTAACACTAGTAAACGTTAGCGCCGTCGCCCAGAGCCTGTCAGCCGCTATCTCCTCACTTAAAATTCTCACTAAAGCAGATGCAGGCGCCTAATACGCCAGCTTACGGGACGGTTACCGGCGTTTCTCGTAGATCTTGCCTCCTCCTGCGTCCGTGCGTTTCCCTTAGCGGACCGAATGAATAAAATTTCAAATTTCCGATTCCCGAGTTTCCAGAACTAATGAGTATAAAACTGTGGAAGCCCTCTCACATGCATAGCCAGCTCCATTTCTCGAGGAAGCCCAGAAACAACACTTCATGCCGACCCCAGCGTCAGTTGCAAGATTTGCAATTTTCTTTCTCTGGACATGCCTGTCCTTGGTGAATGCCAAAGACTTGGGAAATGTTTTCACCAGTCTTAGCGTGTCGCCAGTTGGCACGGGAGGTATCCCCCAGAAATTATGGCAAGCCACACTAAACTTCCAAATCACATCGGCCATGAACGCCCAGTCAGGTGACACTTTTAGTCTTGTCATGCCAGACGTATCAAGAGTTTATGGTGCTCAAACCATCGGAGGTGTCAGTTACATTCCAATAGCAGACTCCTCATCAGGCTCCACCATTGCCAACTGTATTGTGAACAGTGGATTCAACTGGAATTCGCAATCGTCTCTAGAATGTTCCGTTAGTCAAAACAACGTCAACACTGCGAGCGGCAGTCTCTCAGTGCAGTTTGTTTTCGCTATTGGTTCTATCGGCAACGGTGCTTCGGAGGGAGCTGCACAACGTACTGCTCTGGGTTCTCACACAGTTACCTGGAATGGTCTTTCTACCACAGTCAACTTTGTGAGCGCTGGTAGCCCCAGTCAGAGCTCGTCCAGTTTCAAATATATGGCGGACAGTTTCCCTGCTCCAGCTAATTTGCAACAGGCTTACTATTTGGGTCCTACGTGCTCCCAGACTTTCTCCGAATCGTTGCAGATTGTCTTTGGTGGTTATCCAGGTGGCAACGGTGATTTAGTTTCTTGCGATTCGGTTAACATCAGTATGGCCAACTCGTTCAACGACTGGAACTACCCAAAAAGTGCCGCTGCCATTCCTGCTGCCTCTTATTCGACTTACTGTTTCGGAAACACTTTTTCGGTTACTGCTAGCGGAATTCCCGCTGGATACCATATATTCGTTGACGCCTTCCAATCTCTGGACCGTTCCCTATCTGCTGGTTTGATTACCCACGCAAACAATTACATGGAAATCAGAACCTGTCAGGGTTATGCATCCACCATGTCAACCATGGTATACACAAATTTCTACGCAGGTGCTGGATCGGCTGGCGGATCTCAGGACTTCAGAACTTATCCTACCACTACCGTGGGATGGTCGAACAGCTTTACATCGACCACCACTTCTACTGGCATTGCCACCGGCTCAGACGGAAATCTATCTCCTAGCCCTGTTATTGTCGTTGAAACTCCCGCTAAGCACACCACTTCTTTGTCCTACACAACTTGGTCGGGTCAAGTCACTTCCACATATAGCACTTCGTTGGTGACAATCACGGGCACAGACGGCTACATTACCACCGAAACGATATACTACATTGAAACGCCAGTTGCACATCTAACAACCGCAACGACTCGCGCATACAACGTTCCTTCCACAACAACGTACTCTACCGCTTATTCTACCTTTACTGGTACCGACGGCAAACAAACCGTCGAAACTATCTACTATGTCGAGACGCCTATCGTGAACGTGGTCTCTGCCACTACCATCCCATGGAGCGGGTCTTACGTTTCTACTTTTGCCACCGACTACTCTACCTTCACTGGTACGGATGGCAGGGAGACCGTCGAGACCATCTACCACGTTGAAACCCCCATCGTGAACGTGGTTTCCGCTACCACCATTCCATGGAGCGGATCTTACGTTTCTACTTTTGCCACCGACTACTCTACCTTCACTGGTACGGATGGCAGAGAGACCGTCGAGACCATCTACCACGTTGAAACTCCTATCGTGAACGTGGTCTCTGCCACTACCGTCCCATGGAGCGGGTCTTACGTTTCTACTTTTGCCACCGACTTCTCTACCTTCACTGGTACGGATGGCAGGGAGACCGTCGAGACCATTTACCACGTTGAAACTCCTATCGTGGACCTAGTTTCTGAAACCACGATCCCATGGAGTGGATCTTACACGTCGACTTTCGCTACCGACTTCTCCACCTTCACCGGTACGGATGGTAAAGAGACCGTCGAGACCATTTACCACGTTGAAACTCCTATCGTGAACCTAGTTTCCGAAACCACGATCCCATGGAGTGGATCTTACACGTCGACTTTCGCTACCGACTTCTCCACCTTCACTGGTACGGATGGCAGAGAGACCGTCGAGACCATCTACCACGTTGAAACTCCTATCGTGGACCTAGTTTCTGAAACCACGATCCCATGGAGCGGATCTTACTCGTCAACGTTCTCGACAGACTTCTCCACCTTCACTGGTACGGATGGCAGGGAGACCGTCGAGACCATCTACCACGTTGAAACTCCTATCGTGAACGTGGTCTCTGCCACTACCGTCCCATGGAGTGGATCTTACACGTCTACTTTCGCCACCGACTTCTCCACCTTCACTGGTACGGATGGCAGAGAGACCGTCGAGACCATCTACCACGTTGAAACTCCTATCGTGAACGTGGTTTCCGCCACTACCGATCCCATGGAGCGGGTCTTACGTTTCTACTTTTGCCACCGACTACTCTACCTTCACTGGTACGGATGGCAGAGAGACCGTCGAGACCATTTACCACGTTGAAACTCCTATCGTGGACCTAGTTTCTGAAACCACGATCCCATGGAGTGGATCTTACACGTCGACTTTCGCTACCGACTTCTCCACCTTCACCGGTACGGATGGTAAAGAGACCGTCGAGACCATTTACCACGTTGAAACTCCTATCGTGAACCTAGTTTCCGAAACCACGATCCCATGGAGTGGATCTTACACGTCGACTTTCGCTACCGACTTCTCCACCTTTACTGGCACGGATGGCAGAGAGACCGTCGAGACCATCTTCCACATCGAGACACCAGTTGTGAACCTAATTTCTGAGACGACTATCCCATGGAGTGGATCTTACACTACGACATTCGCTACTGACTTCTCCACGTTTACCGGTACCGACGGTCAAGAGACCGTCGAGACCATATACCACGTTGAAACTCCTTACGAAAACATCGCCACGACGACCTATACTTCGTGGACAGGCTCTTTTGTCTCGACGTATTCAACGGAGTACTCTACTTTCATCGGGGCTGACGGAAGGCAAACGGCTGAGACCATTTATTACGTTGAGACACCAAACGCTCAAACGCAATCTACCATTTTTACACCATGGACCGGGGCTTTCACCTCCACATTCTCCACCGGCATTACAACTTTCACGGGAACTGATGGAATTCCTACAACAGAGACGCTTTTCTATGTTGAAACACCTACAGCATTTTATGGAAACACCTCATCTACTGCCTCTTCCACGATATCTTCATCTGAGTCTGTGCTATCAAGCCGCGTGACTCAAAGCTCATCACAGACACCAGTCACGATGACTTCATCAGCATCCCTCTCTTCCCAGGCTTTTACTTCTTCTACAAGCTCAGTCTCAACTGCCTCTTCGTCATCGGCAAGATCGTTCGCTACGTCGTCTGTGAGCACTGACGTGTTCTCAACTTCTCTTTCCTCATCGAACACAGGGTCCAAAAACACCTTGAGTTCAATTTTTAGTTCTTCCCCATCATCTTCGGCCCCCGCCATAACACAACAAACTTCCAAGTCTGAGTTCAGCGGTTTGACATCTCAATCAACAACTTCTGAAACTTTGAGTCATACCCAGATTCTTTCCCCTTCAGCGTCGGCTAGCGAAGCCTCTACTAGCATTGCTTCATCATTCTCGGGCCCTGTAAGTGAATCCACTCCAACGGCAGTCGCTTCTTCCTCTTCGCCAGCGACAATCACCACCACAAAGAGAGAGTCGCAGACTCCAAAGACCTCTTCAGCCTCGACTGTCTATGGTTTCTCTTCAAGTGTGCCAAACCCATCGATCTCATCTTCTGCTCCTCAAGAAAAACCATCTTCTACTTCCGCGTCCTTAGTATCTTCAAACGGATCTCCATCTATCACAACCGATTTTGTGACGGCCGCTGGCGCAACCTATTGGTCGACCAAGAGCCCATCTGCTGCATCGACGACTACTTTATCAAGCAATTCCTCGCCTTCTAATCCACAGTATTCGGCCTCGCCAAGTCCAGCTGATAGCGAACGCTCGTCTTCCGAAGCAAACCCATCGTTCACCTTTGCGTCGCCAGTTTCGTCGAAAGCATCCTCATCGACCGGCGCTACCTATAACACTGGTACCACCGAGACTTACAAGACGACCAACGGTCCATCTTCGGCAGTGACAACATTGACCAGCATTCCTTCCGTCTCGAACGCGTTTTTCAGTTCTCAAAGTTCTCCATCTTCATCGATGACGATCTCAACTTATGCTGGGAGCGGTTCGAAACTGGGCCTTGGACTATTGCTAGCGCTTCCAATGGCTGTACTATGAACTCATTAATTTTTCTTTTATGATACCCCTACTCTCCGCCTCAACTGTTTCATAGGCATTTTGTATCAATAGCCTTACTAAGTTTCTATACCTACTTTCTGGAATATAACGTCATTTTAACCATTCGAAAAAAAAAGAATCTCTTGAGCCCTGGTTCCAAGCGTTCTGGAACCTTAAGGTGTTGAACTCTTGCAACTCGAAGCATGAATATATCATATATAGCCCACTAAACTAACTATTTCTAATCGACCATCATTTATAATTTTTTCAAACTATATATTCCATTTGAGAGCAGCTGTCATTACATCAATTAAGTAGTTTTATTTGCTGATAACCCCTCCTAAGCTGTGTTGCTCTAAACTTTTTCAACAGCTTCGACAACGGCTTTGTCGAGTTCAGGAGATTCACGGATGTAGTTGTCCGCAGGAACAAAGCCCTTAGACTTACGTGCGCTGGGCACGGTCTCGAACAACTCATCAATTTGCTCCAAAGTAAGACCTTTAGTTTCGTAGACGCAGAAGTAAACGAAGATCATGCACAAGAAAGTGCAACCACCCCAGATGAAGAAGACTTTAGCTTTCAAATCAGCATCTTTTGGACCGTCATCGACCAAGTAGGGAGTCGCGTAGGCAATGGCGAAGTTGAAGAGCCAGTTGGAAGCAGCACAAATGGCAACAGACTTACCTCTCACTCTTAGTGGGTAGATTTCACCGACAACGACCCAGGCCAAAGGACCCCATGTAGCCGCGAAACCCGCGATAAACGTACACGAAAAAGCAATCAAACACTTGCTCGCAGCCTGACTGTCGGGAAGCGCGGTGCCCACAATGGCAACGATAAATTCGCTGAGAGACATGACGACCGCACCCCAGAACAAAAGGTTTCTTCTGCCTGCGATTTCAATGAGCGCGATGCCCGGAATGGTCATGATCACGTTAACGATGTTCATCACAAGCTGGATAATGAATGGGTTTTTGATGCCAGAGTTTTGGAAGAATTGTACACCATAGTAGAAGATGAAGTTGATACCCGTGAGCTGTTGCAAAGCTTGGATCACGATCCCGATCATGATCCGCTTCAATTGATGGTTACCGCGCCTGAAACAGTCCCAGATGGTAGTCGATCCGAGCGCCTTCTCGAACTCATAGTTGGCCACGATTTCTTGCAATTCGTTCTCAATCACTGGATGCGTCTTGGGTAGGCCTCTGAGTTTGGAGAGCGAATTAGCCGCTTGTGGCACTTTGCCGCGCATGACGTAAAATCTGGGACTTTCTGGCAATATAAGCATTCCGACAATAAGGATGATAGCCCACAATAGTTGAATGGCAATTGGGATACGGTACGAGCCAGAGTCGGTACGGGCGTGTGTGCCTTGGTTGACGCACGACGCTAGCAAAAGCCCGATCGTGATCGCCCATTGGTAGCACGAGACCACGGCACCCCTGATCCATTTGGGGGCCGCCTCCGATTGGTAAAGTGGAACAATGGCGGACAACACACCGACACCGACACCTGCGATGACTCTGCCGGCGATCAAGAGACCCAGTGACGTTGCTGCGACCTGCAGCACGACACCCACTGTGAAAATAGCCGCCGAGATCAGCAGCCCGAGCTTACGGCCGAGTACGTCCGAAGCGAGCGGCGCGGCGAGCGCGCCGCAGAACGTGCCTGCAGACAGGATCGACGTAGTAAGTGATGTTTGCCCGGCGGTAAATTTGCCTGTTGACGTAAACGTCTCTTTCACGTAATTCATGGCTAGCACACCGGAGATGGTACCGGTGTCGTATCCGAACAGGACACCGCCGAAAGCGACGAAAAGGCCGACGCAGATCGCGCGTACCTTGGAGCCTTGGATGTCATCCTCGGCCTTGTAGAAGTACTGGAGAACTCCCATGTTTTTTGTTATCTGGTAGGAGTAAGGTAGGAAAACAGAAACTTATGTTTGTTTTTGCTGATATTGTGAGAGGGGCCAGAGACAGCTGTTTATTCCGGTACCATTTGGTCTCGCTTTTATATGTCGGTTCCCAGTGCCGGCACCAGTATTGACCACAGCTCCGTCCGGATTTTCCCCACATCGCCGGGTCCAACAGTAGGCACCAGCCGCATCGCCGGAAGAACCCTTCTGCGGTGCACGAGGCGGCCCCCGCTTTTTCGGTGACACCTGCGGGACAACAAAGGCTTAGAGATCCGGAAAAACGGCTCCTGCGCGTGTTTCTGAGCGTTTCATCGGGAAAACTTGCTGCGATCTCTCTGCGGGTTTGCGGTAATGTGCCTTTGTTTCCGTATACAGCGACTACAACTCCCGCTATTCCGGCCGTGTGCCCCGCATTATTTACTCCAACCTGCAGCAGTCAAGGGGCCAGCTAACCGCTGAGACGCGCGAGCGCGGGGTCCCGGCACCCCGGCCTCTGGCCCCGCGTCCGTGCGTCTGAGCAGTTGGGGTGACGTGTGCGACGTAACGACGTGCAGCGACAGCCCCGGGGGTGCTGGTGAGCGCGGCGGACCAATGGGGAGAGGGGGCGGGGGCGAGCCCCCGCCTCCCGGGCGGCGGGAGGCGAGAGGCGAGCAGGCGGCGGATGAGTAGCGCCAGGCAAGGATGCACGGCGGGAGCAATGCCCGGGGGAGAAGAAGAGGTGGTTGGGTGTGACACAAAAACCATGATGGGAAAACCAGCTTGGGTATTGGGGTATGAGTCGCGATTTGAGACTGTAGTTTGCTGCAGGGCAGACTTGGCCGGAGTTACCCGGAATTGTTGTGTGATTTGTCGCTTCCTGCCAAAAATGAGCGGTACGAGAATCGAACCCGTGTCCCAACCTTGGAAGGGTTGGATGATAACCACTACACTAACCGCCCCTGATGTAGAAATTTGTTGAAAGCATGGTGTGTTGATCGGACAATGCTGGTTTTGCTTGCCCCGTGTGGCACGATCCGCATCGCTGCCCTGTGCATTCGTCCGTCTGATACCCTCGAGGATAAGTTTTTCTAGGCTTCGCGGCGATTCGGTGTTAAACCATGAGACGTGCGGAGTTAAAACAAATACCGTACCGACAAGCATCTGACTCTATCTGTTCGCCGAGACCCGTCGGGGTTTGGCGACATCTCGCCATATAAGAGGGCAAGAAACGCGCTTGAATCGAGCTGAGAGCGTTGCTTCTTTCCTCTGCAGAGAATCCAGGGTATACTCAAGGCTGGCTAATTTTATTCGACATTTAAAATCTACTAGCGATGACCTTTGCTGACACCGGAAAAGAATTTAGAGCAGGTACCAAGCTGACTTTGTTGGGTCGCAACCCAGAGGACCAGAGTGGGTTTGCTAACGCGCCTCTGTACAAGGGCTCGACTATCATTTACAAGACCCTTGACGATTTTGAAAATCTCAGATCCAGATTTTACTACGGGACGGCCGGATCTCCCACGATCGCGAACCTGGAAGACGCATGGACCGAGCTTACGGGCGCCGCTGGCACCGTTTTGTCTCCGTCGGGACTTGGATCCATCGCGCTCGCGCTTTTGAGCTTCAGCAAGGCAGGTGACCACATTTTAATCACAGACAGTACTTACGAGCCCACTCGTTTGTTCAGTACGCGTTTTCTGGCCAAGTACGGCGTCGAAGCCGAATATTACGACCCATTGATCGGCGCAGACATTGAAAAACTCGTGAGACCAAACACGAGCATCATTTTCTTGGAAAGCCCTGGTTCGCAAACGTTGGAGGTCCAAGACGTTCCTGCGATCGCCAAAGTGGCCCAAAAACACAACATCATCACCATCATCGATAACACTTGGGCCACTCCAGTTTTCTTTCGTCCTCACGATCACGGCATCGATGTGACCATTGAGGCAGGCACCAAATACCTGGGTGGCCACTCCGACATGCTTCTTGGGCTCACAACTGCCAACCAAAAATGCTGGCCTAAACTCAGACAAACCTACGATGCCATGGCTATGTTGCCAGGCGCAGAAGACTGTCAATTGGCTTTACGTGGTATGCGGTCCTTGGCCGTGAGACTCAGAGACATTCAATACAAATCTGTTGCTTTGGCTAAAATGCTTCAAAACAGGCCAGAAGTTGAGACTGTTCTTCATCCTGCTCTTGAAAGCTGTCCAGGCCACAAGATCTGGAAGCGTGATTTCAAGGGCTGTACCGGTGTCTTTTCGATTGTCTTGAAGGACGGCATTGAAAGAAACGACATTGAAAGAATGCTTAACAACATGAAAATTTTCGGTATGGGGTTGTCATGGGGTGGCTACGAGAGTTTGATCGTTCCATTCCAAGCCAAGCGTATCAGAACAGCCACTAAATTTGGATACGAATCTTTGACGCTACGTCTACAGGTGGGGTTGGAAGATTTGGCTGATCTGGAGATGGACCTACAAGCGGGGTTGGACCGTCTAAATTTCAAGCGTAAGGCGAAACTTTGATTGTCTCTTCTTCGCTTCAGCGCGTAATGCATTCAACAGCCAATATTTGGAGTCATAAGACCCTCCGGAAAGGTTTTAACCAAAAGCCACTGTGACATGACGCTAGAAATAATGGTTCAAATTTTTGTCGCGGAAAATCAAAAGTTGTAATGCGGCTGAAAGCCATTTCTGTCACCGATTGATCGGATGATAATCATCCGCGTTGCCACAAGCAATGCGTTAATCTAATTCCACGGCTGCCGCCTATTGTCATATACTACCCACATATAAATTATAGACTAAAAGATAAATTTTGAAATTATTTGACGTGCATATTTTGACTGTATCTATTAAGCCTGATACTTAAAATTTGGCATTACTTAATGTGGCGTATTATCAAGAGCTTTAGAACAAGGGGACCGAATGGGCTCTTGATCTATTGACGACGACTCGTCCCAGCGTCAGAAATCTCACACCAGTAGTATTTTTATAGTTGGATACCAAATGATCAATTCAAACAAAAAGCTTAAATTGGCGTTATCGCTACAGGCAGGCTTTACTTGGGTCTCACTATTAAGGAAAAACTCCTTACCCAATGCTCTCACTGACGGCATAAATATTTCAAGACTTGAACACTGTGTCTAGTAAATAATTGCCATAACGTTTGTACGATACTTATTATTGGTGGAAAGTCGTTGCTAATCAAGAACAATATTGAAGGCAAAGGCCATCAACTTCACCTATGCAGTAGCTTATTATTTAATATATCAAGTGCGAAGGGCAAAATAGTGCTCCTGATTGTGCCGGAAGCCAATGTTCAGGTTCGAAATAATCACTTGTCTTGCGCTGTAATCTGTTGCATGGTTAACACCGACGTTACCCACTAAGTACACATTTACGTAAATAACGACAACATTCACTTACGGACTTGGCAGCAGTGATGGGTTACTGCCTCAATAAACCCACTCAAGGCTCAAGGCGCGCAATCATGTGATTTAGGGACTTGGGGTTAACCAGTTACAACACAGGTCACTCACTTTCCCACATACGTTTGCGGCTCGTTGGCTTGTAATGAGTTAGAGTTGTTGCACAGTCACGTGATAAGATAACTAATGTCATTCATAATTCAAGTATAGTTATTTTGATTTCATTGTCGAAAAAAGAGTAAATCAAGGTGTATCTGAAATTTCCAGGAAACCAAGCATACTACGACATTTCGATCACCGTATTATTAGCATAATCAGCAATGACAATGCGATTTCCTAGAAAGATTCCTGCGGATCAAGTGCCATCCACGGTGGGTCTACAATTGCCGAAAATCATAACTTTTGATGCTTATAATACGCTTTACTCGACAACGCTACCAGTTATGGAGCAATATTGCCTTGCGGGCAAAAAATATGGCATTGATGCCAAACCAGAAGAGCTCACGCAAAGGTTTCCATCTGGTATGTTTCAAACTGAAATTTCAAACTTCGAAGTAAAGCAAAGTGCTGACAATCATCTGAATCGCTAAGTTTTCAAAAACCTCAGGATACAGCACCCGAATTACGGGAAAAATACTGGAATTACAGCCAATGAATGGTGGACGCTTCTGATCCAAAATGTTTTTAAACCTCATCAAGTGCCTCCAGAAATGATTGAGCACATTCTAACAGTTTTCGAAGGATTCGGGGCGTACAGCATTTACCCAGATCTTCTGGATCTTTTGAGGAGCATCAGGAAGAAAAGTCCGGATACCGTTCTTGGAGTGATAAGCAATACAGATCCCATAATGTACAAACTCTTGAAAAACATTGGTCTTAATGTTTATTTTGACAACAACATTTACTTATCTTACGACATTGATCTTTCAAAGCCCGACGTACGTCTTTTTGATCATGTTCTCAAGGATATTGTCAAGAAAAGGCCCAACTTACTCGAGGCTATGACGCTTCAAGAGCTAAGGGGTCACTGCTGGCACATTGGAGACGAAAAAATGAATGATATGATCGGTCCTTGCAACGCAGGATGGGTAGGTATTCTGCTTGATAGGGCAAACAAGTACCACTATTTCAATGAAGAGTTTCAACACATAGAGCGAAGTGAGCATGATCTCTATCAAGACAAAATAGACAATAATTACCAAGTCAGCTACGAAACCTCTTTGAAGAACACAGACGTTGTGCAGCTAGCTGAAAGGCAACTTGTTATTTCGAATTTGAAGCCTATCAAATCCTTGCTTGATAGAGGAAATATATAGATACGAGTTCGCTTAAGAAGTTTAGAATTACGTTATCAGAATATATGTGACAGAAGAGAAACAAAGATCATATCCAGTAAATTTAGCTACTGGATCCAAAAAAATCTGGACATAACAGGATTCGAACCAGTGACCTCTTCCTTGCAAGGGAAGCGCGCTACCAACTGCGCCATATGCCCATTTTCCCATGGAATTGAAGGCTGTCAAGAAAATATCATGTCAAAGGCGGTTCATATTTTTTGATGTTTTCTAAAACCAGCATGACATATGAGATTGACGTGTGAGAAGTAACATGTACCTTCATAAACTCTCAAAAAACTGTCAAAAGTTGCTGAAATTTTTGGTCAGAGCGGATTCTTTTGCTTCTAATCGCCATCTTGCGGACACGCAATGATTTAAAGTTAAACTTCGCTTGTCATCTGGCGGTACTGCAAGCCTAATTATTGATCTGAATACGTTTCTTGTCAGAACAGCCATACACTGCGTTGCGCTCCCCGAATTTTTGCGCCAGTAACTCAAAAATGACTACATAAACTAAGATTGACGATTCACATAGAAGTAAAGCGAAGGTAGAAAAACAAAATTCGTAGTATCGAATATCATTGCATGACCGGTGTATGTAAGTTTGGTTCACTTGTAACCATATGAACGCGGGCACAAGCACTGGGCGGTGAGCACCACGTGTTGAGCGCCCGTATTGCTATTAAAAAAGTCTCTGACATTGTAGGGAGGAAGGAAGCACAGAAAAAGTCAGAATAATTGGCCCTATGGCTTGACGTCACCAGCGAAATTACCCTTTTCTCTCTGCTCGTCCCATTTTTCAATCCATTCAACTGGACACAGCGATGAATAAGTCCTGAAAAACACTTTGCATGGTGCGAAGTCTTCGCCCTTGGCGTTCACGCATTTGTGGTAATCCACATACGATTGCCAGCAATGCATTGTTTGGTTTTGATTAGGAAATCTTGAGTCGAAACCGACGGTATGCAAGGGAGTTTGTTGCTTCTCAGACATGGTGTTTTGCTTGGTGGGTATGGCTATATGACACCGTTACTGTCAATATCGCTTGGAAGAGGCGAGGTATGCTCGTTGATTCTTGAAAAATTTAAAGAGCGATATCTTTCAGAGCTGGGAAGACTTCTTGAATATAGACATTTTTTCCAAAACATGATTGGCTTGAAATCACGTGAAAAATCATAGACGGGCTTATAAGTCTATTTACTGTATAAGTTGTAGGGATCTGTTCACCAAATCGGACTTGTTTTCGGCGTCAAGTGCTTGCATGAATCTAACAAGCTGAAAACTCAAGTCCCAGTAGTCCCGAGCCTCGTCGGCAGTTTTGGCTGTCGAAGCAGCTGTGACCAAAATCTGTAACACTTGAATAATTAAATTCTCGTCATTTAGAACTTTGGCAAAACCTGGATCGCTTTCTGGAGATCTTGGAGCACTGCTTCTAGTCGATGCTTTTTTTTTGTTCTTATTTTTCTTTTTTCCCTTTGATATTGGCGCTGATGGAGAGTCGAGTTTCAATGGCACTGAATTGTTTAGCTGGTTGTCGTCGTAGCTTAAAAAAACCATCAGCAATATGCCCAAGGCTTTTGCTTGATTTTGTTCAACACACATGACCAATAGCGATTTTGGTGTGAGACTTAACCCTTGAAACAGGGATTCCCAGTGCTCGACTTCTATTTTTCTCAAACAATTGCTTATGATTTCCAGCTTGCCAACTTTAACGGGTCCCTTATCATAGCAGTCAATCAAGGCCACTATGGAGTCGAGCGGCTTATTGTCTAGAATTGTCACCGACAGTATCTTTTCCAGTGCGAACTTGTAATGCTTCAATGTCCGGTATTTTTCGTCTATCTCCTTGCTCGCAATGTTGTGCTTAAAAGCACTCAGTATAATTTGATCGAGAAATATGTTTTGGTGCATTATGAGCTTCGAGAATCTTTCCCTATTGACGCATTGGACACTGTGCACGATTTTGGCACCTGGCGAGACCGCCGCTGGGTAGCCGTCTTCCAGGATGGCTGAAGAGGCAGAACAGTCTCCAGATGTCCATAAGTCGGGCAGTGAAAACGCTATAAAGTTGCCCTTTTGTACAAGATAGATTTCCTCCGCTACCAGATCGATGATTTTCTCAACGCCTTCGAGTATGGCTTCTTCTTCATAGCCTTTATCCTCCGCTCTTTTTATTTTCAAGACAACGTCACCTTCGTACGCGAAGAATCCATCTGCATATGAAAATATTCCTTTCAAATTCTCAGTAAATCGGTGGGCCACCATCGTTACAGGTAGTGCGTGAAACCTTCTGAGACCGATGTGACCGTTTTGAGATATGCTGGATATAACGTCAATGACTTGCAAGCGTTTGTTTTCACAAATCAGTATTATTTCAGCAGTTTTGAAAAATGTATCGAGGTTCACTGCTGTTGAAGTTTTCGACTTGACTTTTAAAAGTCTGAATCTAGAAAGAGTGTTGACATGAACACTTGAAATCGAGCTATCGGAGATTTGGTATTCCCAAATTGATGCGTCTCTTAAATCTGAAATGCTCTCATCATTTGATGTCATTGCGTAACACTTTAACATCTGAGAATTATCGTCCTCCGTACTAGCAATTAATAAGTAATCATCCGCAATCCAATGCATATCAATAACGCTCATGTCGGTGAAACTTTGCCAAGTATTGTGTTCCATTGAATGCAAGAGCAGAATGTTTTTGTTGGCCACGTAAGCGGCTAATCGCGAAACACAACCATTGACCTTTATCAACGGAACATAATTGTTTAAAGTTTTAGTCGGTAACCTTATTGATTGCGATACAACACTTGAGTCCAGCTCAGGTGGTTTCGAAAAGATCACAATGTCGTTATTGTCATTATGCAAAATAAAGGGTCTGGAATTCCGAAAATCTGTAAAATCATTCCAACATTCTTGCCAGAGCTCGCAGCGAAGATACCATCCTGATTCCGTGACGATCGCTAGTGTCTTATCAAGGACAGCAAAATCCTGTGCCCGTGAGTAAGACATTTTCTCATTTTCGTTGTACTCACTATTGAAAAGCGAAAATAGCACATTACCCCACTTGCTAATAGCGTGAAGCTCTCCATCTTCCTGCAGGACTAGGAAGGTATCTTCATTTAAAGGCTTACAAACTTTAATTGGTGCTCCGACACTGTGCGCAACTATGATATCCTCCGTCATAACCGAAAAATAAGCGATTCGATGCTGGAATGCGAGTCCAATCATTGTGCCCAGTGCGAAAGCATTCATCAATTTTTCATTTGCATCATAATTGAGCTCAGTCGTCTTGACCTTTCGATCAGCTATACTCACGTAGTTGATATGCAAAAGGCTTTCTTTCTGCGAAACAACACAAAGTGTATCATTTATAGGGACTATAGCGACACCGTCTTTGACATTGATCACAGAGCTTTCATTCATTTTGAAACTCTTTAAATTTAACGATTGAAGCCCATGCGCAAACAGGATCACTAGAAATTCCGCCTCTTCTTCATTTTCGTCATTTGCAGGTTCATAGAATCCCCTAACGTCTGTGATTTCATAGTCAAAGCGGAGGATGATTTTCAACCTAAGTTCAACTTTTCTAATAGGAACTTCATCGATTGTTTCTGAGTTCTTGTTAAAAAGATGCAAAAAGCCCCTCTGCTTTTCAATGCTAAAACCGTTTTGAATAAGCTTGTTTGAATCTGTCTTATCGAAAACGGTCAGAATTTCGTCGTCTTCATCATCGTCTAAAAAGTCTTGCCCATTTTCAGCGGTGATATTATTAAGGTCAAGGACGGGAATGCCGACCTCCTTGAAAACACTGAATCTGCTTGCTGAAAGCAGAAGTTGATAGACCAAAATGACGTTCTTATCTGTAATAACATAAAAATTTGCCTTGCTCCGGCCGCCTTCGCCTTGATGTCTTAATTCGCCGGAGTCGCTTTTCGGGTCTTCCAAGGAGCTAGTGTCAGACACTACAAATCGATTTGCCCCAAAATCCGTAATTGATTGGAGACTACGTTCATGCGTCGAAATCAATGCTGGTGGTTTGTGGTTGTAAATGAGAACTCTGGTTGACGTGAGAACGACCATGCAATTTGTATGAGGGACTATCAAACTTTGTAACACATGATCTTCACAAGTTTCCTCCCCTGTTCCAAAAGCCCTATCAGGGATTTCAAACCCCTGGGGGGGCTGCAGTGGCCACAGATGCATCACAATCCAAGTTATTAGGGCCGTCAACACTCTGGTCAAATGTATATGTTCGTGCCAGCACTGGAGACGAAATGAGCATTATAGGATCACGGAACCAAGTACTTTTTCACGAAATGTTTATTCTGACAGAGACTTGATGAACTATTACTTTAGATTAAAATAATTGAGCAACCATTGAATTGTCTGGTTACTTGATAGATTTGTAGGTAGATCGCGGCACATTTAAATTCTTGAGCTCGTCGTATTTTGATCGATGGACTCATTGTATTTTTGTGCTTTCTTACGATATGATTCGTCTAGTGCTAGCTCGATCTCCCTGCCGCTCAGGAGGATGAACTCTCTGTCGTATGGAGTATACAGAGTTTTTAATATAGGAACCGTCAAACGCTAATTGTTTTCCAGATGTTCAAGCCATCGGTACCTGTACTTACCAAACAGCCCGGAATTTGTTTATGCCATTTGACATCCTTCACTTCCTTTTGCCAGTGTACGAATAAAAGTTGAGGAGGGATTTGCTGAAGCTCTTCTGTTTCAGCTGCCTGTTGTTTGATTTCTTCATCGTCAGCTTCAACAGAAAGATCCCATAAGGTTACAGTGTTGTCCTCACTGGCGACGGCGATGATCGACTCATCCAAGGGATTGAAGCTAATAGACGTAATCGCACCCTTGTGGAAGTCATACTGAGCGACTGGAGATACTGAATTTGCATGGCTTGGCGAAAATTGTCTTAAATCCCAGACCCCCCACTTACCATTGTCATCACCGCTTGCTAGTAGGTAGCCAATCTTTTCGTTCCAGCTAATGACGTTGACGTCCGTGTCAGACGCTTTGACGGAAATAGCAGGCTTGCGCTTCTTTGATCGAGTGTCCCATATCCTGATGTGACCGTCACAACCACAAGTGGCAAAAACCGTAGCTTCTGTGCGGGACCATTGAATGTCTTCAATTGACTGGTTATTGTCCACTGAGAAAGCTTGTTTTTCAGTCGCCCATTTGGATGTGTGTCTTTGAGTGAGAAAAACGCGGCCAGAGCAGTCACCTGTCAGTAGAGCGCCACTTTTGTTAACGGGAGACCAATCTAGCGCATAACCTTCGACGTTGCCGTGGTTTTTCACCGTGTGGATCGGTCTCCTGGCAGCTTTTGGTATTTGGTAACCTGGAGTGCTGAAAGCTTTGGTCTGCGAGGCGAGATCGAATATGTAGACCTCTCCGTTCTCGCTCATAGTAGCAGTCAAAACTTCCTGACCTTCGACAGCAAATGGGGAGACTTTTAATCTATTTGTAGTATCTTTGAGTGCAACGTTTTCGTTCTCGATAACTGGGTCAGAGTCATCGTCCTCATTGTCTTCCTCGTCTTGCTCTTCCTCATCGTCCTTGACCAACGTCTTGGTCAATTGCGACATTTTGAGCAATAGCAGTTCGTTATCTTTTTTCTTCGAAGCTTGGGTCGCCGTTGCAACAAGCAGGGACTGAGGATAGCTTCTGCGCTCGGATCCGAGCCTGTCGGGGACAACGTCCAGCGACATACATGGCCACGGCAAGTGAACATTATGTAGCATTTCGTAGACCGATGGGTCAGCTTCTAAAACTTCGTCAGGTCCCAATGGTTTGGACAGATGCGGCAAGTAGAGCTGCTGCCCATGTGTGTTTTGAACTTCCGTTTGATCATTCTGAACTTGGCTGCGCGCTTTTTCTTCCTTCCTTTCGATGTACTCTTCACTCTCCATATTCTCATCACCGCTTTCAGCATATTCATCGCCATCTAACTCTATAATTTCACCGTCACTCTCGAACTCATCACTATACTCGTCTTCAAATTGACCCACTTCGACGTCTTTCTGCGCGACAGAAGTCACAGCAGGCACGTCTTTTGACCTAATCTTTGATGATACAATCCGCTCATTGCTATTATCAATATCCTCAATGTCAGCAGACCTTTTTGACATGATACAAGGCGCCAATTGCTTGATTGCTTCAAGGTCTAATGACCAACCCTGCTCTTCCCATCTCATCTCATCGTTCCAAAAAATTTTTAAAGACGGTAGAAGATGCCGAAAAGAAATGAGGTAAATCACGTGAACAAAACGAAGCACTAAAGCTGTTAGTCCGTGAGCAGATCATTACATCAAAGCAGCAGCGTATGCCATCCTGACAGCGCCGTCAATAGATACTCTCCTGGTATTATAAAAAGTCATTGAAAGTCATCTTCTTCCGAGGCCTCAGCTTTCTTCTTTTTGGCTTGCTTTTTCACGATCCGACGCAGCTTTTCTTCCTCTCTGAGACTATCTGAATTCTGCTCTAGGTACTCCAAAAGGTACTCGCCGTTTTTGCTTTTCTTCGCTGTGTGTAAGAATGAACCGACATTATCTTCAACCTCTAGTCTAGTTTTCTCGATTCGGTTTAACACCGCATTGTCTCTTGCATAGCAATTAAGTCTTCGTACTCGGTTCTTGGACTTGAATGAAACCTCTCCTGCCTTCATATACCCACTTTTACGGAGATTGGTCCACGGCGTGCAGATGATCGAGCATTGCGCCATCTTGTTACCTTGTATCGATTTGGCTTTGCATAGCTGCAAGCAGTCATTCAGTACTTCAGCAGGAATGTCTTCAAGAGCCTTTTCGCCTGCAGGCTGTTTCAGATAAATGTGAGCACTGGAGTATTTATCTGTGTGGAACCATATCATGTTCTGTTCTTTGAAACCATACTTGATAAGCAGATCATTCTCATCCTTATTTTTGCCCACCATAAGTAAGTAAGGTGCCTGAGTTTCCAGTGGCTGCGAGGAATAGAAATATACCATAGCGATTTCTGAGGCGTTAGTGTTGTAGTGGATGACAATGGATTTTACGAACTTGCTATATTACTTCCGTCTTATAAAAGAATCGTACAAAGTGCTATTATTATATTATAAAGAAGTTCAGCGGCTAGCGATCTTTTAAACCCTTTCAACTCCTCTAACACAACAAAACTCGTCACGAAAGACAATAAGAAAAGCGATGAATGCGTACAGCTTCGACATAAATAAGTATTCTCTATATCCAGAGCTTCTGCCTCTCGTAACAGACGTTTCAGGGAGGGCAGTTGCGCCTATATTGACAAAATGGCGACACTTCTATTTTCCAAATGGGTCCGTTGCACTGAAGATTAGAAACGGAGAAAACGTTATCTTTGAGCTCACCTCTGAAACCGCTATCATTGAAAAGTTTAGCTGGCCTAATCGTACAACGTCAAATCAGGTTCAGTGGCCTTTGAGCGCCGTCTCTTTCACCGCGAGTAAGGCCTCATTGAAATGTAAATATCTTGTCAGGAGCTGCGAACAAGATATGATCAAGAGATTCCAGATTTGTTTTTTCACTGAGCAGGATTGCAGGCGGTGCTGTGATGTGCTTAGGTCATTTGGCACACGAATTGGTAAACCCGGCATAGGCATGAACACAGAAGGGAACGAAAATCCGGATGATTCGCGCGGTTTAAACTCTACCCTGAGGACATTGAATTTTTCGAAAGCTACAGATATGCGTACGATAACAGATTTTCATGCCAACGTTACTAAGCCCCATTTATCGCACAATTTCCATGATAGCTCAGAGGAGAACGATCTTACCGAAAACGCTGTGGCCGAAAACCACCCCTTCAATACCATGAGCTGTTCAATACTAGCATCTCAACTAGTAACCCGTTTATCCGACATCGACGTTTCAACTCCGAATCATTTAACTACAACGTTCGAAAGGCCATTGACTTCGCAGAGTAATACAGATGGTATGCACGAAGTAAAGAGACATGAAGAGAGCTCCATGGTAAACAACCAGGTGTTGGAAAGAGCGTCAAAAGGAGAGCAAGCAAGAGATATGACCAAAGTAATGACCAAAGCACTGACGGATCAACAAAAGCTTGAATTTCAACAATGTTCTCTTGATATGATTCCTAAAAATCCGGTCGAGACACCATCTGAAATGCCACTTAGCAACATTAGAGAAGATGAAACTCAATCTATTTCGTCTTCAATGGCTGATTATATCGCAGATGAGAATAAATCGGTTTTGGGGTCGAAAAAACGTATAGGTATCGAATCTACGAGGAAAAGAAAACCGGCAATAACAAGAGAGCTTTTGACAAAGAAGCTTGGCGATAAGCGTTTTATTTCATGGGTAAGTGACTATTCTACCGTGGAAAAAGGTCGTGAATTCGATTTTTTACTAACACTTCATCTCAAGGTTGATAAAATCGAGTTAATGATGAAAGAATTGACTTGATTATTTTTCTACACAATATGAGCTAATATGAAAGTTTCATTGAGCTTGATTGTAACGTTTGCGAGATGATGGACTTTGGTGTCATTTTTAATTTTGGCATAGAGAACAAAAATGCTACGATTGCATATGATTTATTATTCTGGCCTGATCATAACATAGCAAGGATAACAGCGCTTAAAATCGCCGTCACCGGGATGTTTAGACCGCTGCCAATCCCCGAGCTACGGCTCGATCCTCCTGCGGAACTGTTTCTGCCAGCTGATGTAGAAGATGAATGAGACCCAGCTGATGCAGAGCCCGATTCACCAGAGGAGCCCGATTCTGACGCCATCACTGTCAAAGAGCTCCCTCGAGGGCCACTATAGGTGCTGGTCATATTAGATGACGAATTAAAAGATCCGGACCCCGAACTTAGTGTCGTGGGAGGGCCAGAAGAGTTGAAGTTTTGCGAAGCGGAACTTGCAACGGCCGACGGACCTTGCATGCCTGACATATCGGAGGATTGAGAAGCTTGCATAGAAATTGTAGGCTCGCTGGCAGAGCTCATGGATTCCTGGCCTGCAGAACTGGCCGTTGATTGGCCTCCCATGCTTGAATCGTTTTCAGCAGTAACCTGGATCGAAGAAGCGCTGCCGCCTGATCCTACAAACCCGCCAGCGGCTGAGGATGAGGCAGCGTATATAGCAGCGGGCAATTGAGCTAAAAGTATTGGTGCCGTAAGTTTCATTTTTGATCCGAATGCGATTAATGTGTGGCTTGTCCTAACATCTTTAGAACTTTTTCTTGATCAAACGGGTCCAAGACTGGTACTTCTTATACCTGACTAGATCTTCATAACAAGGCTTGGATGCATATGGTCTAGACTCGCAGTGAGCCTCGAAAATCAAAAAAAAACGTTAAATCACCGATTAATGCGGGGATTCTCGAACTGCTTCAAAGTGGAGCGCAACGCCGAGATCCGTATGCACGACCGTAAGCCCGGACCTGGATCTCCTGAAGTGAGGGTCCGACTTCAGACTTAGATTCTGGCCGACCGCATTTTTCGCGCTCCGCGAAATCTTGGCTTTCAACAATGACCTCAAATCCACTCGAACGGCTTAAGCCATCAGCGACAAAAATAATCGGCTACGCGATTTCAGCCACTCCATTGCTTTTATTTTGGAGATCATTGCAACACGACAGCTATTCGAGTCTTCTAGACTTCGAAAATTTCCGGAATTAAAATATCTGACGTGGTGGACGCCATAATCGTACAAGTTAACGAAAAATTAAAAGGTGCAGGATTGAAGCGCTTAACGAACGGTAAAGTCGAGGAAATCGCTTTGCGACAGGAACTGATTACATCAAAGATGAAAGGATTATTGTCTTGTTACGTGTCTTGGGAAGTCAGCGCTATTGAAATTTTGAGGAGGTATGACTTTTTCGCGACGTACATGACAGATCTGGCCAGCGCTCGAATTACACTGTTTCTACTAGTTGTTGGTACGCTGGCGTTCATCAATGAACTTTGGATAACAATTGAGATGAGCTTTTTACAGAGGGAAACCTACGGTGAGTTATATCGGGGTTCCATAGACGAAGCGCTCAGAAGTCATCGAATGGTGCAAAATGATGAATACCACGGAAGGGAATGGTTAGACGAGAGGACCGGTATTGTGATAGAGGAATTTGAAACCAGAGAGAAATTTTTCGCCAAACCGGTGCATGTGGCTCATGTATACGTGAATTGTAATGTCAGAAATTCAGAAAATGGTGATATTCTTCTTTCCGAACCACTTGCTTTCCACATCGAATTCTCGCCTGAAGAATACGAAAAGGAGAAAAGACCAGAATTTGGAAGTAGTCTAATCGTGCTCAGGAAAAAGCTCTACCACTTTTTTAAAGACTGCGATTTGTACCAGGATCTAAGCAAGCAAAATGAGAAACCGTTTACCGTATCTCAAGGTGTACAAATTTTCAACAGCTTGGGTGAAGAACTGCCCACTAACATTGACGACATTCAGCTTTGTTTCCTTAAAATACAGACAGGCGATACTATTGAGTGTACCTTTGTTTTGTGAGTCATTCCAAGGGTTTTTGACAGCTCAGATATAACTATATACCCCCCTCGACCCTTGGCACACCGATATCAGCATAATGAAGTTGGTTTTCACAGTAAGCCCACAGCTTCATCACTTTGATCAACCTGGCCTCGAGGTTATTATCAGTGACAGAGCTTGTTGCGTCCAGCGCTTTTTTTTCTTGATTTTCGAGGAGCATGGTCGTCTCTCTCCAAGAGTCTCTAATCGATTGCTTGTCTCTAGAATTATCTGACTGCGTGAAATTCCGATCTTCAAGTTTTTTGGCGAAGGCCTCTGATGAAATTGAATCCTTCGAACGTGCCCTCAAGAGCCCATGATAATTAGCAAAATTTGCTTGCGACGACTTGAAGCCTATAAGGTCTGGGAACTTACCCTCGTTACAGGCCAGTAAAATGTTGGGACGGATGGCCTCTAAGAGTTTTTTATTGACTAGATTTGCAATTTTCGCACGTAGAGAAAGAAGATACAGGTTCTTCAAGCTTTTGGGGAGATCTGCAGAGGCTTGCCCCTCGTCAGAAGATGTCAGTTCCATTGGAAATAGAAGTAAAGTCATCACTAGTTCTAATTCCTTCATGTGTCTTTTATTAGAGCCCGCTTTCAACGCTAGCTTGTCCTGAGAATACTGAATCAGTTCCAAAATGAACTGGTTGGAAGTCTCTTCTGAAGGCAGCGTTGAAGAAGATCGACCTTGATGATGGTTCCGGATCATTTCTATGAGATTGAGCAAAAGAAGCTTGAAATGCAAATCGTCGTTGGCCTCAGCTTTGCCCGGTTCGTCACTGCGCTGTTCAAGAACTTCGACTCCAAATTTCGTGTTGATTTCATTTATTGCTTCCAGAATTTTACCTTTTTTGATCAGCTGCCGAATGTGCGCCCTTTCACCTATTTTGTATACCTTGTTGAACTCCGCTGCGTCCTTATTATTCTTGACGTACCCCAGCTCTCTGGCCATTCGGATACTGGCCTCCTCATAACTCATCACCACAAAGTAATTGAGCAATAGAACGGGAATTGAAGGCTCTACACAGAGCCTTTTGCTGGCGGATGCGCCTCCATATCTGTCACGGGTACTGGTCTTAATATCGAATGGAAGCCCGGAATCCATCACGTAATCTCTCCATTCTTGACGACTGAACGATTTCCGGTGATAATAGGTTCGGTTGCTAGTCATTTTGGTAGTGACACAAAAGTCTTAGCAGGTTAGCTCCCAACTAAATATTAGTTGTTCTTGGTCTTCTATGATCCTTTCAAGTGATGAGAACGTTTCCTCCCTAGTTTAGGCTTGCAAAACTATAGCCTTGTACGAGTGCTCATCTCAGCTGCATCGCTCTATGCGTAATGAGTCGATACTTGAGCCTGCGTTAATAATGATTATCACCATTAACGTAACTACTCAACTGGTACTCATCCGTATGTAGCAATTTAATTGTCTTATGATATCATATTTTACGTAGATACAAGGCATCGGGTTACTTATTATTCGCCATTGAAATTCAAGTGTGGTGAAACTGACACTCAGTAGTACCTTCCACCTAATCAAGGCTCTAGTGGATAGATATGTACAGGTTCCAATATATACAGATAGGGGCTTAGAAAATTCGTCGTAGCTTCATGATCTAGGTTGTGCACTTCACGTTGCTCTTACGATACTGCTTTGGCCAAGGGCTAAAATTTACCCCCGTTTGCCTGAGCCTTTTCTTTAGCGACCTTGTAAGCGGCATCAGAAGTCACTGTGTTCAACCATTTGTCGATGTGCGGATAGTCTTTGGCGTCAGCTGTCTTCCGCGAAAAAGCCATCTGCAAGGGGAGGCATATCAATATGTCGGCGGCGCTAAGCTTGCCGCCAACCAGGTAGCCCTGATTTTTCGAAAGTTGGCCCTCAAGGAAATCTAATTGGTTCTTCGTTTCACCGCGAGAATACCTTTCGCTAATCTTATCGGCGACTTTGCCAGTTAGATACGACAAAGGGAACGGAGTGGCATTTCTTACCATAGACAAGAGGTATTCAATGAAAAAAGGAGGCATCATCGACCCTTCTGCGTAGTGCAAGTAATACTGGATTTCCTCGGCTTTGTCCGGGTCAGCGTTGTTTAGCGAACCTTTTGGATCAAAATGCTGCAACACGTACTGAAAAATGTACCCCGACTCGGCTAGCACCTTCTTTTTGCCCGTGGCCCTGTCTTCTACTTCCACAACTGGCGATCTACCCAAGGGATGTATCTTCTTTAGGCTCTCAGGTGCCCGACGGCCTTCGTCCCTCATATAGGGAATAATTTCGTAGTCGAGCTTCAAATACTCTAGAAGCCATAAGACTTTGAAGGCTCTGGATTCGTTCAACCAGTGAACTCTAATAATTGGCGAGCTCATGGGTAATCCTGAAATATGGTAATCTAGGTTTAGAAAGTACAATCACTTTGATTTCATGGCTAAGAACCCTTAGACCCTTGAATATTTGGTGCTTTTTATACTTCTAGGAGAGGCTGATTCTTGATTTATAATCTATAGCAATTCTAAACTCAGGATATTTCAATCACTATAGCCGACAACGTCCGTTTCTGGTGCCCATCATGTCAGTAATTACAAAGCTTTGCAGTGATTGTTAGTGCTTTCACAATGCTCTCAGCCGCCGTAAGAGTTTCTCACGATACAATGAGATAATGCATTATAAACACCTCATCATTGACTTTCTATGATTTGGACGCTCAGAATTGCCTTGGGAAATAGCAAAGCTCGCTATCGGATGCTCAGATACAGGTAATCTGCCAAGAGTCTGGCTGGACCCCCAGATTTGTTCAAAGGTTCGTTCAAAGAGTACTACATGGTATCCCCGGATTTTGCAAAACTGTCATTAATTTTGCAAAGGGTCAGACAATACGTAAAGCAAGTTGTCTTCTTAGGTTCAAAGAAGTTTCGACACCTGCAGTTACCGTTACCGTTGAGTTTAATATTCTGGTTTGCTGCCGTCCCTGTAAGAGGGGCGCCGTGCAATTTTCAAAGATTCTTTTTGACCTCGGTATATGCTTGTTTAACATGGAGAAGACAACTAAAATCAATGCAAAAAAGAACGCTTGACGAACGACATCTGCACGGCATCAATGTACTTGTTATTAATACTTTTGCATATAATTTTTTAGCAAATAAACACACACGGCACTTTTTCGAACTCATACTATGATTCCAGGCAGAACTCTGTCGCCTAACATTTTAGTCGACGACTTGAAAAACAGATCAGCTAGTGCAAGCTGAAGAGGGATATTTGATGCAGTTTATCCCCTTGGCAAAAGGACTTGAAATCCTAAAAAAATTGAAAGCCGGCAACCCAAGAGAACACCTTCATTGCCCCCGCGTCAGCCAAAATCGCGAATCACACTGACGCCCGTGCGTAAGAAGAACTTTCAAGCTACTGGATGAAAGAAAAATTGTAGTTTTGACAATGGCTAGCGCTGTGGGCAGCAGGATCTTTGGAGAGCAAATTCCCTAATTAGCTGGGCAAGTCGAGACCACCCCAATATCGCTTAGACTCTAGTCATTTGGCGTCGACATTGATAGTTTCACCAACCCGCCAGCACCGTCACGTGAGGTATGGTGATATGAGTGACATGTGCCCCATGCTGCCCGATGCGGCTGAATGTGTAAGTAAGCTTGTAGTGTCGGCGGTGAAGTCAATCTCTGCGTGAATTGATATGAACGGAGTTCTCCTGCTATCAATGAAGTCCGGTAGTAAACAAAATTTCGCTTAATAATCCGAGTTCTTTTCTGTACCTTTGGCTTACTGGTCGTGTTGCAAAAGACAAGTCCAGAATGAACCTAAGCTTACCATCAGATTTGCTTTTTACACGATACAATGCAAAAATCATACTGAGTTTTGCCTGAGCTCTCACTGGAAGCCTGCATGCTCTTTACAGAAGTCACAGGAGTCTATCGTAGAAGCGTAGAATTACAGAGAGGACAACAGTAGCGACGAACAACATAGCTTAATCAGGGAGATACTTCCTCGGAGGTAGCCCTGTCTTGCCTTTTGGCAATAGCGCTTGAATTTGGGTAGTTAGATGCCGGAGGGAATAAACCCCTCAGGACCTAAGGTCGATTCGCCTTTCTCTGGTATATTAACCACCAAATTCCTGGACGGTCGCTCAATTCAAATAGTATAAGCTGCTGATCTTTGAACAGCTCTTTATTCATAGAAATGAGTATTGCCGCGAATGCTCCAGTGGCCGTCTCCCATCAGCACCCAGCTGCCCTATTCCAGCGAAACGCGTCCTCAGGTTCGAGTAGTAGCTTGAATTCAGCAGCAGGTGTACAGGCACATGAGGGTGTCCCCCAACCTCTTCACCCAGCAGTTATTCACCAATGTCTTCCCTCAATCGACACCTTTAGCCTGCCTCCGCCACATACGCAGTCGCGTGGGCCACCTGCTTTGACAAATCTCACTCGTATAAGTCCTAAATCTTCTAATTTGAGAAAGGATTTTGACGAACACGATACTCTAAGACCTGGCAAAACGGATTCCGGCGCTAAGGCTCCAGATAAGCCAACAACCCATCCACTTGACACACCAGCAGGTACTTGCAGTGCCCAGACCTTGGGAGTGGAGTCCTTTAATGGTCCCGCTCTAAGGCAGAGAGACTCTAAAATGATATCACAATTGGAGCCTGTTGGAACCACCCCAAACATCCCAACTCTTCAAAACAGAAGGAGACATTCTTTCGAGCCTTCTGCTGGGTTTATGATGGGCAAAGTTATAATTCCCAGGGAGCGATCTCATGAAAGTGACTCGTCTTGGATCTTTCAGAGTAAAGTGGCGTCCTTGATCGATCTTAAGGAGCATTTGCTGGACGAAGTGAAAGAGTGGGAGACGTCTAGTCGAACTCGGTTTGCAAGCGAAAAGGAAATCTTTGAATTTTTGGATGGGGTTCCCCTGATGGCTCTCCAAGAGCTGTCAAAAAAGTCGGAGCAGCTAGTGAAGCTGACAGATGATATTCTCAGTATTAAGCGCGAAAGAGAATTATTCAGAAAGGATACAAAACTGCCTGCTGGTGATTCCTCTCAAACGGAGAGCGGCTCTTATGCTCCTCATCATCCCTCTCCATTGGATACCACAGCACAATCCCCCATCAGATCCTCGAACTTTGTAATTCGAAAGAACTACGTCTTCTCCTCAAAACCGCAGTTACCACCATTGTTGTTTAAGGAAACGCCCAGAAGACTTGATAGCATAGTCGAACAAAATCCACCTAGAGGCACATTTAGTGTGAATCTAAAGCCACCCATGGCGAAGGATACCGAAAAGACGAAACATGATTCGAAATATCCAACCAATTTTGTGGCGCCGCCACGTCCTGTAAGCCTTGACCATGCTAGTTCGATTGATTCCCGTCCTCTTGGTGCGGCCAAAATTGAGAAACATTCGAAGATGCGCAATTCATTGCCTAACGCTGGCACTTTCAATTCCGGTTTCGGTTCTAAGAACATGTCATTGAATGAAACAGGCTGCAACCACTGCTCGAGGAAAGACACACCTGAGTGGAGACGGGGGCCTTACGGAAACAGGACGGTCTGCAATGCCTGCGGACTATTTTATGGGAAACTTGTGAAAAGATTTGGTCATCAAAGAGCAAACATTTTCATGCATTATAGAAAGAACACCCAACCAGCCGATCGAAGAGTTCCGGCGACGTTCCATATACCAGATCCCTTTTTGAGTCAAGCGCTGACCTTGGAGTAGTGTCGAAGTTACGTGCCGACGAAAATTCATATTCACAATGTTCAGGTGTTTTAAAGAGTGATTTGTTCCTGGGCTCTTTTCCATGCCAAAAACCACTGTTTCATTTGGCTGACCATATATGGGTCATGAAGGTTCACTGTCGGTATAATTTCTTGCCAGGTCATTTTGACACAGAAGTTCGACAAATCTTTGAAGCTACTGTGTTCGGAGTAGGGAACCCTGAAAACCTGAAAGCGAGATGATCTGTTGTATTGGCGGAAAAGAGTCCCCTCGTTCATGGTATCTATCTCTTCATAATTCAGTAGCCATTTCGTGTGCTCAATTTTTTCTTCTAATGTCTCGTAAAGACGAGCAAACTTGCCCCCGTTCTTGAAGGTCCAACCTGTTGGGTAAAAGGCAACCATGTCTTCATAAAGGTGTGAAATGGGCTTAAAATATCGTTGCATTCCCTCTTTAGATGATAGCGTGCGCAATGGGACAATATGCACGCAAGATTTAGTGACATCATGAGTTATCAGATGGGTCGGAAACGTTTCTTCGTAAGTCTGAATAATTCTATGCTTCGGGGTATTCTTTGGTAAGAAGATTTTGGTACCCAGCCGTTCGGCTAGAGCAACCGCCACTTTCTCTTTTCCAATCGTGTAGGTTCCAACGAGAAAAACATAGCGATAGCGATGACAGCGTGTCAAAGGATTGGCGATAAAAGATAATATCGAAGTCTGACGATCTTTGAAAAGCTTCTGCATTCCAATGGTATTGATTTGTTCCGCAAACCGTGAAGTTACATCCAAAACCGACTTTTGCATAGGGAAATGGAAAGAAGGGTACATGTAGGTGGTGTCCAAGTAGACCCTATGAATCACGGCATTTTGGGTGAACTCGTTTATGCTATTAATGAGTTCGTCATTACTTCTGAAGTCTCCCGTATGCAAAACTCGCTCGATCACGACACCTGCGCTATCGAATTCTTGGAATAGGAAAACCACAGCGCCTGGACAATGGTTGGCGTCGAAGCAAGTCACAGTAACGCGATCGGATATGTTAACTGTTTTCCCAATCTCCAGGATGACAAGTCGCTCACGTGACAACCGAAGCTTGTATACCAGTAGTTCTGCAGTTATTTTGGAACAGTATACTGTTCCCTGACACCAAGATTTCTTAAGTCCAATGTAGTGATCCGCGTGGAAATGTGAAAGAAAATATTGGGTAACGGACGGGTCGTTTGCATAGTTGAAGCCGTCGACGACAATGCTATAGCAGCTAAAATGAATTTTCTTGACGTCTGGGAGCGGCGGTAACGGCTTTTTCGATCGTCTCGTATCCAATTTGTCCGTTCCGGCACAACTGTCGCAGTGTTGGTCCCTTATGTGCAGTTCCATATGCGTTAACACAAGACCGCAAAGCGGGCATAAGATTTCCTGGTGTTCTACCTTAGCTGCGAGAGTTTCAGACACCAAAGTTTGTTTCGAAGCCGTGACGTCCACGAAGACGCTTTTCTGCTCGATGACCACCACATCTGGGTCGGGTATTGACTCTTCATTGGTTACGGCTTTCGTCGTGAAAACGTCACTCGAACTTCCGGCAACGCCTGCCGTATCTGCTATTTCCTCTGGGTCGATCTTCGTACGGTAGTTTGCGTTGGGACGTTGCTTTAAAGTCTCTTGATGCTCCGCCGGAGAGCACGGCGTCGTCACCGGTGTCACCTCAACTTTTACATCTCCGGGGCAGTTCTCAGTCCCGTCATTCTCGTCATCGTCGCTGTCCAGACTTATCACTATGGGACGAAGACGGCTGTCAGGGAGAGCCCTTTTTGTCTGAGAAAGGTCAAAATCGCTTAGTTTTCGCTGTCTCTTCTTGTCATTCATAAGCTTCGAAAAGAACGAAAATACTTCCTAGCCGTCAAAGGCTTCTGAAAACGAAGCTTATGATTGCTCGAGTGCTGCGGTGTCACTGTCGCTCCTGGATAGTCTCACGCTCTTCTTCGGCATTCTGTCTTTCGAGTTGCCAGTATAATTGGATATTTAATTTTCAAGGTACTCGGCATCGGGCCCTTGGCTCACTAGCGTAAAACAAAGCCAATTACACGCAGAAGAACATCATGGGCCTGCTGACGATCATCAGGAAGCAAAAAATCAGGGACAAAGAAGTGCGATGTCTTGTTTTGGGGCTGGACAATGCAGGCAAAAGCAGCGTGGTCGATTGGGTCCTGTGGTCATGCACGGGCAAAATACGAAGCGAGGTCACACCAACTATTGGGTTCCGTATCCACACCGTCCCCTTCGCTGCGCGAAACGTACAATTGTGGGATATTGGTGGCCAGTCGACGCTGCGGCCTTACTGGGATAACTATTTCGACAAGACCGACGTTTTGCTGTGGGTCATCGACGCAACGGCGCCCCGAAGAGTCGACGAGTCCATCGCAGAGCTCACAAATCTGCTCAGAGATCGTGACAGAATCGGCTACAATTGTCGGATCATTGTCCTCTTGAACAAGGTGGATTTGGTATCCGACGCGGCGGACCTCGCAGCGAGCCTGGAACAGCAGCTGCAAGACATGCTGCGGCTTAGCAACATTCCTCTATCGATGCGCCCAACTAGTACCGTCACGGGACAGGGCCTCGAGGGCCTGATGCCCGAGGTAGTGGCCGATGCGCTGGCGGTCCCAGAGCCACGTGATCATCACGCAACCACTGCAACTGCCTCTTCCACATAACAGTCGGGTTGGCCTGTCATGGGCGTTGCCTGCACATAGGCATTCCACCTCCCGGACCCATACCCGAACCCATACCCGGACCTTGACCCAAACATACACCCAGACCCACACGCACCGTCTCTCCAACGCCTGCCCCTCCTGTGACTGCCCGCGTGGCTGCCGCCAGGAACCGCGCTCGCTCTCCTTTGGCCCGTCCATGACTCACCCATACACCACTTCCACGACCCCCAACTCCCGCACGCCGTACACGCGTACAAACCTGCACTATAAAGACGACCTTGTCCGGGAAAGAGCCATCGCGCGAGAAGTGGCGTTCAGGCACTCCAACCGAGAGAAAGAGTACTTAAAGGAGCCCCGCGAGCAGAACTTCAGTCTCTTACAAGTCTTCTTACCACATCACTTCCAAAGACCCCACCACTCTGCATACACCATGGTCAAAGTCGCCGTTCTCGGAGCCGCGGGCGGAATCGGCCAGCCCCTCTCACTGCTGTTGAAAATGAACCCATATGTGTCGCAGCTCGCGCTGTACGACATCCGCCTTGCGCCCGGTGTCGCCACGGACCTTAGTCACGTGAACACCAATGCCCGTTGCCGCGGCTACTCCAAGGACGAGCTTAACGCCGCGGTCAGCGGCGCTAAGCTCGTCGTCATACCGGCGGGTGTGCCCCGGAAGCCCGGAATGACGCGGGATGAGCTGTTCCGCGTCAACGCGGGCATTGTGGCCCAGCTCGTCACCGCGGTAGCCCAGAATGCGCCACAGGCGCGCATTCTGATCATATCGAACCCAGTCAACTCCACAGTGCCCGTAGCGGTCGAGACCTTACGTGCGCTGGGCGCCCTTTCGCCCGGCAAGGTTATGGGTGTTACGACGCTTGACGTCGTACGCGCACAGACGTTTCTGAGCGAGTCTCTTGGCGCTGCTAACTACGCCCGCGACGGAATGCGTCGCCATGTCACCGTCGTCGGCGGCCATTCGGGAAAGACCATTGTGCCCCTTGTTCTGAACAATACGTACCGTGCGCGGCTAATCGCCGCGGATGCCAAGGCGGCTAAGCGCGGCGGTAAGGCGGCAAACGGCTACGCTGCGTTTGTGCACCGCGTCCAATTTGGCGGAGACGAGGTCGTAGAGGCCAAACAGGGCGCAGGGTCTGCTACCTTGTCTATGGCACTTGCTGGGTACCGTTTTGCCGAGCAAGTGCTCAAGAGCATCCACTCAGAAGCGACTGAGGGTCCTGTGCCTTGTTTCGTGCACTTACCAAGCATTGCGGGCGGATCGGAACTACAGGAACGACTCGCGGCGCTAAGCGGCCGCGAGTCGCGCTCCATTGAGTACTTTGCCGCGCCCGTGCGCCTGGAGCATGGCGAGGCAAAGCACGTAGAGTGCGCGTGGCTGGACGCTGTGCATAAAGAAGAGCAGGCACTGCTCGTAACCGCGATTGCGGATCTGGAAGCCAACGTAGTCAAGGGCAAGCGGTTTGTACAGAGCAAGATGTAGGTGTGTAAGCGTGTAGGCGTGTGTAAGCGTGTGTAGGCTTAATCCCAGTTTACGATGGGTTAGTTAGGTAGGCGCGTAGATCAACGAGCCTGGAGAACGGCCCCTTAGACCGCTTCGGATTGGGGTCTGGTCTTGCTTTGCTCGTCGCATTTACGTCGCAAATTGCGCTGAGTAGCTTCTTACGAAACGGGGATGAATGAAAACGCTCAATGGTACGATCCTGGGATCAGGGAAGTGTGAGCTCCGACAGACATACCAGCAGTACTCAAAACCCGCGTACACCGCTACAAGTCTCTGATATCTCCGAATCGCAGGTCTAGATCTCAGATCCAGCCTACTGCTCAGCGTTTTCTACCCCACTTTTTCCCGCGATGTCCGTTTGTCTAGCTATCACCAAGACGCTCGCGGTCTCGTCGCTGGGCATCTACGCAGGTGTCCTTGCGACAGCCACCACGATGGTATTCACGACCCCGAAGGAAATCCTCCTGAAACAGTCGTGCGCAAAAACTGAGGCCAGCAAGGCCGCCGTCGGCTGGCCCACTGTGCGCGCAATCATGCGGCTCGCCGCCGCAGCAGGAGCCTCGTCAGTCCTGTTCTTCGGCCTCAGCTACTTCGGCGCGCCCCCAGTCTGGCGCCACCCGTACTTGCTCTACGGTATGCTCGTCGCGCCGCTTTCCGGCTGCTACTCGCTGCTCTCCAGCGCGTGTCACGGCAAGAAATGCTCCAGGGCCAAAACCGGCGCTACGTGCCCGGCCAAGAAATGTCCCGTGCCTCATGCGACGCCTGCTGCCCCTGCCTCTGCGCCAGGGTCCAGTCTCGAGGACTCCGTCGTCGACCTAGGTGCGCCCGCAGAGCCCGCTGGACCTGCTGCCCCTCACCCCGTCCCTATCGCAACCCAGGACTCTGCGCCTGCGAGAACCACATCTGCGTGCACCGTCCGCATCCACCTGTCCGTGATGACCTCGCTCGCGCTTATCGGGTTCGTGCAGTCCGTCTTTGGCGTCTACGGCGAAGGTTTGTTCGTGTGAACACTCCGGGAATCACCTTATTGTCCTTGGACTTCCACTGTGCTCTCCCTCGCGTCGACGACGTCTGCTGATGCCCACCTTATGAGCCAACGCTGATGTCTTCGTTGTTGTCGCCGTCGCCGTCGCGGCCCCGTTGCTACGAGCAACGTCGTCTTTCTATGCTTTGCCCGGTTTCGACGTATTACGTAACGGAAGCTACTATTTAGTTGGAAAACACACTCCTCAGGAAGAACCCTTTAGAGTCTCGGAGAAATCTCGGAGAAACCTCTGTTCCCTACAGAGCTCCCGTATCATGCCATCCCGGTTCCCCCACGATGACGTGAATTGTTACCACGTCAGTTCCAAATACGTATAACCTATAGCAACCCTCGTTGCCACTCACAACAACTTTCACTTCCATGTGTCACCAGCGCTGCCGTTTGTTTCGTGCATTCTTTTCGAGCGTGTGTCGGACTTTCACGGTACACCCTGACATTAGCACACCCATACACCACACTCAAAACCCGCATCGTCCCATTTGCTACGGTATTCGTTCCTACGTAACTCGCTGCAACCAGTCGCAACCTTAGACGCTCCCGAGCAACCACGTGACCATACTGACGTCTACCTTCCAATCATTTTGCTGTGCTTACCGCAGACATGGATACTGTCAGATAAAAAGATACCCCAGGCGACCGCAACTTCCGTCGTCCAGCCTACATCATCCATGTAGTAAGCGTTTGCTGTGCGGACATACGCAAAAATCTGATAAATACTAGACGGATCTCATATATATTAGCAAAATCAGGGGCCTTCCACGGCCAGATCGCATGTTAGGTTAGTTCCACCCAAAGCACATCTGAATGCTTGAATGATCTATAGCTCAAGTCTCTTATTAACAGCTTCCTTTAAACATGTACACAAATCTAGTTAAGCTCCAGACAGGAACGTTCAGCACTGTGTACTGGGCTCAACATGCGGAATCTCTACAGGAAGTGGCGCTCAAAGTGATCACAAAGCCAGGCACCGGCGACACTGCAGATCGGGGTGTGGATCCGAGTGCCGTGCACAAAGAACTTCGTAACGAGCAGATGGCGATCCTCGTGCAGAACGAGCTGGATATCCTTTGGTCCCTAGGCCAGTCGCACCCAAACATCTGCGGATTGCTGGATTTCGGCAAGAGCCGGCATCACTGGTTGTTTGTCATGGAGTACGCTGCCAACGGAGATCTTTACGAACTGATACGGAAGCTGTGGCTTAAACATGAAAACGGTGGTCACGGTGGCTGTCACGTGACAGGAGGTGTCAATGACAATCGCTGCCAGGTGCTTTCGTACGGGAGTGACGCTGCTGCTACTGATGGGGTCCCTGAAGAAGTGTGCAGTCTGGATCTCGTCGAGGCGGTCTCGCAGCTGTGCGGCGCAATTTCATATGCACACAAGCTGGGAATTGCACACCGTGATATCAAACCCGAAAACGTACTTGTGGACAAAAACGGTGTCTTCAAGCTCGCGGACTGGGGCCTGAGCGTCAAGCAAAGCGTGTCACGTGACCACGGGATCGGTACGGAGAAGTATCTAGCGCCAGAGGCGCATTCAGAAGGGTATGACACATTTGCTGCAGATTTGTGGTCGCTTGGGATTACGCTTTTATACGTCATGTTTGGCGTGTGTCCATTCCGGCGCGCGGTGCCCTCAGACCCAAATTTCGCGCGCTACTGCCAAAACCCTCGCAAATTCATGATTGAGTACTATTTCAAGGACACCAAGAAAAACCCGGGCCAGATCAGATCTCCCTGGATACATCTACCGTTGGGTGCTTACGCGAGCCGAGACCACTATTTGATGCACATGCTGCTCTGCATCGTCAACTGCTTACTGTCTCTGGACCCTCTACAGCGGCACATGGGCTGGTTTCTGGCAAGCTTGGGTGCCAATCACAATGAGGGGTCTGTGGAGTACAGTCCTCGTGGCTCGCATTCGGACAACCGCCACAATTCCATCGCGTCCGTCACTTCAGTGGATTCAGAAGAATCTATTTTCTCGAACGGCTCGGCGATGTCTACCCGCACCACGCCACCCAGAGTAAATACAAGACGGCCCCGTTCCAACAGTGACAGCGCCAGTGTGACCCAAGATTTTTTTCACTCCGGCATCGTCATGAATCCTGACGCTGTAGCATGCCTCTACGACCAAAAGAGAGGCGCAAATTTAGCATCGGTCGCGGACCAAGTCCTGCGCCAAGAACTGGCACTTGAGCCAAATAGTTGAAACACATCGAAATATTTTTATCAGGGCAAGGAGCGATCGAGTCTAACAGCGCAGACCTAAAAAAACACCTTTATAAACTGCGCTTCTCGGGACTCCATTATTTGGATATAGGTTGCAAGAGATCAGGACATGTTTCGGGAAAATTTGGGAAATATGCACTGACAACGGATTCTTTACAATATCCACGTCATGTAGATAATGCGTTTGTTGATATTCGGGTTTCCGTTCTTGTATTAATTGTGCTAACTATGTACATGACCAAGACCCCATTCACCAAGCCAGTGGTGTGGACGTCTCTATTCGTTTTTCCTGATCTGCCACCTCGACGTTGTCGATAGTGTGTGCGACAATGCGCTCGTTTCGCTCATCGAATTCAAAGATGAAAATTCCACTCAATACCCTCGAAATGGGTAATTGGGCCTCATGTGCAGAACTGGCATTTGTGACCAAAAAGTTCTGCGACAATTGCTGGCCCGGATGGTTTATGTACTTTAAAATCTCCTTGCGCTGGCTATCTGAGAGTAAAATGTCGCTTGACGCGGCTTTGAAAAGTCCGAGTTTGGCCTCAGACGTCACGTCGTCTGCGCCCAGATGCGGACAATTGTCGGGGCAGCTTTGCCAATGCACAACGAGCTTGTCCATGCTTGTGCACGTGTTGTACACTTCGCACAATCGTTCTCGCGGGAAGGACTCACTGTTGGTCACATGCAGTGCGCACCGTTCGTTCAGCATAAAGTTACGGATTATGAGTCTTATCGCGTTCAAAGAGTGTTTGTACTTGGTGACACCGTGAATCGTGGGGATGTAGGGATGCGTCGTGGGCAAAAGTCGTAGTCTAATGTTCTCGTCAAGCAAATCATCTTTGACAGACTCCTGCAGCATTCTTGGTACGGCGCGCTCAATTAGGTATTCTGCTATGGCGCCCAAATTTGCATGTCGATCAGGTTTCCTGCATGCACAGAGCGTTCTGCGGAAAAGGCTGGCATACACGCGACCTTGTAAACCCATCCTACTACATTCTATAAATCCCTTAGTACTCAAAGGTTCATAAGCCGTTGAGATCCTAAGCGGACTTTAAATTTCGAACATCACAGCGTACGTCTATCAACAGACATTCCATCTTCCAGGCGACAGATTATCATGACTAACACGGGGTAAACAATGAACACCAGGAATATAAAAGAATCTACCACCACAAGCCATGCCCCATTTCACCTTTAGTTGTGCTAATAAAACTGTTGTTTAAATCAAAAAAGTGTTCTCAAACATGGTAAAATCATCGTGATCGGAATTTATTAATGTTCATTGAAGTTCGTTGGGCGATGGATTGGGAATGAGGCCCTGGAGAGTCAACCTTCAAGTCACTTCACGCTATGAACTGAGTTAAACGTCTACTTCAAGAATCGGGTGTGGAAGAAGACGGCATGCAAACAAAACAAAGTTGGAAATTAATAAATCGCAATAGATGAAAGAAAAATCTAGTGGCACGATGCGGCGACACGTTTGCTTCAATTGCAATGACCAGTTGGCTTTTGTTTTGCTTCATACTTGAGAGGATCACTCGCCTTGGTTTTTGACGAAGAAAGACCATACGTACGTACACAGTGACGGTCGATATTTCGCTATTAGTGAAAAGTTTTCTTGATTCGAGCTCTCTAAAGCTTAGAGCTAGGAACGGTGTTGAACGTTAACAAACAACCTCAATCCCGCACAGCATCACAATGTCTACTCAAATATTAACCAAGACATCGACGGAGATCGATATTTTTGACGGATATCCATCTTTCGAGCAATTGACGCGGGATGAAGCAGAGAGAATTAATGTATCTCTCCTGTCGCCCTGCGGCCGGTTCATGGCCCTTGCAAACACAGAGGAAGTGAAAATTTATGCAGGCGACAAGCTTTCGAAACTGCTCATAACGCTTGCGTTGAAAGACGTTTACGATCTACATTTTTCGCCCTCGGGAAATTACCTGAGCACCTGGGAGAGGCCGTCGATTTCAGATGCGGAGCATAAAAACGTTAAGATCTGGTACTTGAATGAGGAATCACCTTCTTCAGAGGCCAAATTTACTTACCAGGCGAAAGTTCAGAGTGGTTGGGCCCTTCAGTTCACCAAGCTGGACAATTTTGCAGTGAAGCTGTTTGGCAAAGAGATCAGAATTGTTAAGCTTGACTCAGAGAACACAGAGTTCAATTTCAATAAACCGTTCAGTAAACTGGTTCCTGAACAACAGATCTCTAGTTTTTTGATATCTCCTTCGGAGCACCCAACCATTTGCACGTTCGCGCCTGAAAAGGGTGGGAAACCCGCTGTACTGAGCATATATGCCATTTCAGAGGGCACCATAGAGAAGAAAATTGCATCAAAGACCTTTTTCAAGGCCGACTCTTGTCAGCTCAAGTGGAATGCGATGGGCAATGCAGTATTGTGCATGGCAACCACGGACTTTGACTCCTCCAACAAATCTTACTACGGCGAAAATACCCTATACCTACTGTCATTTCAAGGTGTTAACGGCGCTTTGGGAGGAAAATCGGTGCGTGTACCTCTTTCCAAAGAGGGACCAGTTCACGATTTCACGTGGTCGCCCACCTCAAGGCAATTTGGCGTCATTTATGGATTCATGCCAGCCACTATCACCTTTTTTGATTTGCGCGGCAATGTCGTTCATTCTTTGCCCGAGCAGCCGAAAAATACCATGCTTTTCTCACCCTCTGGTAGATATATTTTGATTGCAGGCTTCGGTAATCTACAAGGTTCTGTCGAAATTTTGGATCGTCACGATAAATTCAAATGCATTTCCAAGTTTGACGCAGCTAACACTTCAGTTTGTAAGTGGTCCCCCGGTGGCGAGTTTGTGATGACTGCAACAACTTCACCTCGCTTGAGGGTTGACAATGGTGTGAAAGTATGGCATGTTTCTGGCGCCTTGTGTTTTGTCAAAGAATATAAGGAGCTTTTGAAAGTCGACTGGAGACATCCTTTTGCCGCTGACAGAAGTAACACAAGCCATGTCACCGATGCCGAATTAAAGAGCGAGGATGATATCAGCGATCCAAAGCTTGAAAAGCAGAATGTCGAGATACATCCATCTGCATCTGAGTATTTGGCTAAGCGTCAGAAAAACGGGTCCTCCAATGGATCTCAAGCCAAACCAGTCGGTGCTTACCGCCCTCCCCATGCCCGCAGAACAGGCGGTTCTCCAGTTCCCGGTGCAAGCCTCAAACCAGTCAAAACCATACCAGGCGTAGCTGCTCCTAGCGTCGTGCCTGGCCTAGGTAGCAAGGATTCCAAGGCGGCGCTCAAAAACAAGAAAAAGAGAGAGAGCAAGAAAAAGGAGGAGACCCCTGATGATGTCAATGTCCCTGAAGCGGATCAGCCGAAGGTAAATAAGGAAGTTTCTCCAGAGGACAAAAAAATTCGTTCTTTGCTGAAAAAGCTTAGAGCGATCGAGTCCCTCAAGCAGAGACAGGCAGTTGGAGACAAATTAGAAGATACTCAGGTTCTGAAAATACAATCAGAAGCCAAAGTGCTTCAAGAACTGGAACTGCTGGGCTGGTCTGATGAGAAGGATAAAAATAATTAAAAGACAAAACCCTGTTAGCCATTCTCAGGGAGTATTTATGCAACGATCGCAAGCAATTTACGACCCAAGCACTGCGGAGGTGCATGATTCCCGACGATACAATAGCATATTCTTGAAGGCATCAGTTACTTAAAATAATTGATTTTATTTAGTATCATGTAGTGCATAAAATCTCCCACAATGAACATGTGAGGTTTACTATCAGACAATAGCTTATTCTCTCGTAAATATCTTCAATTTCAACCAGTTAACGCTAATAAAGAAGTTTTGTAGAGGTGAACATTGCCACCTCGTACTTGCCTGTTAGCTGCTTCTTCGATAGCAGTGATCACGTGATGATTATATAAAAATCATTACCATCCTCTAAACCACAATGAAGGCTTAAAGTAAATTCAAACAGAACCTAAGAGCTGATCTTCCTAAAATGACTGAAGCGTCTTCCCTGAAGCGGTCACCTACGACACCTTCTACACCAAGGTTAGCGGGTGATTACAACAGTAAAAAGTTTAAAGGGGAATTTAGTTCATCACCAACGAAGTCAGGTAAGAATAAAACTCCATCGGTCAAAGAATTGATGAAGGAGAACATTTGTCAGGCTCGAGAGCTCAAGAAGGTCAAGGAACTTCTGTCATTTTTGGAACTCGAAAGAAAAGCTTCCATGGAAAACTATGGAACATGATGTGGTAGCGTAACCGACTTATTTAGCCACATTTTGCAATAGCTCGACGATGCCTGCGCTACTTATTCTCTTGGAAGACTCGAAGGGCATCATCCCGATAAAACACTCTATCAATTTGGATTTTTGAGGCTCTTCGATGGATTCAAGGGCAGGGAAAAGCTCCAAGCAGCAAGTTCTCTGTTGATCTGCGTCCCTGTCCAAGATGTATTTTCCATCACCATCAGAACCAAACATGCCTTCAAAGGCTGGCGACCCAAATTTTTGAACCTCCGGCCACTGTTGTACCCTTGGAATTCCCAAGCTTCGGAATATGGATGCTATTAATCTGATGTCGCTTCCTTCGCCGATTTCCCCCGTCCCGTCATCAGCAAAAGCTGGGATATGTGTTCGAGATTGAGTGACAGATTGAAACATTTGGGAAGCTAAGACTAATAAGGCCCACACGTCGACTGGAAAAGAATAATTTTTCACGCTAAACAGAAGTTCTGGCGCCTTATAAATTGAAGTAGACACATCTGTTATTTTGAAATCCAATGGCTCCTGAGGTTTATTCACGTTGTAAGCAATACCGAAATCTATGAGCACTAATTGTGGTATCCGTGCTTTGCTGGTCACTTCGAAATTTTGACTCACAAGAACATTCTGTGGTTTTACGTCTCGGTGAATAATACCATTTTCGTGGATGAATTTTAAAGCAATTGCCAGTTGAACAAAAAACGAGACTGCAAATTGTTTATCCAGCTTGTTGACAAAAGTTTCTTTAGCCTCTCGGCTCTCTAGAAGATATGGATTCCACCTTTTTTTCTCGAGATTTCGCAGCATATATTGATACAAGTTTTCTTCATAAAAGGGAAATTTCATAGTTACTATCCCGTTTACTATTTTGGAGTTAAGTATCTCAATAATGTGCTTGTTTTTGCCTTTGAGCAGGTTCAAAATGTCAAGCTCGCAGATAGGATCATGCGGCTTGACGACCGAATCCAGGGGTGTAGATTTCACCGCGTAGCACCCATCTTTTTCAATCACTGAAAATTTGGTCGAGGCAATAATGTTGTCGCTAGAACTCATCATAGACCCCAGTTCACTCATGTTTTGATCTCGGTGTGTTCATCGGAATGGCCATCGCATTGCCAAGCGATGCCTACCGATTTGTGGAAATTGGTGAATCACAATCGACGACTGATCCGTCACATCATTACAAACTTCAAATAGTGGGCCATGAGCTCGAGGAATGGAAGTCATATTCATTCATAACTTGCTAATTTGCCAGCAATTACGCTACGATTCGAAAGATTTTAGCATGCAAGCAACGATTTTGGAATAAACCCCTAGCCCGCTCTTTTTACTAATTTACATTACACCGCTGTTTTCTTTACGGTTTCAGCCATCATCGTACAGCACTTCAGTATGATCTCGTGCCGGCTCGAGTTGGTGGAAGCCGACTCAAGCTGATCGCCAACTTACAAATCCTCGTTTCTAATGTGAAGGTAAAGTCATAACGTAATATTTATATCAACATCCCATGTCATCGTTACAAGATCTATCTACCGATTCAAGATCCTTGAAAATAAAGACCTTTCATTTGTTCTTTTTCAAAAGCCTCTCCTCAGTGCCATAAACTCTGTCATCGTCATCACCCTCGACTTGCTTCTTGATGATTTCCATCTTTTTAACTTGCTCCTCCCAGGTTTGCGAGCTCTTCTTCAAAGACTTGTTAAACAGCTCTCTGTCAGGTTCTCTGTAAGTACCCCCGAGTCTGTCCCATAGTGTTGTGAACTGCCCATAGTTGTAGTTGAAGTACAAGTGGTGAACAGTGTGACACGCAGCACCGTTGACAACGGGGTCGTTTGCCAAGTACTCACCGTCGTGGATCATCACGGTCCAAACGTTAACAAAAGTGAATAGGATCAAGTAGGACACCTTGTGCAGGGGAAACAACATTGGATACACGTGGTATGGAAGCGATTGGCAGTAACCGTCCACAGGGTCGAAGGCGTGGGAGGCGTAAGGAGTGGTCACTAGCCATTTGTGGTGAGGCTTGTGAAGAGCCTTGTACACACGAGGCCAGTGCAACCATCTGTGCGCCAAGTAAATGCCGCAATCGGTAAACATCAAAAAGTAAAAATACTCCAAAAACCATTGACGCACGCCGTGGTTTTCATAGTCAATGTCCATGTATAGCTTAGAGTAGCCGTGCAGCTCCAATAAGAACCAGGGCACGGTCAACAGCACCATGGTTGGAATGGAAGTCATGGCCTGCCAGATTTCGAGCGACATTTGATTTTTCAAATATCTAGGGTGGTTGAAAACGGCCTTATCGAAAATGAACAAGTATGAGAAGGTCGCCGCCGCGAGATACAACAGCCATCCAAATATCGTGGTAATGACCGTCAACGACAACAGTTGTCTCAAAACGTTGTAACGGGGCAATACAGACTCAAAGGTGTACTCTGTCATTCTGAAGAGATAAGGCACATAGCCATAGATCTCTGGAGAAGACCCCACAGCTTTATTGGCCAAGTCTTGCAAAAGAATCGTCGAGTTCCCCACATCGTGGTTCAATGCCAGCACTGACTGCCATTGCGGTGCGACATGTGATGCTAGTGTCGCAGGCAAAGTCTTGGCATAAACGTAATCCAAGCCGTAGGCATCGAAAAATTCCAAAACTAAATCCATATCGATGCTTTAGTGTTTAGTTTTAGAACAAAGTTTATTAGCTTTTAGCTCGAGATGACTTTCGATTTTTCAGATTTCGGGGAATATATAGTCCGTTGCTCGTTTGAAATTTTTTCGGTTAGAACTGACTATACGAGAATCACCACGATACGAGCGACAAGTATACGAAGGAGTGATAAAGAGACGAGCTTTGTCCGTTATCCCCACATATAGCGGAAATTGGCGCGCACTGCGAGTTTTCGCATACGGCGTCAATTCTTTCCCTCGTCTTTGGAGATCCAGCTTAGCGCAAGTGGGTGCAGAGACTTGGTGTAGCCTAACTTAACGGTTTTGCCAGATTCAGTGACCTTCCGTAGCTCTTGTTCGAAAAAGACGTCTTGCTTGTAGTCCAAAGATTTGACTAGTCGGCCGTCGCGTATGTGGATCAGTTTATCGGGCCATTCTGCGAGGCCATCGAAAATATGGGTAGCGTAAACGACGGAACAACGACGATTCCTCGTTTCGTGCTCGAGAAACGAGAGCAGCCGACTGCGTGCGAGTACGTCGAGGTCAACAGTCACTTCGTCAAGCAGCAGCAGACGCCAGGGCTTGAGAAGACCCATGGCAAGCTGGACGCGACGTTTTTGCCCGTCGCTGAGTCGATGCATACGCCAATTCACGTCCACGTCTAAAATGTCAATGAGAGCTTCACCGCGGTCGCGAAAATGCTCAAATCCAATGCTGTTTAAAAGCTCAAGGACTCCTATGTCTCTGTTGATGAACGACATGTGACACCATTCGGTACCGAGATACGTAGTAGTTTGACACCCATCCTGTTCCCTGTGCTGTTGAGACACAGGGCTGAACGGATCCATCCCGTCCACTAAGATGTTACCTGTGAGGCAGAGATGTTTTCCGCTCAAAAGCTTCAGAAGCGTCGATTTGCCCGCGCCGTTCGAACCTACGATCAATGTTCGGGTATTCCATCCGACCTCGAGACTAACGTCAACGAGAGCCGGCGCTGGAGCATTAGGAAATTTGTATGTGAGGCCTTGGACTTCAATGGCCAACGACATGACCAACTGGGACGTTACTTCTGTATTTTAGCACTTGATCTTGGCGTCGAGATTTCCTTTTTTTTTCGATACATGTCTTGACAATTAACGAGCGCCTAAAACAGAGACAGGTATTAGTGAAGCAGTGACGTAAGTGAACTGAGCGAAACCTGGCAGCGGAACGCTGCCAGCTCTCCGTTTTACCGTGAGATAAATTTCATAAATTTCATAAACTTCATTAGTTTCCGCGAAACGGGACTTTCGAAAACGACAAACCGTTGCCTGCGTAAATGCTAGGCCCGGCTCATAAGAAACTGTAGATCTTTGTCATATAGAGGGTATTCGAAATGAATTGAGCATTCAGTGTTTAGGCCGACAGCGCCTTTATATTTGTTCTACGTCAAGTCAGTTGGTAGCCTGGAAACCTAACCGTGTAATGAAAGCAGCTGATTTATTTAATGAAAACAAGAATTTTCGTGAGATAATTAAATAGGAAAGAACGGACACCAGAAATGGGTATAGTGACAGAGATCTGTAGGTGTCACATATTTAAGGAACTGGTCATTTCCTAGTTCAATCACACGAGCTTGTTCAACCAAGGACCACGAACGCTGTCAGACTAGTGGGCGTCCCAAGTAACGAAATCGATGGCGGGTACTGAAATGGAACAAATAACTAAGTACGGGTGAGTGCTAGGGGTAGTTGCAAACGGTTCAAGCAACGGTCAAGCATGGTTAGGGAAGGGCACGTGGTTTACATCAGATTTTGTACATCAAAGCATTATGTACGGCGAATTTAATTGTCGCCTCTCTGATATATCGTCAAAAATGCTTAAAGACAACTTCCTACGTAACGAGTCTCCGAAATATTGAGGGGCTTACAATTACATGATCGTAGACGTATCGCCGAAGGTTATTTTGAATCACGACCTACCGGCTTTGGAAACGAATCCGCTGAATCCAGTTTCCTGTCACGAGTTCTTACAGACTTCGTGAGTTTGAGTTTATCACTTTTAACGTTTCAAATGCTAACGTTAGGCCTGCGAGTGTTTGCGGCATTACTATTTGAACTTACTCTAATAGTGAGATAGTTCAGTTTTATGAAATGTGGTTGGTCTCTCAGCGAACCCTCGTTTGTAAATGTCAGTCAATTCGTCGCACGTTTAGCGCTTTGTGACCAAAACAATTCAGGTCCTCGAACACCGCTGGCTGGCGGGGTTCGTTGCAGGTGCTGGAGAACGGTCTTATAGTGCTCACTTATGACGAAACCAAAAGCATTTAGATGACTTGAAGAATCAGACTTCGATAGTCAGTTTTACTCGCCCAAAAAGAGCCATTGTTCAACGCTAAACCGCTTATCAGCATTCAATTCTCTCCAGATCCATTATCCAGTTACCATGGATGATGTTGATGATCTCTTGAATGGAAGCCAGCCGATGGAAGAAGAGGAAGAAGATGAAGAATTGGACGAGGACTTGGTCGATGCTGCGCGCGAAAGAAACCGAGAGGATCAGGAAGAAGAGCGAGATCGAGATGATGAGCAAGATGGTGGCAATGGAGATGAAGATCTGGACGAGGACATCGACGTGGAAATGGACGAGAACGACAACGATAAAGATGAAAATCCAAATGTTGAAGAAAACGACGATGCGTCAAATAGAGATGATTCCATGAGCGCAGATGAAGCAGAAGCAGAAGCAGAAGGTCAGGATGAGTCCGTGAGTCCTGAGGAAAAACCACACTACCAGCAAGCTCCAGGCTCTATGTCTGCGGCGTCTTCTGGATACGACAAGATATACCAATACTATTCGCAACTGTATCACAATGCTAAAATTGGGGACTTCTACAGCATCAATCCAACTGCTGCAATCCCCATTCAAACACATGTCCACTCACTTGCCATGTCTAAGGGCCTAAAATTTTTATTTCTCGGAGGAGAAGATGGTTATGTTAGAAAGTATGATTTTTTGAACACCATCGAGGGTAAGTTGTCGCTCACCATTTTACAAAAACATTCCTTGGTTGATTCGATATCAAATGCTGGCATTTTGCAATCATACTGGGAAAACGAGGTACCTCAGAAGCGAGCGGACCTCAAATTGACTAAAACCGGCAAAGAATACGAACCTGTTGTTTCTCCGGTCCACGCTCTAGATGTCCAAAGCGAATGCATGTTCCTTTTAAGTGGATTAGAAAACGGCGGTATAACGATGCAAGGTTGCCGCTTCTTCGAAGGACAAATTTCACACTATTTTAAAAGGCACACTGACATTGTGAACCAACTGCGTCTAAGTAGTGACGAGACCAAATTTATTAGTGGTGGCTGGGACAAGCAAATTCTAGAATGGGATATAAGCAGTGGCCAAGTTATAAATGAATTCAAGGGTGCCACGTCTCAAATTTCCTCGCTGGAACTTCGACCATTACATTCAACAGTGAATATGGTGGATGTGAAAAAGAACTCGGAGGACAGCGAGAATAACGATAGAAAAGATGATGACGATCTAGATTCTTTATTTGGTGACGATAACGAAGACGAGATCCAAAAACGACTGAAAGCCGAGAAGGCAAGTGACCAAGGAGAATTGAGAAAGGCAGCAGAGAAATCAGGCGAAAAAGAGACCAACACCTACAACGAAATCTCAAGGACTACTCTGAAAAAAGTTGAAGACGAAAATACGTTTCTGTCGTCATGCACTAATGGATCCGTTCATGTCTGGGACAGAAGAATTAGCACTAAGCCGGTGGTACATCTCAATCGTGGAACACATGTACCCCCTTGGTGTATGTCAGCTTGCTGGTCAGCAGATGGTAATGAGATTTTCGTGGGCAGAAGAAACGCTTGCGTTGAAAAATACGATTTGAGAGCCGGGAACAGCACCTCTCTGGTCATGAAATTCCCAAATATTTCGGGGCCCGTTTCTTGCGTGCGATCTATGCCAAATAACAAGCATGTCTTATGTGCCTCCAATGATAACATCAGATTGTATGATGTGTCTCCGAGCGCCGCGTCGAGCAAGACGCCATTTCTGATTGTTCCGGGTCACCATGGTGGAATAATATCCAACCTGTACGTTGATCCGACTTGCCGATTCTTGATAAGCACAAGTGGAAGCAGAGGATGGCAAGGCGTGTCAACTGACACAGCTTTGATCTACGATATAAATGTAGAGGGCCATCAAAATCCAGAACAGTGATGAGTGTGTATTATTTATGCAATGAAAAACGAATTATCAGATCTGTAGCCAGTGGAATGTTCCATCATTCCAGAAATGTGGGCTGGAAGCTTCAAAAGGCTCTTTAGCGGATCTATCCAAGGTCTCTGGGCACTATCAAGACCAAGAAATTTGAACGATTTCAAGTGCTCCAGGTACGGAATGAGAGAATGTGGATACCTTTCATGATAATACTGAATGTACAACTTTAAAAGAATTGCCGCTATTCCCAGAGCTATTGAAAACTTCAGGTAGTGCAGCGGCCTTTTCTTGATCAGTGGAATCCATTTTGCAAACATTGGGCGCTTATCTAAATTGCCCTTAGATTGCTGGGCCACTTTAAGTTGATTGAATTTGATCTGTTTCAGTATCCATCCTGCCACTTGTGCAGGTGCTACAGCGTCATCTTGCTGTCCAGCAGAGGTGACAAGAACACTGTATTTGTTGATGGGCTCGAGAACACATTTCGGAACAGATTTGAGCGAGCCTCTAGTCTCTTCGAGGACCTGCAGCCAGAACGACGGTTCAAACTGCATATTCACAACCTGCTGGATTATCGCATGCGTCAAATCTGTTGTATTATCAAAGTTAGACAGATTGGACTCATAAGCTGCGACAAGTTCCTGTTTTTTGCCAACGACGATGTTAGCATAGAGGCAGAGCGGTGCCAGCATTGAGCGGGTAGAAATGACGAGATCGAAGATTTGGAAAACGACAGCGGACTGATCACTTATAGAGGGTGCCAAGTCGTGTGAGAATAGGGTCAAAATGGAAGAGATGGCGAAAAAGGGATCAATTGAGCCCAACTGGAAATCTGAATGAAAATCCGCGTCTTTCTGTGCTATCAAGAGCGGTATGACCTTGAGTTGCTCAATGGTGAAGTCCAGCGAGGACATCATGAAGTCCCGCAAAAACAGAAGCGCAAACATTTCTACCGCTTCGCACAGGTCTTCGAGATCTACTAGCATCAGAAAGTCTTGCGAGAACTTGGTCGAGTCAGAGCTGGTGCTGGGATGGGGACTTGACTCCATAGAGGACGCCCTCGAGGTGGACGCCGAATAGAACAGGTCATCGACACCGCATTCGTCACCGCAGTAGAAAACAACGACGAACACTGCCACCACGTCGTGGAAACCTTGGTAGTACCGAAGTTGCGAATGTTTCCGGATCACGTGCACGAGAACCTGCTCGAGAATGGTCCGGAGCGTTTGCTTCGTGTGCGAGTCCGGTACGTGACAGAAGGAGCGCTTGACGTCCAACGATATCTGGTGCTCGTCTGGGTGCGTCGCAGACGCGGCAGGCGGCGCTTGCGCCGCCTGCGTCGTCAAGTCGTTGGTCAGCAGCGCTGGATCCGTGACCATTGCTCTCAGGAGCGCCAACCAGCACTTCTTCCGGGCGGTGTGACACAAGAACCCACCGTCAGACGCACCCAGCTGTGCGACGGTCTCGCGGCGTCCGTCTCTCAGCGCTCGCAGCAGTGTGTGCAGCTTTGCATGCGCTTGCTCGTCGTCCTCGAAAACCACGGGAGACTTGGCTCCGAGCACCGAGTCACTGAGGAACTCGCTGTCGGTGCCGCTGAACGTCAGCTCGGACTTTATATCCGATGGGGCAGACATGCTGAGACGCCGGTTTCCATGTCTTTGTCGTTATCGGGGGGTGTGTTGGGAAACGCAGGGTTTGTTCCCCAGGGATTTGATATCAAAATTGAGCCCGAGTCCGGGTCCGAAGATCACATGATGACATCTTGCCGAAGTCACGTGATCCCGCGGGCCGCCGTTTTCGTTTTATGCTTCGTTTATTTATTTTTGGGTTACCCGCTTTGCACCCGTTGCCTAAAAAAGAAAAAAAAGATACTCACTTCCAAAAGAAAAGATAAAAACTCCGGTTATTCCGCACGCCTGCACGCTGCTCGATTAGGTATCGCGACTTCCCCTTTCGGCAGCGCCGGCGGAGACGCCTCCTGCGCGCAGCGCGCGCAGCGCGCGCGCTGCGTCGTTCTACCGTTTTCAACGCTACGTGCTTTCGCGGTACACGTGCAGCGGGTATCTGTCCGCCGTGGGCCTGGAACGCTCGGCCAGGATAGCCATGAGATCGGAAACGTGCGCAGCCAGAACGTCGACGCGCGCTTGCAGCACATTGACGGTCTCAACCAGCACGGCGTTCTGCGTGTGGCAATGCTCTTCGCACGGGGACAGGTCGGCTGGCTGCACCAGTGCCAGCGGTGGCAGCGGTGGCACCGCTGCCACTGCCGCCAGCGCACTCGGGGGGTCTTCGCTAGCGGCGTCGTCGCCATGCAGAAGCACCACTTCCCGGCCCTCCGTGACAGCAAACGTAGCAAGGCACGTGCACAGAAGCGCTTCCAGATGGGACGTGGGGCGAGCGGCGCCGCGCTCGGGCGCGTGGGATCGGCACATCGCGCGCAGCAACAGCAACTTGAACCGATCCCGGCATTGGCGCTTGTTTTTGAGGATAAACCATTGCACCACGAGCTGGTCTGCGATGTGGGACCAGAACGAGCTCGCCACGCGGGCGCTCCTGTGACGGCTAAGCAGGGACCCGTTCTGGAGCACGACTGTGAGCAGTGCGACGTCCTCTTCGGTGGCCCAGGGACACCGCAGGCGGGTGCGGGGCCCGGGCTGCTGCGGCGGCGTGTGAGCGAGAGTGCGGGGTACGCGCTGCAGCCGCGTCTGGCTCGTAGAAGCAGCGGCAGCAGCGGCGGTCACGTGACTATAGGAGTCGGCGGCGGCGGCGGCGCCGGCGGCGCCGCCCCCGCTGCCATTCCGCGGGTAATCATTTTTTTTCTCCCGCGCCGGGCTGGGCAGCGGCAGCAGAACGGCAGAGCTCATGGCGCGCAGACAAACAGTACGGGAAGAGCAAGTTGGGGGGGCTAGTTCAGGGTATATAGGCAAGCCGTGTCAGCTTGGAACACGCCGGGCCTTCGTCGTCCTTGTGCGACGCCTCGGGACGGCTATATATCATAGAAGCGGAAACCGCGATGGGTGGGGGCTCGCAGGCACGCACGGTCCGCGGGCCGGGCCTGGGCCAATATCGCATTTAATGCGGACAGGGACAATGGTGTGGGAGCTGCAGACTCTCTTATGCAGGAAATGTACATTTTCGTTTTTGAAGTTTTTTTTTTTTTTTTCGGGTCGTAGATGGGTCGTGTAGGTGATTATGCAGGTTGCTCAGCCGTAGTACCGATCTGGCGGCACGGACCAAGGGAACGCCCCGGAGAGGCCCGATACGGGCTGCGAGTGTGGATGCCCGTAGGCAAAGTGGGGCGCCGATCCCGGGGATACCGGTGCGGAGTCGGTAGGTGGCCGGCAACACGCGGCGACTACGGCGTCGAGGCACGACCGCTGGGCGGCGAGGGCGCTGGCCAGTTCGTCGACACGTCGCTGCAGATCCAGCACTTGCTGGTGAAGTGGATGAGGAAAGTGCGCCAGTGGGCGCCACTCGGGGCTCAGGTCTGCGCTGTCAGGAGTGAGCGTCGCATGCGTGGTGCCTACGGCGGCATGCGGAAAGACGAGCGGGGTACGTCCGCAGGTGTCGAGACCCGCGTCCGGGGCGCCACCGCCGCCGGCGGCTGCACCAGCCATAGTGGGGCCACAGGCGCCGCCGCAGGCGGCGCCCGGGACCGTGTTAGTGGGGGTCTTCAGGGGCGCCTGACCCGCAGAAACGCCCGTAGGGACTCCGCCGGCCACGCCGGCTGCGCCGCTGCCTGGGCCGTCTCCTGTGCCTATGGCGCCCACGTCGCCGCTGCCGTCCTCTCTGAGCACAATCACGTTGTTGCGGTCCATGCTGAACAGCGCTTGGCAGCGCAGCAGCAGAGAGTCGAGTTCGCGGCGTGCGGGGTCCGCGGTCGGCTGGGGCGGGATGTGCCGGGCCGCTTTTAGAAACAGCAGGTTGAAACGGTCGCGGCATTGCCGCTCACGCCGGTGCACCCCGTGCGCCTGGCGCATGTGGGCGCCGATGCGGCGCCAGAAACGCGACCTGGGCCGGCTGTGGGTGGAGATGCAGAGTGCGTCACGTGACTCGATGACCGCCGAGACCAGGCATCTGTCTTCGAACAGCGACCAGAACTGGCGGCCGGGTTTACGCGGCGCCTGCGGCGCCTGCTGCATTGGTTGGGGCTGTGATGGTACGGGCCGCGCCCCGTGTGGCTCCGACGGCGTCGGCGTCGGAGCGTGGTCGCTGCCTGGCGCGCTGCACGCGGACGCCGGCAGCCGCAAGATGTCTAAGCTGGACTCCGGCATGCTATCGGGTTCTTGCTACGCTGGTCGTCGAGGGAGCACGCGCTTTTCGATACACTGGCTGGATGGTCTTGCTCGTGGTGTCCCCGTTTCCGCCAGGCGCTTTCAAAAGCTTGGACTGCGTGCCTCTTCTGTCTACCGACTGACGGTGGTCCAAGGCTTGCCGGTGTCCACGGTATATATAGCGGGACCCAACGCGGTCCCGCTCGCAGGCGCGCGCAGGCGCGCGCCATGCGCGCGACGCGCGCGAACGCATCGCAAACGCATCGCATGGGCGTGCCTGGCCGCGTGCCTGCGTCTCGCTGAGTCTCGCTGCGTGTCACCTAGGGCGACTGCGTGTGTTTGCGCTCTGCATTGTTCCTTTCTGCGTGACGTCAATGGCTCTCTCAATGGTGTGAAACTTGGTTCCCGTGCATGCATCTGCACGCGGCAGGCACGCGCGCTCCGTCCGTTGCGCGCAGCGACGCCGCTCTTGCTGCACGAGCGGCCCCAGCGACGTCCCGTCCAACGCGATGGTCCCTTCCATTCTTTGTCTGTATGCGTGGAATAAAACGCCACAAAAAAGCGGCCTGGGCTTCCCGGCCCACTGCTGAAAGCCTAGAACCGGAGCGGAAGCGTAGCATCAAAAGAGGGGAGAGGGGGGTCCTTGGAACCGGAACTCGACTGAAATCGACGAAAATCAACCCCCGCCATACAAGGAAAGCGAGCACGCAACGTGCGTATCTCACAACACACAACACAACAAACAAAAACAAGGATTCTCACGCCACATCAAGAATTCATCCACAGACTGCTGACAGCTGTTGGAGGCAAAACCAGTTGCAACAAGGAAATTCGGAACCCCAAAGTAGCCGAAGGGCCCCACCTGTGATCCGAGGATGCGTGGTTTCCACGCTGTAGCGCGGAAAATAAGGTCTGTGTTTGTTTTGTCTGCAACAGCGCTGGTTCTGTTTTACTACATGTTCCAAAACGAGATCAACAAACTCAACTCGTACGCAGAGACCGAGTCGCTCCCCCACATCACGGGCAATGCGAACGACGCCCTGGTAGCGCATTCCAGTTTCGAACTGGCGGACAAGAACCGGTTCTTCCCACTGCTGCAGGACGTTCCAGAACAGGAGCAGTCGCAGGACGGAGCACGCAACGGCGAAACAGGCGGAGCGACTGCCACGGCTGCAGCGGCCGCTGCGGCGGCCGCCGCAGACGCCAGTGCCAACGGGGCCTCGAACGACAAAGAACTGTACCCCGTGCGATACGAGAACGGACTCAAGCCGGGGTACTGGCGAGCGACCCGTGGTGCCGGTAGTGATAGGGTCCAGTCGGACGTGTTTGGAACGGTCGCGACGGCAACTGGCCAGCACCGGGACCGCGTGCGTGACACCTTCGCGAAGAGCTGGAACTGGTTCTACAGGAACCGCGAAAAATACTCGGGACCGGAAGCCGCGGCTGTGGCCGCGGCTTCGATGGAACCGCTTTACATGCTGGGTTTGCCAGCTGTGCTGATCAAGCAGGCACTTGGGGTCGTCGAAGCATCACACCAAAGCGTTTTCCGCGTCCAGACCGTTGATGTTGCTGGGACGGCCAACTGCATGCTCAGCGGACTTCTCTCTGCGTACGAACTGTCCCAGGGCTCAGACGAGCGCATGCAAGCGCGTCTGCTGGAACTAGCCACGTCTACGGCGGACTTCCTGCTGCGCGCTTTCGATACACCGAACCGTATGCCGATCCTGCCCTTCCCGGCACATTCGGCTCTTACCAACCGGTTCCCGTTCAGGCACACCGAGGTGGGCCAACTGGGAGCGCTGTCGCTGGCATTCACCAAGCTTTCGCAGATTACCAAGAACGACAAGTATTTTGATGCCATTTACCGTATCTACCGGGTCGCAGAGCTGTCCAAACACGAATTCGACATTGACTATTTGCTCCCGACCGCGGTCGATGCAAGCGGATGCAGCATGCTGGCTCCCGAAAAGGTCGAGTCCGGGGACCATCTCCGAGGCTCCAAAGTGATGAAATCCATCCACAACGGGAAGTACGTGCACTGTCTTCAGACGGGCAAATTTCGCAGCATAGACGCACAACCACAGTTGTTTGCACTTGACGCGAGGGCGCTTCCCTTCTATCACAATCTCGTGAATTTCCACTTTTTGCTCAATCAGCACGACATTTTCGAACACAACGAGCTGACTGCTTACTTGGTCAACGCTCTTGACCGCATCTCGACGTTACTTGTCTACAAGCCGCTTTTACCCAATGCCGAGGATCAAGAGTTTGCGTTCGTCTCTTCTGCTACCACCACCTCGCATTTCGACACCCTGTCTAACCAGGATATAGTGGACGTGGCCCAGAACCACGACATGCATCAAACCAGCTGCGCCACGGCCTCTATGCTCGCACTTGCGGGGAAATTATTTCGCAATGATACCTTGTCCTCGCAAGCGGCTGCAATAGCCTCGGCCTGTGCTCACCTAAGCGGATTATTGGGAGTTATGCCTGAAGCCCTCGTCGTGGACAAATGCTCGAATGAACCCTGTGACTACAATCGGCGTCATTACAAGACAGATACCGACAAGCCGCTTTTAGACCAGAACCTACCGAGCGTCAAACTTACAGGTGAAACTTCTAGTGACACTAAGAAACCCGCCAAGGCGTACACACTCCGTGACGGAGCTGTGCATGCCGCACTGGAGGACAAGAGCTACGAATGGATCGAGGTTCAAGAGAATATGCAGGCTCCTTACCTGCATGCTGTCGACCCGCACTATCACTTATCCTCGGAAGCAATCGAGGCGGTGTTTTTCCAGTATCGCATTACAGGAGATCAAATCTGGCAGAAAAGAGGAATGAAAATGTTTGACGCTATGATGTCTAAAATTACAAGCACCCAGGCAAAGGGAGTCTCTGAGATTTCTCCTCTGGACAATCTGTTTTCAATTGTTTTTTCACAGAGCCCACCACCTCCTCACTGGTTTACAAAGACTCTTAAATTTTACTACCTCCTGTTCAGTGACACGCCGGCTTCATACTCGCTTGACGACTTTGTTTTCGCCAGCAGTGGCCAGACGTTCCGCCGTAAGACCATCTATGATGAGGGTCTTCAGGAAGAGCCAGCCGTCACCTACGCAGCGTTACTTTCTCCATTGCACTTCTTAAAAAAGGTATAATATATATAGCATTGCATGCATGCAGGTGAGCCACGGCCCTGACGGGCTCGACTCTTTTTGACAGAAACATTCAATCGTGTGTGGCAACGGCTTATATCAGTAGTTTAATGACAGGATTACGATAAATTAAATGCAATAGCTCGATTAATTACTGTTGTTTTTCTTTTCGCGCATGCTATCCAAATATGGACACATTACGCCATTTTCAGCTACGATGTTTTCCCTCGGCATAGCCGTCAGGGCTTTCATGCATGGATCTTTTCATGTATTGTTTGTTTTGGCGTTTTCAACGGGCTCCATGGAAACAAGATTTCTCGGTAAATTCTCAACTGTTTACCGGAGAAAATGAGTCGTCTCGCTCGGAGTAACTATAAATTTTTCCGGGCGAGGAATGCTTCAAGAGTCATGCAATAGTGTTCCTTACAGGCACTCAAGGCACCAGCAGGCAAAACAGGCACGTTGAGGCACGCTAAGAACAGAAGAATGCATTATCATGTCAGCAAGACAACATTTTGTTCAGTGTTGCTGCGTGAAAACACCGCACAGGCCTAATTTAGTTCCGCACTCCGCTCTGCTCATGCGTGAACCCCTCTGTGACAGCTAACATAAGCGCACAGTGTATGTAAGGTATACGATCCGACACGTGCAATCGTTAAAGCATCCACAAAATCCATCGGTTACGAGAGGCGGTAGAGATTATAGAGGTAGCTTACTGTGCGAGGTCCCGGTTAGCTTACAGAAATGAGACGGGAGTTCAAGCCGATAAAAGTCTTTAATAATATACATAATGTTGAATTAAGCGGGTTATGGATGTTAGTCTTCTGTGAAGCTTAAAAAGATCCGTGATGAATATTTGTTGAAAATGCAGCAGTTCGACGGGAAAAAGTGTCCCAGACACGTCATATTAGAAGGCCAATTTACACTGGAAGTGGGAATTCGCCAGCCCAGTCGTAGATTTCCTTCTTCAATTGAACCAACTCTTCGGAGCCCTCGTCAACCTTGGCTTTGAAGTCCTTCAGTCTATTAGCCTCCTTCGGCAAAGATTGTTGAACATTGTGAGCATATTGCACGGCCTTGTCGATGTAGGTGACAATGCGGGCAAAGTCCTCTTCGCCAAGACCTCTGGTGGACATGGCTGGAGCTCCAATACGGACACCGCCCGGAACCAAAGCGGACTTGTCACCGGGGATGGAGTTTTTGTTCAAGGCAATGTTGATCTTTTCGCAAACGTATTCGACACGAGCACCGTCGACACCCTTTTCTCTCAAAGAAACCAAAACCATGTGGGAGTCGGTACCGTCAGAGACAAGTCTGTAGCCCAATTTCTTGAACTCCTGTTCCAAGACCTTGGCGTTCTTGACAACTTGTTCTTGATACTCTTTGAACTCTGGGGTGTTGGCCTGTTTCAAAGCAGTGGCCAAGGCAGAGATGGTGTGATTGTGAGGACCACCCTGGTGACCAGGGAAGACAGAGAAGTTGATTGGGTTTTCCAAGTCGTATAGAACTTCCTTGCCGGTCTTTGGGTTGACAGATCTGACACCTCTTCTGAAGAAGATCATGGCACCACGAGGACCTCTCAAGGACTTGTGAGTCGTGGTAGTGACGATGTCAGCGTACTCAAATGGCGATGGGATGACGCCGGCGGCAATCAAACCGGAAATGTGCGCCATGTCGACCATTAGGTAAGCACCGACTTTGTCGGCAATTTCTCTCATTCTCTTGTAGTCGATCAAACGGCAGTACGCAGAAGTACCGGCAACTAGGATCTTGGGTCTGTACAAAATAGCATTTTTTTCCAAAGTGTCGTAGTCGATAATACCGGTGGCAGGATCCACTCTGTAAGGGAAAGACTCAAAATAAGTAGAAACAGCAGAGATCTTTCTGGTGTCCGTCTGATAACCGTGGGACAAGTGACCACCGTCTGGTAGAAAAAGACCCATCAGCCTCTCGTGCGGCTTCATTAAAGCCTGATAAACCTGCAAGTTGGCTGGAGACCCAGACAGCGTCTGGACGTTGACACCCCATTTGTCTGGTGTCACGTGAAACGCTTCTAACGCTCTTTTCTGGCACAGAAGCTCCATTCTGTCGATGTGTTCGTTACCACCGTAGTAACGCGCGCCAGGGTAACCTTCGGAGTACTTGTTACACATTGGAGTTCCCAAGGCGTCGAAAACGGAAGTAGAAGTGAAGTTCTCAGACGCAATCAACACGATGGAGTGTTTTTGTCTATCGATTTCATCTTTGATGATTTGTTCGACTTCTGGGTCGCTCTCACTGAGATGAGCAGAAACCAAGTTCTTATGCGATTCGGATAGAGCGTAAGGCATTGGTTGATGTTCTTAGGCAACAATGGATTTGATTAAACTTAGTTCTAAGTTTTACAGATCCAAGAAGTCGCTTTGATCTACGGACTTCTTCATCTCCCTTAACCTCTTATATACTTCTGCAAAATTTTTCTCTCACCGTGTCTAAGAAAAACCAATTAACTCTGTAATTTGCAAATCCATTTCAGGGTACTATGGAAATTGAAATTAGCGACATTCGGTTAGATCACATTTTACAGCAAGTTAAACAATTCAGCCTATAGATTGATTCGAGAGTTTGAGAAAAGAGTCAGGGCGATCTAAGACTTTCGATTGTCAACGACGTTACAGCTCGTATAGCGATAACAAACTTACTACACAAGGTGATCAGTTGAGGGAGGCGGGAGTATGACTCTCTCTGCCAGGGCTGCAAATCCGAGTCAAAAAGAAGAGCACGACGAACGACAACGAGGAAAATGTAAAAGCACGTGATTGTGTGTACTCATTCAGTACACAACTGTAGACTCTTGGCTAAAGCGTCGACGCACAGTTGTAGATGCCGTTTTGAAGGTTCACATGCAGAAACGCCCATGTGACCTATTCTTATGGTTTTCGATTTCAGGTCCTTATGGATACCCCCGGTAATAACAATATGTAACTTTTTCATTTCGGCGATGAGGTCTGCAGGCGTATCGTAGTAAGCCACAGTCAGGCCGTGAGCAGCCACTTCGGGGCGCACCGGTACCATCTTGAGCTTAAATCTTGTTTGTAGCTCGTTTTTAAGCCAATCACTTGCCTTTTTGTGTTTGGCTACATGAACATCCAGGCCCTCGTCCAAAATCTCGCCCAGAGCAGCATTTAGTGCATCCAAGAGCTGGACAGCAGGGGTCGCAAAATATGCGCCCTTACCTTGCTCATAGAGACGCATGACCGGTGCCCAGCGCTTGAGACTAGTGTAGTAAGTGGCCTCGGAGGGCCGGTTCAAAGCTTTTTCAAGCGCGCGATCGCTTACCATGCTGACGCTCAAGCCGGGAGGCGCGCCAAGCGCCTTTTGAGAGCCGGTAAGCGCATAGTCGATCTTCCACTCCTGAAATCTGAAGTCTTCGCATCCGAGAGAGCACACGCCGTCGACAATGATAAGTGTTTCGGGCGAGACCTTGTGCACAAGGCTGGCAATGGCACCAACATCAGTCAAAACCCCCGTAGACGTGTCAACTTGCGTGAGAGTAATCATTGCAGTTTTCTTTGCAAGCAGGCTTTGTCTAATAGTTTCAAGCGGTACAACATCGCCCAAGGGAGCATCCAGCTTCTTGACTTCTGCGCCGTAAATAGCCAAGCACTCTGCCAAATGATCGCCAAAATATCCTGTTGAAACAACCAGAGCCCTTTCGCCCGGTGCCAACAAGTTTGACGCGGCAACTTCCCATCCTAACGTACCAGATCCAGCCAATATGAGGGGCAGACCCTGACTCCCCGCCCTAAAAACCTTTCTTGTCCTCAGAAGTGCAGATTTGTAAGTCTGGAAGTAGTCAGGAACGCTGAAGGGCGCCACCAACGCAGCAGTGACCTTTTCGCTTAAGACGACTGGCCCTGGAATAAGTAAAATGTCATCCGTCATTTTTCAGCAATTGCAAGTTTTGACCAAGTAAAACAGCAGACAATAGTTAATAATTACTAAAGCTTCCACTAGGAACAAAAACCTGCCGTCATTTATAGCAGTTTCGCTTTTGCCTTCTTTGTTTCTGCAAATAGCATCCAACCCCGGACTTCGCAAGAGGATCAAGGCGGTCGAGTGCCATGCTCACTCATAACGACCACAAACTGGAAAGAGTTTCTCCGCCAATGAATGACCCGAAAGGAGACGAAACTTTGGGCCCGGGCCCTGGCGTCCTGCAATGGCATTCATCATTTGCGCCTCTTTTTCAAGCTCTTTTGGATCTTTTCGAATTCTTCGTCATCCAAGTCAGCATGCGTACGGGCTCCGCCAGCTTTCTTCTCCAGTTTCAAAATCAGTGAATCCCACGAATTTTTGTTCTTCTTCTGGATGAGCTGCCGTAGTTCTGCATCCGAATGTAGATTTTTGTTTTTCTCCATAGTTCGAAGAACGGCCTCGGCCTGCGATCTTTCAGCTTCAAACCGTTTTTGCAGCCTTTTCAGTAGCTTCTTCCTGTTGAGCTTCCAGTGCTCAAAACTGCCAGCAGCGTCTTCAATTAAACCTTGGCCTATCAATTGACCCACTCTCTCCAAAATGTGTTTTTCGTCCTCTTCAGTAGCCTCTAAGTGAGGTATCTCCTCAAAAAGAAGGGTAAACTGGTCTTCGTCTGGGACATAGCGTTTAGGCCGCTTTTCGTACGCATTTGCGTTCCACGAATCTATAATATCTTCAGTCTCGTCTTCACTACCTCTGTATTTTTTCTTGTCTTCCGCGATGGTGTCTTTATTTATTGTCACGTCCATGTCGAACAAGTCTCTCCAGCCAGCAAGGTCGGAACTACCAAAACAGGCTTCAATCGACCCGGTCTTGTCATAGGTATCCTTAAAATTCGTTAATATTTCGTAAGAAAATTGTATCTTGTGGAACAGCTCCTTCGCTTCCCTACTCTGGCTTCCAGATTTGTCCGGGTGGTGCCTTAGCATGAGCTTACGATAGCTCTTCCTAATTCCTTGTTCGGTTTCATTCTTTGCTATACCCAAGACTTCGTATGGGTCAATGTCTGGAAATGGAATGGCATTAGAACTCATCGCTTGCGCCCTTACTTATGTTTTGTATAGGATCATAGTTCGAGCCAACATCTAGCACGTTTATTTTCTTATGTTTTCGAAATTACGGGTGATGGCCACGCCACTGCTTCCAAAATTCAAACATGTAAACCCAACATAAAAACTTATACCTCATACTTACTTTACAAACATAATTGATCCTCAACAAAGTTTGTTGATCCAGCTCCTCTGTTTGGTGGGAGCTTGCCACAATAGACCTGCTGAGACGAAAACCCATGCCAATTTATGAACCAGTCGCAGCCTTCTGAAAGGCGCGCCACATGTGAAAAGCATGAATTATCGTTGTTGCAGGTTAGAAATGGTAATGAATCAACTCAAGCAAAATGCATTCCATACTTTCAAGGTATGGAAATGAAATCATCTAGTTCTGGGAACGAAAATCCTGACTGCGCTTCCGGCATGTCAAGAGAGGGCAGGAAAATTCGATTGGAGTGATCTGGTAAGAGCGGAACGAGTAGCAACATTTCAATTCATAATGAAGAACAAGAACTATTTTTTTCACACAAAACTGTTTTCGACGTTATAATTTCCCAGACCACTCGCTCTTCGCTGCCTCTTCTATCAATTTCATTTTTTCAATAAACAGCGATCACGGCTGGATCGCGCGTATAATCAAGGTCCCAAGAACCATCAGTCATCGCTAACGCGTGCATATCGCTCGCTTGAGGATCAACTTCGAAGGGCGTATCATTGTTCAAGACAAGGTTCCAGTCAGGAGCAGTGTCTATGGACGTGGACTCCGCAGATAGACCATCGAAAACGGCATTCAGATTTTCGCAGGATGTGAATGGGGTGGTCCCTTTGACACCCGAATAGCCTGAATCCACGTTGCTCAATGGTGACTCCACTGCCACTGACGCAGGAGTCGACATCACAGAGTTTGAAGTGGAAGAAGCGTCGCTTAAACTGGTTGGCCGACACTCACCCGAGCGTCGCTCTTCCGATGCACAACTGCCTTCTTCGTCACCGTCGTACCGGGCGACCAGGTCCTGATACTCCATGTAAAGAGCACGTGCAGGCCCAGCTTTTTGTACGACGCTCTCCATGTCAACCTGTGCTATCAACCGTTCAAGAACGGCAGATTTCTGCTCCAAGAACTGCAAATAAAGACGCTTTTTCTCACGACTTTGATGTGCTGCCCTTCTGTTTCGCAAAATCCGCTCTATACGTCTCTGCTCCTTTTCTTCCTTTGTCTTAGCTCTTTTCCTTGGAGGTAAAGTGGATTTGAAATTTTTTGGTATCTTTGCTGTGCTTTCTTTAGTGTTGCTACTCATTCCTAACTAACGTCGAAACGGGGTGTTCAGTTTTGTCTTCTTGTCCTTGTTCTTGTTCTTAATCTAAGATGCCACCCTGTACTCTATCAAGTCTCAACTCTCCTTATATAGTAGTGAATTCAAAAAATTTTCAGCTCCTTAGGTAAGCAACACGAAAACCTCACTTGACTGTGAAGGCTAGAAGGAATTTTTTGGTCACATGGTACAATTGACAATATCCGAAGGAGGCTGAAAGGGATGTGGCTGTTAGTTGGCTTGAGGCTGGTGGAAAGCGTCGCGGTGGCCTAATAAGCATCGCCGTGTAAACCCGAAGTGCTTCCTTCGTGGACTAGTTGTATGTGCTAAACCCGGACACAATACTTTAGTCTCTTGGCATACGACAAAAAAATACGTGTCCTTTTGAAATTCACGTCTGATTTGGTCGTGTTCTAAAAATGCTCAACAGGTGCTATTCGGCAGCTGGCATTAGTTGAAACTTGTTAAAAGTTTATTTGTTGATTGTAGGCTAGTTTGAGGCGCCGTTTCTGTTCATGAAGCCGTTAGGTACTTTGCATGAAAATTGAGTTTCTACAATAGAAGAGTAGGCCAAACGTAAAAAGCAGCTGGCAGACAATAATTCAAAGTTCAAAAGTCAGCAGAGCGGTAAATGTATCTGAAAACAAGGCGCACATTTCACTGGCCAATGGTTCTCGACCACATAAACAGAAAAAAGTCACTTTATCCGCTTTCGTTTGTAGTTCACCCTGTGAATGAATTATTTTAATCTCTGCTTTTTGCAAGGCTCATTGTTCGAAGATTTGCCCTTCTCACAGTTTGAACTAGCGATTTCTGCTAATTTCTTTTTAGGTTGTTTAGCAATGGTCTTGGCCGCATCTTTAACAGCAGTTTTCAGTGATTCGGCAGTCGACGCGGCAGCAGTCGCGGCGTCGGCTGCTCGCTCAGCCTCGAGTTCCTTGTCGCGCTTTTCGACGAACGCTTGCGTCTCATCGCTATCTTTCAAATAGTTATTTTGATACCATCTCAGCTGCGCAATGCTTTCTAATATATCTGATTTCGCTGTGTGCGCAGCCTTTTTCTTGGGGAAAACAGAAGCGAGCGGAGCATTATGGCGGAAACACACCTCCATAATGGTGCTTACGTCGATGATCCTGTAAAAGAGATGCTGCGTCACCTTTGGAAACTCGCGTAGCATGAAGAGACGGTCCATATGTACCGAATTTCCCGCCAGAATTCCCTTCCGCTCGTCTGGGATGTACTTTTTGATGTAGTCCAGCAGCTCTGCCTCTACCTGCTTCCGCGTCTTCAGACTCGCTAAAACTTTATCCGTCAAACCACTCGAACCGTGGTGGTCTGTGCACCACTCGTCCATTTTGTCCATCACGTCAGCTCCATAGTGCACTACGCTTTCATATCCCTCTTCATCAATGATATTGAGATTTCCGTCTGTGATAATACAACAAATTTCAATAATGTGATCGTTTACATGGTCTAAACCAGTCATTTCACAGTCGATCCAAACGATTGGTTTAAATAGTTTTGTCTTAGCACTAACGGCGTCGGAGCTGGCCGCTCCGTTAAGTGATGAGCTTTGGCTGTCTTTGGTTTCGCTCATTCTGGGCTTAAGGTAGGGATTGGAACTTCTGAACGAAGAGATAGGTCGCAAAAAGTTTCTTGGACTATTGAAATGCTGAGAACGTGCTTTGAATAAGCAGCGAACAACCGAAGACTTAGCTGTTTGCGTTCGACTAAACATTACCTACATATTTCGATTTTATCAGTATTTGGTTCATGAAAAAGATTCGCATTGTTTCTAAATCAAGCTAATAAAACCGGAAACACCACGAAGCCCAATAACGGTCATCTGCAGATTTAATAATGTAGTTACGTTAACTTAGCTTTCGCTTGAAATTTCCATTAACTTCTACCGAGTTACAGGAGATGTGGCCCCATTAATTGGATATTCTTCACTAAAGCAAAATTTTAAATCGCCAAGGCAGCTAAAAAGTGGATCTGTTTCTTCAATTACATCAATTGAGTTTTCAAGTATTTTTAAAAAACTAAATCAAGTAACCACAATCATTTCTATGGCATCTTTTGTTCGTTTTCCCTTTTTGATTCTTTCACGGTTCGATGTCAACCTTTCACAGGCCTTGTAGACAATAAAGGTAGAAAAGATCCGGAATACACTAAACCCATATAATATTGTCAAAAGTAAGAGCAACCCTCGCCAGTGAAAAGGAGTCGTAAGGGCGAACGTTGGAGTCAGATTGTAATACTCATATCCAGTTTTTGCTGCTACCATAACTGTTGCAGTCTTGATTTTCAAAGTTTTGGTCTCGATTGCGATAGCTGAGTTATTCAACTTATCCTACCCACAAAAGCTAAAACCCGAGTTAAAACTAACTCTTTCGTGTTCCCTGGGGTAATGAATGATAGCAACTCAGGTTGTGATAGAAAAGAGGGGGAATGTTGGGATGAACAGGCCAGAAATCAGGCAGATTGGAGTAGCAAAAGGTCATCGAGTTCCTCTTCGTCTAGTGCTTCATTGGCTTACGATGAATATTTAAAAGTCGCAACCGACAAAAGTCTGAGCATTTTACTGGAACTTGACATGAACGGCAAAGTGAAGTATTTGAGCTCGATATGGGAAAAAGTCGTGGGTACAAAGAGAGATCTGCTCGTGGGACAATCCATAAGCGATTTTATCATGGGCAATGAAAACGACAAATCGGTGTTTTACAGGGCAGTTGATTTGATGGTGCGACAGGACTGTAGCTACAGAGTGCGATTTATGGCTGAAACGGGGCCGTTGCGTGAGGCTAAAAGAGAAGCTGACATCGACAGCAATAAGGATAATTTTGATGATAATGGCAATGATAATGACAATAGTGATGGTGAAACTGGGAGCGATGGCGGCGTAAAGCTCTCTCGGCAGCGAAATTCTAAGTTTTGTGAGGGAGTTATAGAACTGGAGGGGCAAGGAACGGTGATATACAACAAAAATCTTCCAAGCCACTCGATGTGGATCTTGAAACCTTTTTTCGAGATAGACGAGATGGATAATTTACCCCAGCATTTGGTTGAAAGACTCGGTTTTGGAGCGGCCATTTTCTCGCACTATCTATCAGAAATCGAGGAAGAGATGGTTTTGCATGAGGCTGATCTCCCCACTCCTAAGACCGAATTGTGTCGTGTGTGCGATTCTCCAGTACCGGCTTGGTGGCTGGAAACGCACTCGGAACTATGCATTTTTGAGCATACATTGGAAAGCAACGTGCAATTTTTGCACGACGAACTGGTTGAAAGAAAGGGACGAATAGAGCACATTGTTTCTTCCCTCACCACGAAAGATGTTAAAACGTTGAATTATAGAGGGCTTCCATTACCCTCACTGAATAGCTCTGATGCTCAAATAGTTGAGGTGGTGAAAACTGAGGGGGAACCCGTTTTGCAGATCAACACCGGCAAATTGGATGTTATCCGGTCGCTCAATAATTTATCGGAGCTTTGCGATAGTGCCATAAACATAAATACCAGTGAACTCAGCACCAATCTTTCAGATAGCACTCTTTTCAATGCGCAGCCGTCAGGCGATTACGATTTTTCTCCCAAGACGAAGGAGAATATCGAGCAGGTCAATAACTGGGGCACAGCACTTGATTTCTCTGAAATTGCAGATCCAGGATTAAAGCTCTTTTCGGAGGACACCATGTATTTAGCCCACGAGAAGGTGGAAGCGTTATTGCGGCTTGATAATACTATGAAATATTCCCTGAAGATAAAAAGAGAAATAGACAACTTAGTCCTAATGCTCATAGGTGAGAAGCTCGAAAGTAACAGAATTAATGCGCTTGGGTCACCTCCATTTGACGCTTTGCGCCGTAGCGCAATGGGAGAAGAGGAAGAAGGGGAACTTGGTCAAAAAATGAGTACGTTTAGAAATGATTCAACGTCCAAAATTGCATCTCCTCTTCCCCAGAGGCCCCCGAGCGGAATATTTGCAAAACCTTACGTCAACTACGATGAAACGAAACCAAAGGATGGAGATTCAATTGTTAAAGAAGATTCAGCGTCGCCTTTAAAAGTTTTAGCAGCAACGTCTGAGGATCTTTGCAGAAACTATCCCACATTTTCAGGAGAAGATCTTGATGAACAAAAATCCTCTGTTGACGATATTCCAACATTGTCTGTTCCTCCCTCTCAGGGATACCCTAAATTGAATAACAATCTTGGAATGACACCAATGAGGGGTTCTCCTTTGCTCTCATTCAACTTCAACACACCTCTATCATCACTTCATAGAAACAGTGCTTCAAAATCGCAATCCATCACGCTAGATCGATCACCGATAACATCTCCTTTCGCCACAGCTTCTGACTGCTTGACGCCAGAAATTCATTTAAATTCGGGAGTTCCGAAGCAGCCGTTATCACCTTTGCTGCTTGCCACTAACCAAGCTAAATCTACACCGCCCAGTATCAAAGACTATGATATTTTGAAGCCTATAAGCAAGGGCGCTTACGGGAGCGTTTACCTGGCTAAGAGACGATTAACTGGCGAATACTATGCTGTCAAGGTTCTGAAGAAATCTGACATGATCGCCAAAAATCAAGTGACGAATGTTAAATCTGAGCGTGCCATAATGATGGTTCAGAGCAACAAGTCGTATGTTGCGAAACTATTCGCGACGTTTCAAAACAAGGGCAATCTTTTCCTTGTAATGGAGTATCTGAGTGGTGGCGATCTCTCTACCCTGATAAAAATGATGGGCTGTCTGCCAAATCAGTGGGCAAAACAATACATCAGCGAAGTCATTTATGGCGTCAATGATATGCATCAAAATGGAATAATACACCATGACTTAAAGCCAGACAATCTTTTGATTGATGCTAAAGGCCACGTCAAATTAACCGATTTTGGGCTATCCAGAATGGGTTTGGTAAGACGTCACCAGGGAATTCAGAGGCAATCGACTCATTCTTCCAGCAGAAAAAATAGTATCGTTTCGGAGGAAGCTAGCCCCTTGAACTTTGTCAAGCGTCATACACGGACCGATTCACCGCATTCCATTCCCAGCATTGAAAACTCAATGAATAAAAAGGAAAGGTCTGAGTCAAACTCAAGCTCTCAATCTGCTCTGGATGTTCCTCATCTCAATCGATCTGCCTCTCAGGTGTCTTTCTCGATGTTGGACGTCTCAAGGTCTGGATCACCGCAGCCGCTTTTCATGCATAGGCGTACAAGCTCAAGCGTTTCTGACATGTACGACAGCGGAAATCCAGACTATGCTCTGTTCCACCCGGAAGATTCGCGAACGGATAAAAAGTTCTTCGGTACACCGGACTATTTCGCCCCCGAAACCATTGAGGGCTCTGGAGAAAGCGTCGTCTGCGACTGGTGGTCTGTGGGGTGCATGCTTTTTGAATTTTTGCTCGGATATCCACCATTTCATGCTCCAACTGTCGAAGAGGTTTTCAGCAACATATTAAGTGGAAATATACTGTGGCCCGAGTTTTCAAGCGAGGAAGAGGAACGGGAACAACTTTCCCCTGAAGCGAAAGATCTCATAAAGAAATTGCTCGTCAATGACCCGCAAAAAAGGTTAGGGGCTAACGGTTTTGACGAAATACGTCAGCATCCTTACTTCGAAGGTACAGATTGGGATAATATTTATGACGAGGATCCATCGTTTGTTCCTACCGTGGAAAATCCGGAAAGCACAGATTATTTTGACCTTCGTGGAGCAGCACTGGAAGATCTTAGTGATCCGGAGGAAGGGCTTCCTGGAGTGTCTGGTGATGTCAGTCCACCAGCGGGGATAAGGCAGGGGAGTGACCAGAATAGTGGAGCCAGCACCCCTGGTCAGAAAATGACAGTTGCTTCAGTGCTCGAAGGAGTAGGCCAGGACATGGGCAGTAATCATAGCTCTCCGACTACGAGGTATATTCCTCTCGCTATACCTCCTCACTTGAGAGAAAGACGTGTAAGCAAACTGAACGAGCTACAAACGGAGTTTGGCTCTTTTAATTTTAGAAATCTACCCGCTTTAGACAAAGCAAACAAGGATGCCATCAACAGGTTGAAGAGCGAGCATATTGCCGATCATCATCATAATCGAAGTTCAACAGCATCTCTCTCAAGTTCATCTTCAGAAATGTCAGGGAAGACGAGAAACGAAAAATTGGGCCTTTTAGGGTCACCAGGGTCTAGAGAATCTGCCTGCCTGCACTTGCATTCGCCCAGCCGTAGAGGTAGCGAAGATCGCGGCAATGCTTCTCGAAGGTCAATAGGCGACCACAGTCCTCTGACTCCATCGTCTGCGCACGAAATGATCGAATCTCCATCATTACTCAAATTCAAGTCCCCTACTTGGACGGCCGCTGCATCGTCGAGGAGCCGTCTTCATTCAAGAACGTCTTCCATAAGGTCTGTACCCAACGAAACTCTTACTGATGATGATGACAAGCTGTCCACGCTATCACGGTCAGAAGGTCCCCGCGGAGCCAAACGCACCGCTCGTCGCAGCTCTTCAGGTTCTGGTCCCTGTGTCGAAAACTTAGACGTCTTGATCTGCGAGCCTATTCCAATCCATCGATACAAGCTTACGAAAGACTTAGAGGGTCTGGGCTGTTCTGTAATGAGCGTCGGCGATGGAGACGAGATGGTCAGAAGAGCTACTAGCGGAGTTAAGTTTGATCTTATTTTCACCGCTTTGAAACTACCCAAACTTGGTGCTGTCGATATCGTCCGCCTGCTACGTAACACCAACAGTATTAATTGCAAGACGCCTATCATGGCAGTGACAGGCTATTATCATGAAGCACAGCAAGCCGGAGTTTTCGACGATGTCTTAGAGAGACCTGTGGATAGGGAACATTTACGAAGGCTCTTATTAAAATTTTCTATCAGAAAGCCACCTTTCCCGGAGGACTCCATGAGCAGTGATACGGACATCGATCTATCCTGACGACCTCATGCTGATGGTTTAACCTCGAGATGCTTAAGCGATGAGATAGGTCACGTGAATAATTTTGTTCATGTTTAAAATTTTTAAAGTGATGGAATCGTAATACTTAGAGTCGTCGGATTCGAAGTTCCCAAGGTTCTTGATATAACTGCAGGGTTCAAAGAACTGATTCTTCTCCGAAAAATGCCTACCGTTTCTGTGAACAAGCAAGAACTGTTCGATCTGCTAGGGAAGAATTACGAAACGAAGGAGTTCGACGAACTTTGTTTCGAATTTGGCATTGAACTAGATGAAGACACTACTGAGGAAGCTTTAAAACTCAATGAGGAACCTCAGCTAAAGATTGAAATTGGCGCGAATAGATATGACCTTCTTTGTATTGAGGGTATTGCGCAGGCGTTGAATGAATTTCTGGGCCGGAACGAAGCTCCTGTTTACAAGCTCAGCGAACCAACGACAAAACTCATTATCGACAAATCAGTCGAGCAAGTGAGGTCTTATGCCGCCGCCGCAATTTTGAGGAACATAACATTTACTCCGGAAAACTACCAATCGTTCATTGCATTGCAAGACAAGCTACACTCTAATCTGTGCAGAAACAGAACTCTAGTCGCCATAGGTACCCATGATTTGGACACCGTTGAGGGCCCTTTCCACTACAGAGGCATTCCTCCCAAAGACATCAAATTTGTTCCTTTGAATCAAACCAGAGAATTTCGTGGAGATGAATTGATCGAGTTTTACAAACAACCTGAGCAGAAAAATAACATTGGCCGGTTTGTGCACATCATTGAAGACTCACCTGTTTACCCAGTCATTTCTGATGCAAAGGGAACTGTTTGCTCCTTGCCTCCCTTGATAAACTCTGAGCACTCCAAAATTTCTTTGAATACAAAGAATGTGTTGATTGAATGTACAGCTACCGACAAGACAAAACTTGACATAGTCATCAACCAAATGGTTGCCATGTTTTCGCGATACTGTGAAAATGAGTTTGTTATCGAACCACTCGAAATTGTTTCAGAATTCAACAATCAATCTAGAACAACACCAAATTGCGCTTCTAAAATGATGTCTGTTTCTGTTGATTACATCAATTCTTGTCTTGGCTTGAAACAAGAGCCTTCTGACATTTGCAAATGTTTGTCGAAAATGGCATTGCAAGCCAGCCCCGATTCTAAAGATCATGGTGCTATTCAGGTTGCTATCCCCATCACTAGACCTGACATTCTACATCCATGTGACATAATGGAAGATGCCGCCATTGGCTATGGGTACAACAAACTACCAAAAGGAGAGAAGCTTTCAAACGCCAACTTTGTTGCAGCGCCACTACCTATAAATAGGGTTTCAGACATCTTTAGAATTGCTTCTTCGCAAGCATCTTGGCTTGAGGTCTTACCATTGACCTTGTGCTCACACGACGAAAACTTCAAATACCTAAGAGTTGAGGATGATGGCACAAAAGCTGTTAAGCTTGCTAACCCCAAAACTTTAGAATATCAAGTTGTGAGGACGTCTCTCCTTCCAGGCCTATTGAAGACCGTCAAGGAGAACAGGAAGCATTCTCTCCCCATTAAGGTTTTTGAAACTGGAGACGTTGTTTTCAAGAATGCAGAACTAGAACGCAAAGCATTCAACGAACGTCACTGGGGTGCCGTTTACGTTGGAAAGACATCCGGCTTCGAGATCATCCAAGGATTACTGGGTAAGATAATGCAAACTTTCAGAACCCCATGGATCTCTGACTTCGGTAAGAGCAGCAGCACAAGAGGTTACTGGATTGAACAAGATGAATCACAAGCTACATTCTTCCCTGGAAGAGGCGCTAAGGTTATGTTTAGACAAAAAGAAGGTCAACCAGCTAAACAGATTGGCTACCTTGGTGTCATCCATCCTGAGGTTATGAACAACTTTGATGTTCCTTTTGCGGGCTCCTATGTCGAGCTAAATGCGGAGGTCTTTCTGTGAAATGTTTTGATATAATTTAATAAACCATATTATATAAATGCCTCTAGGGACATGTCGAATCTAAAGGTGTAAACGATCTATCATGTACTAAATGCAATGTTAAGCCCTTCAAAATTCGTCAGGAAAGGTAAAATTCACTTTCTCATCATTGTGCTTTCTAAAGCTGTATCGATCCTCAGGTAGCACCACTTTCCCCGCGCTCAGGAGTTGAAAGGTGTTGGCATTCATTTTCTTGTCATCATCTGTTGTACTTGTATCTAATTTAAGGTCATTATCCACAGGCTTTTCGTGAGCCATGGCCTCTTTAATATTGTTGAGTTCCTTCAGTAAAGCACTTGTATTAACTATGGCACTGTCTTCAGTTTTTGCGGATTTTGCTCTCTCTTCATTTAAGTGATTGCCTTGAGCAATGGTAGATTCTTCCCACATCTCCTGCCACTTCGCTTTTTTAGGTTTCATCCAGCCTGGGACCCAGCTGGCACGCTTTTTCTTGGATGAAAGCTTTCTCTGAGCTTCGTCTAAGTCATGCACAAAACGCCTTTGCCTCTCAACTTGCTCGGGGTCCGAAGCTTCTTCTATCTCGGCAAATTCTTCACTTAATACAGAAATTCCAAGCTGTTTTAGTAGCTTCGGCATTTTCTTTCTGTATGCCATATGGCCTTCTACTAGTTCAGTGCAATCAAAATTCTCTATCCCATGAATATGACTTACCGGAGAAATACCTATAACTTTGCTAAAGCCCCCACTAGTAGCTCGAAATAGATAACATAAAATCCAGTCCTTTGTGGAAAAACCATTGACAAACCTGCCACTGACAACAGACTTAGCCATTATCAAGTCCTCGCTTTTGTAGACAATGGGAGAGCCAAACATAATGACATTTTCAACTAGTCCGGGGTAGCCTTTCTTGCATAGCTCAAGAAGACATGAGTAGATTACTCTAGAGCCCAAAGAGAATCCAATGAGTGTAACGGGGCGCTTTCCCAAATTCCGAGAAATAAGAGTATCCGCCAAAATAAGACCTGCTGCCCAAGCACGATCTAACGATACATTCCATGGATTATCGATGAGGTAGCCAAGTTTAGATAGCATCATCGGCATTTGAATGGCGGACATAAAGGCTGTTAATATGGTTGCGCCTAAAATCTGCTGTATCGTTTGAGTAAAAATCTCACTGGCTAAAATGTTTATAGTTTGACCAGTTGACTTAAGCATTTCAGGTTCCCAATGCAGAGAGTACAAATCTCCTTCTATCGGATCAACGGTCGAGAAAGGAAGACGAACGTCATCGTCGTTACCAGTCATCCATCCAGACACAGTCACAATTAAGTTGACCCGTCTATTGTTATGTAGCGGACTTAATTCAAAAGTCCTCACACTGCCCATTCGTTTGGACATTGCTTCCGTTCCTATTTTGGCACCGATTGCTGTGCTCGTCGCAGCAACGACAGCGGTTCCACCGACACCTGTCAAAAAACCAGCGGCGCTTGTTATACCAACAGTCGACAGTCCTGCTGCGATTCCCGCTCCAATTACAGGAGCTAGCAGTCCACCGCTGAGACCCAATACTAGCGATCCCCCAATTGTTGCGAGGCCCACATAGCATAGCTTCTTATTACGACTTTTCTTCCGCCTCGTTTTCATATGGTCCTGCTCGTTCCACACCTGATCTTCCATTGATTGTTCCATTTCGAGCCCGTCAGTAACTCGCTTTTCGAATTCGCATATCTCTGTTTGCGAAATGGATAAAACACTGCCAAATTTCATCAACAAGGTCCGAGAACGAGAGTCGTAAGATAAGTCCGCCAAGAGAAGCAGAAACAAATCACAAATTATGGTCCAACTAACATCAATATTAAGCTCCGATTTTTCGTATAGGTCACTTACCCCGCCCTCGGCTGTGACATCTGAAAATTCGTTCGTCCCAAATCCATCGGTCTTATTAATGATGGTTTGATGATCGCTGTGTTCGAAAGGGTTTCGTACCACTTGGTTAACCTTAAGACATTTGCAAACGTCCCGTAGCTCAACACCGTGTCTTGTAAGCGCCTCAACCATACGCCTCTCTTCCAAAGAAATGCCCATATGTTCGTAAAGGCGTGACACAACGGTAACTTTCCAGTCAGCCATACTTTTCTGAACTTTGTGCAATCTTCGTACTAGCTTTTCCCTACCAACTATATCAGTGCTCAAGCACGTAAGAGCCAGTTCGGTGCTCATCTCATCTGCCAAAACGTTTACTGCGCCTAAATAAGCAAAGATCTCTTTTTCATGTAAGAGATCCTTCGTTACTGCAAGCTGGTCTGTGGAGTTCAAATCGGTGGTATAGCGCTCGCCTTCATCATCATCATCGTCCCCCTCATCGAAGCCGTCTTCTGAATTATTCAAGGACGCCTTAGATGAAGCAAAAGCCCTGTGATTGAACAGAAAATCGATCTTCTGCTGCGTTGCGTAACTTCGCTGAGCTTGCTCTTCACCGGCAAGTTTGGTGTATCCAAACGTTGAGCCTCCATTGGCAAGATTATCTCGAATAGGTGACGCTGATGGTGCTCGCTTAGAATCTGGAGGAAGAAATGTGCTTGAACTTCCTTGAGCAGGTAGAGCCAGCTCTCCTTTCTCATTGTAAACACTGTAGGAAGCTATCGCCGGTAAAGCAGACCATTCTCCGGATGAATCTGATTCCTCATCACTGCCGTTAGAATTCGGTACCATCTGCTGTTCCCCATGAGTTATGTTACCTTCATCTTGGCCCGAACGACTGTCGTCATTTCTGGTATCCATTCTGTTGGAGGCTTCATCGCCGGATGTTGTCACACGGAGCTCCTTGAAATCATTGCTAACCTCAGAAAGGTCGTCTTTATTCATGTCAACGTCCCGCACCAGCCAGCAGGCTTCGCTTGGTTCATATAGTGCCCAAGACCAAGGAATACAGATAGAACCTGTGATTATGCCTAGTTTGCCAATTTTCTTGGCTCTCTGCCCCGGGCTTGAGTTAGGGCTAATCTTTGTGTGACAGCGCACCCAGACATTATTTCTGTAATTATTTAAATTTGCTAAATATTTACGGATTTTCAAACGAAAACCAAAGAACTGAAATTTGAAGAGGGAGGCACTCTCGGCCAGCTTAACAATGCTTTTTGAATAACATATCTTCAAGTCATCGGCGCTCTCTGCTTGATCGCACACATTAGATATTATCGAACAACAAGACAACAATGGCTCCAAACGTATGTGACCCCACCGTATTTGTTAACGCATAGTCACCAGCAATGTTTCCTGCTCAAGAACTCATGATAGCCTTTAAAAGCTATTCTGTTTGTTAATTATTCACCGCGTCTAAAGGATCTTTGACCCTCTGACCTGAAGTGATTGTTAATAGCAGTATGCGAAAAGTGTACCACGCGAACTAGGATTGAGCCAAATACTAACGAGGGATGGTATTTATTCAGACCTCTAGAAAGCAAAAGGTTACCAAGACTTTTACAGTCGACGTCTCTTCTCCAACCGAGAACGGTGTTTTCGACCCAGCTTCTTACGCTAAGTACTTGATTGACCACATCAAGGTTGAGGGTCACCGCGGTAACTTGGGTAACGCCGTCACCGTTGAGGAAGATGGTTCCGTTGTCACCGTTGTCTCTACTGCCAAGTTCTCTGGTAAGTACTTGAAGTACTTGACCAAGAAGTACTTGAAAAAGAACCAATTGAGAGACTGGATTAGATTTGTGTCTATCAAGACCAACCAGTACAAGTTGGCTTTCTACCAAGTTACTCCTGAGGACGAGGAAGACGAGGAATAAACGCCTTGACCACACGTATAGTTACGGTTTAATTCAATGTTTCATTTTTCGAAGTGTAGAGAGGTTTTGGATTTGAGAAGATCGATGGTTGGCTTTTTGATGCAAGGAGCTTATCCATTCCTTAGATCCTGGCGAAGTTGTGTATGATTTGTATAATAAAGGACGATTTAATGGTGCATATGTGAATTATACTGTGCAGCGCTTGTACCGTCCTCAATTGTAGGCATACTTTAGTCAAATTTCTCCTTATTCCATCAACTGAGAGCCGAACGTAAATACAATGTCGAGGGCGAAGAAAGCCCCTACGGGGCTGCCTGTGTCGGACCCAGCTTACATTGCACCTCAACAGATCGTGGATTTGTTCAAGCTGGCTTTTGACAACGAACTATACAGGGACCCCGATGAGTTGAGCTCGATGATCCAGGAAGTCAAGAAAAGCCTCTACGACCGCCAGTACCTTGATGCTTTCGACAACAATGAAAAACGAAGCGCATATTGTTGTCGATGGTCTCCTTCAAGAGCAGTAGCATATGCCGCTCTTTTCAATTATCTGCGGCCCGTGCGAGCTACCTTATTAAGGCCGTTGACGAATTCATCGCCTGTGACGGCAGAGGAATTACATGTCGCTCACAGTGATACGTCAGAGTTTTCTCCAGAGATTATGTGCATCGGTGGCGGTGCTGGTGGTGAATTAGTCGCACTGGCGGCCCTTTTTGCACCCTCACTCGATTTTCGCTCGAAATACTCGACGATCAAATCTACAAAGAGCTCCAAAGCTGCCAACGTAAGGATTATAGATATAGCTGACTGGGATAATGTGGTCACACGGCTCGCTGGTGCGATTCGCGAACGCTGGCTATATGATCTGTCAGATCAGTTCGCGATAACTTTTCAGCGCGCTGACATCCTGCGCCAAGATGCGACACAGATGAGCTATTCGAAGCTGGATTTAATAACGTTACTGTTCACGACGAACGAGCTTTTCCAAGAGGACAAGGGTGCCAGTATTCGCTTTCTCCAGACTCTCAATCAGCATTGCAAGACAGGATGTCTTTTACTCATAGTAGAAAGCGCGGGCAGTTATTCTCACATTGAAATTGGAACCAAAAAATTTCCTATTCATTTTCTCGTTGACACAATACTGACAGGGAAGCGGGGTGATGCGAAGTCTGGCATGTGGGAACTTGTAGATCAAAACGATTCCTTCTGGTATCGTAACGACGACAGAATTGATTATCCGCTCAAACTTGAGAACATGCGGTTTTTTTACCGCTTATATAGAAAAAGATGAGTAATTAAGCAAGCTAATCAATTAAGGAAGACGATGATCGGAATACTATGGTTTTTCCGTATCTGTCAATTTTCTAATTGTGAGAAGGATGAAGATCTCATCAATGATGGAGATTTGAGTCGTTCGTACATACCGATATTAATTTAAAGATGATCATATGATTAACTAGTGCTAAGAAGGTTCGGACAGCGAACATCGAAAAGAACCCCACAGGAAGCAAATCAAGCGAAACATGTCATTTTTCAATTCTTTCAAGTATGCCTGCGATTGTACCTTTTCTCCGTTTTGTTTAAGTACTAACAAGAATTTTCAACTCCTAGATTCGGTAGGAATAGCAAGAAAACGAAGCAGACAAATGGAGCAGCTGGTCATACTGGTGTGCCCAATATCTATTCAACTCCCCGGCATAGTAATTCGAAAATATCGATAAGGAAGATGCATTCGCCGTCGCGACATTCTGTCCCGTCGCAGGGCAATTTGAACCAGCAATACGCGTCGCAAGCTGCCGATAAATCGGACTCCCAACAGACGCTTTTCTTGAGTGAACCTTTTGTGAGGACAGCGCTCGTGAAGGGGTCATTTAAGACCATTGTACAGCTTCCCAAATACGTAGATCTGGGGGAATGGGTAGCGCTCAACGTTTTTGAGTTTTACACGAATTTGAATCAGTTCTACGGTGTGGTAGCCGAATATGTTACTGCTGACGCGTATCCTACAATGAATGCGGGTCCACACACGGATTATTTGTGGCTTGATGCTAATAATCGGCAAGTTTCTTTGCCTGCAGGGCAGTACATCGATTTGGCTTTGACATGGATAAACAGCAAAGTCACAGATAAGACCTTATTCCCAACACAAAACGGCCTTCCTTTCCCCTCCAATTTTGTCAGGGATACACAGCGGATCATGATTCAAATGTTTCGAATTTTTGCACACATGTACCACCAGCATTTTGACAAAATCATCCATCTTTCTCTGGAGGCTCACTGGAACTCATTTTTCGCTCATTTCATAAGTTTTGCCAAGGAGTATAACTTGGTTGACAGGAAAGACATGTATCCTCTAGGCGCGCTGATAGAAAGTTTGGAACAGCAGGGTAAAATAATATAAATGAGATTAATGCATGTAATTTATAAATCAATACGTATTGTTGTTATATACACGGGGCATTGATTTAGATGGGGGTGTTTGCTATATGTCAGTGTTGCAAGCGAGCATTGAACTTTTTACCCATCAAGAGAAAAAGTATTTGCTGTTTTCAAGCTCTCTGACATCAAAATTGCCTTTTGGTGGGATGTTGGGCAGCTTCAAAGGAACCAAAACGGCCATGCAAGAGGCGTCGCCGGGTTTTTCGAGTGCAAGAATATCACCAAACTCCGACGTAAGCGATACCGACGTGACAAGTGCTTCGCCCTCTTGCCTTTCTTCGGGATCTTCTGAACTTAGTAGTTGAATCCGCTTCTTCTCTAATTGAATGTCATCCGCCAGAGTCACTGGGCGACCCAGTTCTGCAGACAATTTCTTTCTGAACTCTGCTATTTTAATTGCCACCGCAGATTTCTTTTCGATTTTAACAATTTGGAGGTAGTTCTTGTATCTCTCGTCGAATTCATTTTTCAACCTCTCGATGAGGTCGACTTCGTGGAGTTTTATGAACTGCTCTCTCAATATGATGTTCATTTGATCCACATCACAGGCATGCGTCCAGTACGAATCATGAACCGCCGCAAAATCTAGCCCGTTTTCACCGCACTTGGTTGCGGAAAGAAGCATGTGAGATGCGTCCAAAGAATGAATGAAATTGGGTGGGAACCCTGCTTTTTGTCTTCTAGCATTGATTGGGTTGACAGCAAAAGGATCGCTAATAAAAACAGTTTGTAGGTTTGTGGCTACTTGTTTTTTGCTCGCTTCACGGTAGGGCTGCACAATTGGAAGTCCAAGTGGGGTGGTCCAAATGACAGAAGACATGAAGTCAGGCTTATTACCGTTCTTGAAGGATTTTTCGTCTGTGTCTATTCTGACAGATTTCGAAATGCGCTTAGCACACTCACCCAGCCAGTCCTGGATCAGGTGAGCACCTTCAAAAAGTTCTCGAACAGCTCCGAAGACGTGTTTTGTAAGATATTTCGCCAATTCGTAGGATTTCTTTGGATCGTCAAAGAGGTTCGAAAGTTGTTTGTCTATCTGATGGGTTGCACCAATGTACGTCACACCATAAACGTTTGTCATGACTGTCTGCTTAACGATTTTTCTGGTTATTTTGTCTTTAAGAAGTTCTGCTGTTTGATCACCATTTTTCGCAGCTTTCTCCAGTCTCGCCACGACTAGTTTCGCAACATGCGAATAAACATCTTGCGGTCGATCGCTGGGAACCAGATTGACCTGAGTCGCACCTTCTACATCTCCACCGAGAGCTGCATAATGCTGCAGACCATTGCAAGTGCCATCCTGATGAACAGGCTGGTGGGAGACAAAATCCTCAGGATTTTCAAGTTTAAAAACTTCGTTCAACTCGAGACACGCAGCTAGCGCCTGCCATGGCTTGTCTGCCTGCTTCCACCATCCTTTTCCATTCAAAGGATTCTCGGCAGAGTCTATAATGTCAGCTTTATGGTCTTGAGCAAATTTCACGCGATCCTCTAGCGGTGCCTTATCATATCCAAACAGATTTGAGAGATGAACCTTCAACCACCTCAAGCCCTCGGGGCCTAAACGCTTGCCCTTCCAAAATCTCAGCAAGCCTCGGCTCATATCATTTCCTAGGTGATTGAAATGCGGGGAAAGCGGGTAAGCGCGACCTCTGAAATCCAAGTTATGAGGAAAGTAGAATCTCTCACCCAAAAAGGCGCGAGCAATTTCTAATTTGTAATTCGCGTCACACCTGGCCGAGCGATTGCTTGAGAATTCATTGGCCAAAGCTTTATTTCTTAGCTTCCACTCTCTATGGACTGATGGATCAGCATCATGTGAGGGCTGGGGGGTGAGGACCAATCTATCTTGAATTCCTGGAATATCCATGAAAGGCTTTCCGCTATTCCAAACTTCGGACATTATTTCAAACATTTTTTTGTTGACTGTCCATGGAGTCTCACCTAACACATTCAGACCCTTGTAGATATTATCTATGGCCCCAGCATCTGAAACCGCCTTCAGATAAGCCAGCTGTTCGGGAGAGTCCTTTGAACGAATGAGCACGGATTGCGAGTAATGATAACCTCCCGAGTTCCAAGACTTCCAAGGGCGAGGTTTTACCAGCATAGGTAAAAGTTGGGGCTGTACAGCAGCAACTAAACGCTCTCCATTCAGCTGATGTATTAACGTCCGATGTATTTTTAAAACACCTAATTTGGATCCATTGTGGTACTGGTAACCATGGGAAAACGCAGGCGCCTCTCCTTTTATTCTTTCCTGAGTTACCGGGTCTACTCCCTCGACACCTACACGAGCGACATGGATAAGCATGGAAATTAGAATTGAGCCTATCTTGGCTCTAGCCTCCTGAGGCCATAAAATTTTTGATTCCTCAATTTTCATGGATCTGAAAGTTGTCCTAGCTCGCTGGACAAGCTTCCTAAATTCATGTGATTTTCTGTTAACTTCCTTAAAAACGAAAGCCTCACTCTTTAAAAGCTGTTCCGCACGAAATTCCATCTCAATGGCTTTTCCTACGGAAATGACAGCTCTTGCTGTCCGCATGCCCTCGATGATTCCACCAGTCGAATTGAGCTTCAAAAGTTCTAGAATGGTTATGACACACATCTTCTCAGGATTGACTAAAGTGAGGTATGGCCCGTACTCCAGACGCGCCTTATTTTGCTTCTTTTCCTGCGTACTCAGGTCTGTTTCATTTGTAGTTCCGTGCATCATTTGAGAACAGCGCTTAACTTCTTCTTTCACCAGAGGAAGCATACATTTGTACCATTCCCAAAGCTTCACGTTGAGCTTCTTTTGAATGGAAAGGTCGCCTCTGGCTTTGGCCTCCTCAAAATCATGCCTCCACCGTTCCTTCGCTGCATCGATCGCTCTGTTCTCCAGTTGATGCTGTCGGTCTTGATTGAACTCATCAAGGGTCTTCTCGAATAGCGTTCTTTCTGCGTCATCCGTCAACTTCTTATATATTCCAAAAAAGTCAACACCTTCGCCATTCTGATCTAACTTTAGCAAATTAGACCCGGAATCTAAACTTGTTGCAGTTATTTGCTTCTTTTGTTCATCTGTTAGAGAAAGACCCAACAAAGCGTGTCTAACAACCTTCATGCCTATGGTGTCAACAGCCAGAAGTTCCCTGGCATCCTTGTCGACAATGCCGATATCCTTGTCGAAACTCAAAGCGTTGAGTTCAGACCCCCTCAGCGATGAAGGCGCTGGATCTACAGAACCCGTCTCCGGAACGACTTTCTCACCGCAGACATTGGCGTCGTCTGAATTCTTGAACAAAGGCCTGATTTCCTTTGGTAAGTCGCTCACTTCGATGAGCTTAAATTTATAGAGAAGTTGATTGTAGTCTTGGACCGTAAGAACTTCCACGTTTTTCATTATACTACCTATTCCGTTGACTCCCATTTGAAGATAAGTTCGGCAATGCTTTTCCGCCGAAGACTTCTCAGAGCATGTTCGCAGGGCATTATGCAGTAGAATTGCGAGGGTTTTGTCGTTATAATCGCAGGCAGGAAAAGTCTCCTGGAGATCTCGAAAAAGCACCGCGTCGAGTTCAGACACATCTTTTGCTGATTCGGCATTCTTCATCAAATACTTGTTGTAATCATCGATGAAATACGGCTTGTGAGACTTTATTTCGTAGAGTGATTTCAAAATCGAAAACGCTCTATCCAGATAGTTGGAATGCAAGCAGGCTTCCAATAAGGACCATAAATTCATTATATCTCGTGATTCGGATGAGCTATTTATCGTAAATGAGCGATCAAATGGCTCAAACTTGGGTGCTATGGACACTTCTGATGACTTCAAAAACCCAAAATCCCCTTCTGTTGATGCATTTCTGAATAAAGACGACGTCTCCGTGCCGACGGCCGGTTTCAACTGTTTGAAGGCTTGAGATATCGGCCTTTTCGATAGTACCCTCCTCGGAAGAAGCACTGCCCGGATTAATCTAGAGCAACTTAACATGTTGAGAGTTCTCTATTTAAAGAAAACTGAGGAAACTCTGAAGTCGGTGAGTTGTTACCCCAGGCCACCGAGAATTAATATTTAAAATATTAAGCATCTCATCTGCTTTTCTGAAAAATTTTTGATGGGTTTTCTTTTGATGACAGAAGCCTTTGAAAATCAAGAACTTCACCAAGTGACCGTGATAGTTACAGTGATAACGACAATCGACAATAAACCATTAAAAAAAGCCCGTGACGGAACCGACAGTTTCATATTCCAAGTATATGAAGCTGAAGTAGAAAAATTATGTAGTTTTGACTTTGTATGGTCATTTTATGCGAAATTTCGATCTTGTAAAGGGTCCCTCACTGGAAACACCATCTATGTACGTAGGAACTACAACATGAAACGGCCTTGGGGGCTTTTTTTATTTTGACGAAGCTCAATTAGACAATTAGAATTGAAGGAAGGGGTAGTGACGGGTCAGACGAAAAAAAAAGATGTACTAATGTTAGAGATCAAAATTTGAGTATAAGGGAGGTATCAGTCATTCAGCAAAGGTTTGCTAAAGCGGGTTTCTTTGCAAGCCAAACTATTCAAAATTCTCAGCCATTGGTTGTTCGTCAGCATAGTCAAGCTCTTCTTCGTCGTCAACAGTAGCTTCCTGGTATTGTTGATATTCGCTAACCAGATCGTTCATGTTAGATTCAGCTTCCGAAAACTCAAGCTCTTCCATTCCTTCGCTGGTATACCAGTGCAAAAAGGCCTTTCTCTTGAACATGGCACCAAATTGATCGCCAACTCTCTTGAAAAGTTCTTGAATCGAGGTAGAGTTTCCGATGAAAGTGGCTGCCATGTCCAAGTCCTTGGGAGCGACAGAACACACTGCCGTTTGCACATTGTTTGGAATCCATTCGACAAAATAAGAAGAGTTTCTAGTCTGGACTTTGTGCATCTCGTCTTCAACTTCTTTGACAGAGACTTTACCCCTGAAAAAGGCCGCTACAGTCAAGTATCTACCATTTCTTGGATCCGATGCGGCCATCATGTTCTTGGCATCAAACATCTGTTGTGTGAGTTCAGGCACCGTCAAAGATCTGAAAGATTGAGACCCAATTGAAGTCAACGGAGCGTAACCAACCATGAAAAAATGTAAACGTGGGAACGGAACCAAATTGACGGCAAGCTTTCTCAAGTCAGAGTTCAGTTGACCGGGATAACGCAACGAGGTAGTGACACCCGACATGACGGAAGAGACCAAATGGTTGAGGTCGTTGTAAGAAGGTTGACTCAATTTCAAAGTTCTTTGGCAAATGTCGTAAAGCGCCTCGTTATCAATACAGAAGGTCTCATCGGAGTGCTCGACTAGCTGATGGACCGAAAGAGTCGCGTTGTAGGGTTCGACGACGGTGTCCGAGGTTTTGGGAGAAGGCACCACCGAGAAAGTGGCCATCATTCTGTCTGGGAACTCTTCTCTTATCTTGGAGATCAATAGCGTACCCATGCCGGAACCGGTACCTCCACCAAGGGAATGCGAGATCTGGAAACCCTGTAGGGAGTCGCAACCTTCCGCCTCGCGCCTTATTACGTCCATAACGGAATCCACGAGCTCTGCACCCTCTGTGTAGTGACCCTTGGCCCACACGTTACCTGCAGATGACTGGCCGAAAATGTAGTTGTCTGGTCTGAAAAGGTTGCCGATGCGCGAGTTGCGCACGGCGTCAATCGTGCCGGGCTCCAGGTCGACATTCACGGAGCGGGGAACCCATTTCCCGGACGACGCCTCGTTGAAATACACGTTCAAACGCGCTTTCTGGATGTCATCTTCTCCGTGATAAGTACCGTTGAAATCGAGCCCGTGCTCGCCACATATCGTTTCCCAAAACGCAGCCCCAATCTGGTTACCACACTGACCGGTGGAAATGTGAATCTGTGGGAAAATTGTTAGTTGCTATGTCGCGCGTGGGCTGCTGAAACAAGAGCTCTTTGGATTGGCGCGCCGTATCGGCCCATTTTTCGGCGCGTTTCTTCCGCGTTTGCGTCCACCAATACCAAAGTCTAGCTTTTCGCATCGCAAATCACCATGTACCACTTACGATTTCCCTCATCTACTGTTCGATATGGCTCACTCGGGTTTCGCGTATGTTACCAACCTTCCTTTCATTAAGATATCCTTTTTGTGTTTACGTTTTGTCTCATTCCAGAAGTGGGAAATCAAATACCGGGTAACGGTTATGTTTCAGAAATTCGAGATTCGCATGCTTATGTAACGTGCTATGCGCGCTGGTCGGCGACGTTTCCAAAAATGTCATGTGAGTGTACTGCGACTCGCGTGCCTACACCGACAAGCACAATGGGGTAAAAGGCTTCTCACGGATACCCACCAATTGCGCTCTTTCCAGCAGCACAAGCGCTACCAAAAGCACAGCGTAATCCACGACGTAAACGCGATGGTGTGCTTACAATAAGAGGACATTCGTACGAAGAGACTAGCTCTGTGCGAGGCCGATTTCACCAAACTCTTCCCCCTGAGCTATCTTCCTAGCGTAATAGAGGCAATTTCCAGATGGCCAGCAGCTTTCCGAAGTGGATTTTGCTTGTCTCAGGGGTTGACTTCCAATGACTGGGTTTTCGGAAGTTCCAGGTCTTTAAACTCACAATATGAGTTTCTTTTGCAGCCGTCTTTTCGTTAGGCACTGCTCTAAAACACCCACACAGGGCTCGCAATATTCTTATGTATAGTGAGATAACACTGGTTAGCCGCCGAAATATATCATCACATACGTGAAACTACAATCTACCACCCCGTGCTCGCCCCGTATCATAGGTACTTTACCTAGTGCTTACCTGAGTAAGTCATTCGATGCATATGCCTTGTAGCTTGCAAGCATTCATGTGTGTAGGTTTTTACCAGCTGTCGAAGTCCAGCTGGCGCTCCTAGCATTTTTTGCAAGGCAAGAACAGTAATCTTACCTGAAGGTTTAGATTTGAAGTGTGGCGGAAGGCCATTCAGTGAACATGATAATGGCTATAGCCTCGCAATTCTATGTATCTGGCGATGGTGAGAGATGTGGGTCGACATGTGTAGACATATGGAGAGTTGGGTTTCTACTGGCACATGCTGGGTTATAGAAAGTGGCTGATAGTATGAAGTTGAAAAAGAGCAGTTTACGTGCATAATGCCAATTCCCGCTAGTTTCGCTTAGAGGTCTAACAACAGGGGCTCTTGCCGGGTGACTTGGCCGTATTTTGCGTATGCGTTTCAACGCCACAGGCGCCAGCTTCAAATGCGTATCTTCTCTGTTCAGGTTTGCAGCCTTCGCGGGTTTCTCAGCTCGTATGGCTGATAATGGGAATCGAAAAAAACGTTTTCATTTCACCTTTTACGGCTTGAAGGACGACGCCAGAGACCAGAATCAAAGAATCACCTTTCTCGCCATTGATATAGAGGATCAGTTTTCCAGGTAAAACTCGGACAACAGCGAACAGAGAAAAGCAAATAAAGTGAATCGGGGTCGATAGAATGTCGCAATCACGTCCCGTGGCTCCTCTTGCCACGGTCCTCAAATCGAGGCTCAGGCAGCCCCAGTTCTACTGGTTTTTGGGCCATTTTCTGACACTGTATTACTACGCACGCTACTGTCTGTCATTTTCGCAGAGGTCAATTCGTTACAACTACCCGCGGGTGCTGTTCTTCATATCGCTGACGTACGGAATCGTGCTGTACCAGTTCTACAAGTCGGGCCAGCTGACGCTCAAAACGGTCCGGCAGCAGCTGCGCACGCTCGACAACCTGCAGTATTTCGGCATGGCGCTTGTACTGTTCGCGTGCTCGAGCGCACACGTCGTTTTCGGCGCCCTCTCGTCGCCCGTCATCTTCTCCTTGTTCCACTCCCTCAACTACTTCAAGGAAAACCTGCTGCCCTTCTTACCTGTCGCGCCCATGCTCAAGGCCGCTATCGCCGACCGGATCGCGTTTTTCATCACCCACTACAACGAGAAGTTTCTGGTATTTGCGCACAACTTCGAGATCACCGCCGCCTTGCAATGCGGTCTCAGCGTACCGGGCTCGCTTGCCGGGTGCCTGATCAGATTCAACACCGCGCGTGTTCTTCGTGTCGTCAGCATCTATGCATACATCTTTTTCTTCAAGCTCAGATACACGCAGAGCCCTCAGATGAAAACCCTGTTCCAGCAGCACTACGTCGCGCGCGCCGATGCATTTATACAAGCAAGACTTCCACAGTTCTGGACCAAATGGCATGGGTTGAAACTACTGGTGGCAACACTTTTCGATAGAATTCCGCTTTGAAAACACAAAAGTGTAAAGAACCGCCTCCACAGTAAGCCTCCACAGTAAGTTTCAGCAAAGAACCCCCAAATAAAAGAGCTCGATAGGCGTACGATAAAATCCGGTCCAAGAAGTGTCTACTTTTTTTGCAATAACTTTTTTTTGCGATAGAGCGGAGGAGTCGACGCGTGTGCCCGTCACACTTGTATCCTGCACTTGATCGACTTTCATCAGGTAATGAGACCGTCCCTCATCGGCTTTTCATCAGCTAAACTGAACTCACCTCAACTCTCAGTTTACTCAATATTTGTACGAATTATCTGTCATTTTTTACGTCATCACTTGTGGAAATTAAAACTAGTCTCTCCTTCTTCAAAAGAGCCTCCCTGTCACCAATTCGATAGCAGCATACCTAATACATTGGACACGCGTATTACAAACTAGAGCTTCACAATATGAACAGCGAATACGACTACTTGTTCAAACTCCTGCTGATAGGAGATTCTGGTGTTGGGAAATCGTGTCTGCTGCTTCGTTTCTCCGACGACACTTACACCAACGACTACATCTCGACGATTGGGGTTGACTTCAAAATCAAAACGGTTGAACTAGATGGTAAGACCGTCAAGCTACAGATTTGGGACACAGCTGGACAAGAGAGATTCAGAACTATCACTTCGTCATATTACAGAGGTGCACACGGAATCATTATCGTTTACGATGTCACAGACCAGGATTCTTTCAACAACGTCAAGATGTGGCTCCAGGAAATTGACAGATACGCAACTGCAGGTGTTTTGAAGCTACTCGTCGGGAACAAGAGCGACCTGCAAGATAAGCGCGTTGTCGAGTTCGACGTGGCCAAGGAGTTTGCGGACTCGTTGCAAATTCCATTTTTGGAGACAAGTGCGTTGGATTCGTCGAACGTGGAGCAAGCGTTCTTAACCATGGCTAAACAGATCAAGGAAAGCATGGCGCAACAGCACAGAGACACCGGTAAGAAAGACGACAAGTCGAACGTCAATCTGAAGGGTCAAAGTCTATCGAACGCTTCTAGTGGGTGTTGCTAGTATGCATGTAACTCGCATATATGCTAAGTAAGGTATAACTTTTTTGATTGTCCCTATTCTTGTCTGCTATAGACCACATTTATCGGTATTTGAACTGCACTCTATCGGCGTTTTTCTCGCGCTTGGCCATTCTCTTGGATTTGGTAGCTTGAGCGGCATCTTTGGCGTCGTTCCTGGGTTCGCCCCGGCTGCGACTGCCAAGCAAATTAGAAATCAAAGGCCCAGCGATCGTTTTCGCGCGGTACGCCAAATATACTGGCACCAGCAGCAAAACGTACCAGAGCTTCAAAGTTCCAAGTGCGATATGGCCCACGTCGGCGAAAATCGAGAGGTAAATGACATCGAACATGTATTCCGTCAATCCTGGCTGCTTTAGGTCAAACCCTTCACGTACCAGCTGGCCCTTCTCGTCGTATTGCGGGCGACCGCTTTTCTCCAGCATGTACAGACATGCTGCCGCTGGGAAATGCAGCGGAACGTACGATAGCCATGAGCCCTTCTGGAGCACCCTGCGCAAAAAGGACAAGCCAAGAACGGGCAAAACGAGCAAATACGTTTGCCTCAGGATGGCAGCATTGCGTTGGGCCTGTTTTTTGGACGATTTGCCTGCCATTTGTGCTACTCTTGCCTTCCCATCAGAGCAGTGCCACTTGGAGAGGATCTCATTTTCAGTAACGGGGGGGGCATGAACGACGAATGCTCCGTTTTGTCAAGAGGGAAGCGACGGCATCGATGGAGTTGGATACAGGCAGTTGCAGGTTTTAGAGAGCGCATTTTGAGACGTGAGACCATTACCTTTTGAACCAGTTCATTGATTTTCTCTAAGCCGGTCTCCTTCCTAACGGATTGATTCGCTCAAAATTAAAAAAAAACACTGTCTAAGTCTATTGGTTCACGATAAGGGGCTGATTGATTTTATATTATTACATTAAAACTTCTACAGTTCGCTGCCCAATTTGCGTGGCTACGGGGGCCATTATAAATCTTGACCGTCCCACGTATTTCTTTCATATATACTCGAATTAAAGTTTTCCATAGGCATTACTACATCTGGACGTCGAAATCAACGCTGCCAAAAAAAGGACGCTAACAATGTCTAAGTGTAACCGAGTGCGATGGACCCCGGACAGAGCTAGAAAAGACCTGAGATCAGATTCTCTGACCCAAAAATAATACGCAAATTTACAAGATACGTATGTAGCAAATCTGAAATGATCGACATCCGCGTAGTCAGCACCGGAGCAACCACCAATAGTGGTCCCGGCAGCGAATTGGTAGCATTATCGTTGCGTTGGCCGGGTAATACGCACTTCAGGATTTTTGCCATGTTCCGTCTCCTAATCTCAAAATTTTTTGATCGAGGATATGAAAATAAGCACTTGCCACCTCACTTCTCAGGACGAGTCTGAACAGACAACCCGATCAAAAACACACAAAAATGGATTCTGGTATGTGGAGAACTGCTTTGGGAATGTGTATTGTTTGCCGCTTTGTTATTTTGTGAGACTGAACGCGATTTTGGTTCGTTATTGGCCTTAATTCTTGTTCGGGTTTGAACTGAAATTGGACACCATGCCGATTTTTCAATGGATATGTTGAGTGAAGAGTTTTAAATTGCAATTGATCGCTGTTATGAGTGGCGTCCGCAGGTTTGGAATCAACGCTGTTTTTGCCCTCTGGCTTCCAGATCCATTTCCTGCAAGCGCGCCGAATCAGGCTTGGCCGCCGGAGCCCCTATTTCGTGAGGCGGGTAATGGGAGCGGATCGGAAAAAAACCTCTGGAGGAAAACGCGTTAAAACTATCATGAAAACCATCACGTGATAGGGAACTGCGAGATACAGCTGATATGGTTTGCCGCGATTGCGATTCCCTTGGGATGGAATGGCTCTCCACGATTCTTATTCGATCACATAGACAGAATGAGCTGCATAAGTGATTTTGGCCCGTTTACTAACACATTTTACAGAAGTTGCTGCCTTGGTTATTGACAACGGTTCTGGTATGTGCAAAGCCGGTTTCGCCGGTGACGATGCCCCTCGTGCGGTCTTTCCTTCGATTGTTGGTAGACCAAGACACCAGGGTATCATGGTCGGTATGGGCCAAAAGGACTCTTACGTCGGTGACGAAGCCCAATCCAAGAGAGGTATCTTGACTCTTCGTTACCCTATTGAGCACGGTATCGTTACCAACTGGGACGACATGGAGAAGATCTGGCATCACACCTTTTACAACGAATTGAGAGTCGCCCCAGAAGAGCACCCTGTGCTTTTGACTGAAGCTCCTATGAACCCTAAGTCCAACAGAGAAAAGATGACTCAAATCTTGTTCGAGACTTTCAATGTTCCAGCCTTCTACGTCTCTATTCAAGCCGTTTTGTCTTTGTACTCTTCTGGTAGAACAACCGGTATTGTTTTGGATTCTGGTGATGGTGTTACCCACGTTGTTCCTATCTACGCCGGTTTCTCTTTGCCTCACGCCATTTTGAGAATCGACTTGGCCGGTAGAGACTTGACCGACTACCTAATGAAGATTTTGAGTGAGCGTGGCTACCCATTCTCTACTACTGCTGAAAGAGAAATCGTTCGTGACATCAAGGAGAAACTATGTTACGTTGCGTTGGACTTCGAACAAGAGATGCAAACCGCAGCTCAATCTTCTGCTATTGAGAAGTCTTACGAACTACCAGACGGACAAGTCATCACTATTGGTAACGAAAGATTCAGAGCCCCAGAAGCTTTGTTCCACCCTAGTGTTCTTGGTTTGGAAGCTGCTGGTATCGACCAGACCACCTACAACTCTATCATGAAATGTGACGTCGATGTCCGTAAGGAATTGTACGGTAACATTGTCATGTCTGGTGGTACCACTATGTTCCCAGGTATTGCTGAGAGAATGCAAAAGGAGATTACCGCTTTGGCTCCATCTTCCATGAAGGTCAAGATCATTGCTCCTCCAGAAAGAAAGTACTCTGTCTGGATCGGTGGCTCTATTTTGGCCTCTTTGACCACTTTCCAGCAAATGTGGATCTCCAAGCAGGAATACGACGAGAGCGGACCATCTATTGTCCATCTCAAGTGTTTCTAAGCTTATCGAAAATGTGGTTGAGCAACTCCAAGGATTGTTTGTCTTTTCCTCAACAATAAGCCCTTAACATCATTTTGTTGTATGGGGAACTCTTCTATACTACCATATATACTGAGATTAGCCTAACTTCTCAAAAGAAAATATTGTTTATCTTAATGTCATCGTTGGATGGAGCGCAAGATGCCATGATGACACTCTTATTTCAAACTCTCAACTTCGACAATCCTTCTGAAGTGGATATGACCTTAAAGATTTTTATACTGTTACTTTTACTTTAACCTCATGATGTTCGCTTGTTTGCGGTTCAGTATTAGAGTCTGGCTCCATTGCCTTTAAATGAATGGCGGGCGATGGAGCACAAGAGCGTACAATGCACCCAGTGTCCAGGTTACTATCTTCCGCCTTGGCCGAAAACGTGCTCTTATTGAACAAGTTTTCAATTTCTGACTCTGCCAGCCCGTATGTTTCTGGAAAGACTAGTGCCACGATCATGGCCAAAAAAAATGTGCAGCTTCCCAAAATTACAAATGTGACCCACTTGATTTTGCTTAGGAAAAACGGAGTTATGAAAGTTAGAGTAGCATTTAACATCCAGCTTACTGACATAGCCACTACCATCCCTTTCGCTTTAGCCCTAGCGGGCAAGATCTCATTAGTATAAAGCCATGCGCAGCAGGACAAAGTTGCAGAAAATACGCCAACGAACGCGAAACAAAGTAATAGCACAAGAAGCCCAGGGGTACCCGTTACCGTCCAGACGACGGCAGTATTTCCACCAATAGGCTCTGAATCACGACCATATTGTCCCATAATACATCCAATCACAAGCATTAATATTGCCAAAATAAATGAACCAGGGATAAGAATATCCCTTCTCTTCAACTTGTCCAATAAAAGTATCGGAACAAACGTGAAAACAACGTTCACGGAATATGGTACAGCGGCAGCAATAAGTTTTGAATTACCCTGGAGACCTATCATGTCACAAATATATACGGCATAAAACATCAAAGTGTTCATGCCGCATACTTGCACGAGTATTTGTAGGGTGATGCCGATCGAGATATGCTTCCTCAAGCCTCTTCTTGACAACTGAAAATAAGAAATTGGAGTAGCGGGCACCAAAAAATCTAGTACATCGATTTTATTAAAGTCCATCGTGTCCCCTTCTTCTCCAGAATTAAAGAGCGCCAATTTACGCATTTTCTCCTGAGCTTTGTCATAGTATCCGTGGATTGCCAACCACCGAGGTGACTCCGACAGAAGGTTACTAAAGCCAAATAGTAGGATTGCCGGTGCCATTTCAAGACCCCATGCAACCCTGAACGAAAGTGGTTTTTCTAGCAGATTAAGCAGGAAACACACAAAAAACATGAAAAGTACTGCCACTGTTACGGAGAGCTGAACCACCGACGTGACCAATCCCTTTTTGTTGAGTGGTACCACTTCACCAATATACGTCGGAATCAAAACCGACAACCCACCTATAGCGGCTCCCCGGATCGCCCTTCCTGCAACTACCATCCACACATTGACAACAGCAACAGAGATGATGCAGCCCATAATCCAAACGAGAGAGAAGGCCTGAAAGGCTTGGATTCGGCTTAATCTTTCTGATGCGACCCCAAAGAAAACGCATCCAATAAACCCTCCTATTGGATTTGCGCTAGTCATCAGTCCTTGCTCTAATGGCCCTGGGAAGCCCAAATACTTGTTGAAATAAAACGAACCCAAAAAGGTCGCCAGAGAAGATATGTCCATCCCAAGCATAACGCCCGCTAATGAGATTATGCACGCAATGCTTGTGGTTGCGTACAGGGTTTTCATTGTAATCTGAGCTTTTTTTGACGCTTCAAATACACAGCGTAGACTGATACAAAAATAAAAACTCCTCAGTAGCTTTCAAATGCCTTTAATTCTCCTCTAAAATCAAAGGAACTTCACAGTATAGATAGCCGTGCCGATAATGATTGGTAAGTAAGAATTCTGGAAACGTTTGTGTACCTTGTCTTGTGCTACGCCAGATAGCGACGACAGTATTTACAGATTGGGTAACACGTCTCCATTCACGTGAAACATAATCGTCAAGTGCGTATCAGATGATATTTCCGACCCTAAACTTGGATACTGGAGGTCTTGTTTCTTGACTATACTCTACCTCCCAATGTATATATGTTCGAATATACAACCGCATCATTCATCAAGACTAGAATGCTGTCTTTTTTCGGTAAAAGGACCGTAAAACGACTCAGATATCTTTGTAAGCATTAGGATGCTGTAAGTGGTGGCTAGAGTTTCGAAATATTTATAAGAGGCCTTCAAAGCCAATGAGTGGCTCTGGGTAAATCTTTATTCTACGGCCTTCATTCTTGGTAGTGTAAACCAAGACGCGAACCGTTCGCAGCAACTGGGTATATTTTGAGTTTTCGTACAAAAGGTGTATTCAATGGCCAAATATGTTCATACCTGGCTGGTATCATTCGAAGTAAGGTTTCAATCTTTCGACTTCTTAAACAGTGACGAATTCGTTCCTAATCCAACGTGTGTTGTATTATTGTGCACATTCTTTATTGATTTAGTGAATCTGCGATGTTTTCGTTGTCTCAGCGCTTTCAACAAACCTCGAATCATGCTGTAAGCTTCGCTATATGGGCAGCGGTGTTTGTCATTGCCACGTTCTGTGCTCAGTTATATCACGATAACGTGTTCAATTTGGCTTCTTCGATATCAAACGTACAACCGTAAGTTTCAAACCCGCGATTTTAATGACTTTGTTCAGTTTACTAACCGCATCCGTCAGACACATCAATTTGAGATCTAGCAGATACTATGGTTCTACCAATGGCAAACCCAAAGAAAACGTAAAAATCGCTTTTGACCTCGAGGCAGATCTTACACCGGCATTCAACTGGAATACTAAGCAAGTGTTTGTTTACCTTACTGCAACTTACAAAGGAACCCGAAACAAAGAGGTGATTAACGAAGTGACCTTTTGGGATAAAATCATAACAGATCCAAAAGACGCAGTCTTGAATGTTCATAACGCCAAGTCCAAATACTCCATCTGGGATTTAGAGGAAAAACTCGCAGAAAGAGAATTTCAATTCAAATTGCACTGGAATATTCAGCCATGGATTGGAAATCTAGTTTACGGTGAAACCACGGGCATGACAACGGCCACTATGACAGATTCTGAAAAGAAAAGTAAACCGTCCAGCAAGAAGAACGCGGGTATATAGAACGTGAAGTCGATGGCCCGGCTGTTTTGCGTAAATTGTTTTTAGTATATGTACAGGGTCTCGCTCCTATTTACAGCATTAAAGGATAAAGACCAGCGGAAATTAATGTAAAATTTTATAGCGTAGTTCGCGGAACCCGCTGGAATGCATGGATTAAGTAGCAATATCCTCAAAATAAGCTGATATCAACCTTCCTTTTGTGCCGTCTCAAATCGCTAAAAAACAATGGATGTCGTCTTTCTACGTTCATCCAATTGGCGACATTTGTTCTCGGTTTCATGAGATAACTTTTCATAAAGTATCGATGAGATGTCGAGAGCTGCAGCAATGTATTTTCAACATTACTGACTTCGTTCAAGTAGTTGTCGAGAGATTCAGATAGGACTTCAAAAGTTTCCGACGTAAGGTAAAGCGTTGGCCTCAGGGACAACGGATCCTCAGTTTTCTTTTTCAGGAACCAAGACTTTGTCCTAGTCGTCGTCTGGGTACCTGCGTTCCTGCGCAGTAACCTGTATTTGTGAATTAAGTTATATCCAAAAATCAGCTTCTGATCTGCAATTTGTAGGGCAGTGTTCAAAGTTCTGGCATCAGACGCCATACTTACCACCGCTTCGTTATAAGCCTTGTTATCAATAAAGAACTTTTTCGATTCCAGGTTCTTGAGCAAAGGCGGGATCGATAACGTACCGTCCGTTGCGACAAGCTGTTTGATCTTATACTCCAAAACGCCTTGCATGCTTGTGGCCAACTTGATGTTTCTCCCCATCGTAAGCGGCTTCCTCTCATAATCCTGTATCTTCGACAAATATCGATCGAATGTTGCTTCGAACTCTTCCCACTGGTGAGTTTCTCCATATAAAACTAGTAAACTCCTCATAATCACCAATCTACCGTTTGCTGAATCAGATTTCTCGAAAAAGAGTTCATTGTATCTGTTCATTAACTCTAGAGCCTTGACAGGACTATAATATTTAGAGATAGTTCTCATTGGCCAGGCCATGACTGAGGGATGCAGCTTTTCGAACGTTACGTCCAACGTTCTTGTCGCAGCACTTTTCATAATATCATTAACCATTTCTATAGCTTCGTCTAAATTTTCTTTTGACGCTAGCTTAGTTTTGAATGCAGACTTGATGACGAAATACAATATCTTTGAGGTCACAGGGACGTTACTGTCAAGCATCTTTTGGTACAGCTTGAAGACACCGTTTCTATAAGATATCTTGTCGTACGCCTCCATCAAAGTTTCAAAATGTAATGCCGAGACTTTAAGTTTCGGATGTGTTATGAGTTGCTCAAGGACATTTTCAGCGTTTTGGTAGTCTTTGCTAACTAAAGCTAGATGCCTCAGCATGACTCTGTAAAACTCTGAATCGGTGACTAAATTTTTGCTCAAAATTTCCTGGAAAAGCTTTTCACATAAATCACTGCGACCCATACGCATATAAGCTTCAACAGCTTTGTTATAGATAGAAATCGATTGAGAAGCGCCACGAAGATCTTTTGGTTTCTCTCTGAATAATTTTAGAGCTTTTTGAGGCTCGTTGCTTTCGATGTATACCTGCATTAATGCAGCAATTGATGGACCAGTCGGTCTTATGTGGTAATGGTCACACATTACCTGAAATAGCTCGGCTGCAATGGCGGTATTAGTGGTTTTTGCGCAAAGATTTATAAGGGTCGCAAAATGTCTCTCAGAAAGTTCTACGTTGTTCTCGGACATTTTCTTGAAAAATCTCAAACCACCGTTTATGTCACCTAAGTTTCGATACATTTTGAGCATTGTTTGACACACGCCCCCACTCGGCTCTATGCCAAATTTGTTAAAGAGCTCGAAATGTTCGAAACAGCCTCGATAGTCGCCGTTTCGATAATAAACGTGCACCAGGGATCTCAAGACGGGAAGTGTTGGAATGAGTTTTCTTCGGAGGAGTTGATTGAAAAGTCTCTCCACCATGTCTTTCTCACCCAGTTGAGCGACGGCATACATGACTATGCCATAGTGCTGAATATTTGGTAGTTCCCCTATGCCAAAGAGAGCATTGAATTGGTTTTGAAGGCTTTTCCAGTCCTGTTGCTTGGCAAAAGCAACCAAAACGTAGTCAAACTGGGCAGTGTCGTCGTGAGCTTCGGGGAACTTTTCGTGCAGACGATTCACCTCAGAAAAATTCTCAAAATGGCAATTTGCCTTCAGTATTGCGGTCAAATCAGAGCTCACAATTGGAAGCCCTCTTGTCGTTTTGTAAGCCCAAATTTTGAGACTCAAGGGGAAATCGCGGTTGTATGTGCAGAGGTATAGTAATGTTGTAGCCATTTGTGAAGCCACGACCACTCCTTGAGCGCTGCCGATATCATCTAGCGCTTGCTCGAAAACCTGATCTATCTTCTTTTCTCGAATAAAAAATAGCAGTGTCTTTAACGACGTCTTTTGCTCATCGTAGTTAGAAAAATCAACCCGTCCGTGAAGATACCAGTTAGCAGTCGCCCACAGAGCTAACGTCTCGCGAATAAATTCACCAGAAGACAAATGCGTTACAATTGAATTTATCACTCGTTGTACCATGTCTCTTCTTTTCAACGAAAATTGAGCAACAAGCTTCAAGACCAACCGCGTCAGCAATTCGCTCTGACCCGTTAACGCTAGCGCTCCAGCATATTTTTTCATTTCATCCGTGGACACGTTAGACATAATCCCATTTTCTGCATCGAACAAATTCGTACGGCCCACTTCGATGACTTGTTCATACGCATTCCGATGGTAAAGAGATTTGATCAAAACCCCCCGCTGAACTCTATCCAGGGGACTCCCCGCGACAATATGAGAAAATTTAGAGGGATCATCAATTTTAAGAGCTGCTATTATCTCACTCGACAGACTGTTAGATACATGACTCAATTGTCGGATGTGGTATGTTCGGATATGTCGGAGATTTCCAAAGAACGCACCGATTTTCATCAATGAAAACCCTAAAGCTCCAAATCGTGAACTTCTATGCTAGAATATATGGCCCAAATATAGAGAGAATCAGCTTATGCCACACCTATGTTATCTAACTTCAACGACGTTCTTTTGTAGGGTTTTAACAAAATTTTTTCAGCCTTTCATTTCCAGTCTAGATTTAATTCTTGCAACAAAATCAATCTCACCTCATCACTTTCCAATTAAGAAACTTGAAGCCTGTGAGAGAATATTCCATTGGTCTTAGGTGTTCAGTGCCCTACCATAATGCCACCAAAAATATATAAGCATACTAAGGAACACAAGCTTAGGGAGATTCAAAAGAGTTTGACCAAGAAAGCTCGATTGAGAAAAGAATATTTGAAGACCTTAAAGCAGGAGAACTTATCTCTGCCCAAGAAGGATGAAGCGAGTCCTCGATTAAGTTATCGTGAGGCCAAAACTCAAAAAGCCGCGCAGAGAAAAGAAGACGTCGAACGGAAGAAAGAATTGAAGATAGAGAGAAAACGACTTGAAAAAGATCGATATTTGAGCTCTAAGCAAGACGAGAAACAGAAACTCGAAGACATTAGAAAAAAACATGAGCAGCGCTCTGTTAGATCTAAAAAACTAACGCAGAGGACGAAATCGGGTCAGCCACTTATGGGTCCGAAAATTGAAGATTTACTAGAAAAGATAAAAACCGATGAGACGTACACGAAATGATCTATGGCCCAGATACGTGCACGAATTTTATAAACGGATATTTACAGTTATTTTGGTTAATTCATTGATTGGTGGAACGTTGCATGATGTTTTTATCTTTCTCTAATTGTTGGATATTTACATGAATCATTTTTTCTGTTGCTGCTGTTTTTCGAAGTCAGCAATCAATTGTCTTTGCAACTGCGGAGATGCCGGAGCGTAGTGTTTGAATTCGAGCGAAAATTCTCCCTTTCCTTGAGTCGAAGAACGCAGAGACGTAGCAAAACCAAATAGGGTGTTGAGGGGACATTCTGCAGTAATCGTGAACTCATCGTGTCCATTCTCTGTGTCCAGAATCATGGCCTGCAGTTTGTTCAACAAGCCGATGATGTTGCCTTGAAACTCATTTGGAGATGTGACTGAAACGTTCATAATTGGTTCTAAAATGACTGGTTGGGCTGTAAGGAAGGCCTGTTTAAAGGCTGCCATCGTTGCAGTCTTAAAAGCCAGTTCATTGGAATCAACAGCGTGAATTGCACCATCATTGATGAGCATTGTAACGGAAAGTACTCTGTGACCGATAAGTGGACCCTTTTCGCAAGCTTCTTCAAAACCTTTACCGCAGGCAGCCAAATATTTGTCTGGGATCCGACCTCCCACAATGGCTGTTTCAAAGGAATTTGCGTTAGAGCCCTCGATTGGAACCAGTGTACCGATAACTCTACCATACTGTCCAGCACCACCTGACTGCTTCTTGTGGGTATAGTCGAAGTCCGCAGGAATGGTAATTGATTCCCTGTAAGAAACTTGAGGTTTGCCAGTTACGCATTCCACATTGTATTCACGTTTCATGCGCTCGACATAAATTTCAAGATGAAGCTCGCCCATACCAGAGATGACTGTTTGCTTCGATTCAGGGTCGAAGCGTACTCTGAAAGTTGGGTCCTCTTTCTGGAAACGGTTTAGTGCCTTAGAAAAATTGGTAGAGTCTCTGGTCTTAGGCGTGATCGAAAGAGAAATCACAGCATCAGGAACATACATGGAGGACATCGAGTAACTCACTGAGCCATCCGTGAAGGTATCTCCAGAGGAGCAGTCGATACCAAATGTTGCACAAATTTCTCCCGAACCAACCTCATCAACATCTTCCATGTCATTGGAGTGCATTCTCACCAATCTGGCGACCTTGACTTTTTTACCAGTCTTGACGTTAGTGATGTAGCCACCCTTGCGCAAGCGTCCTTGGTAAACACGAATGTAAGTAAGTTGCCCGTATTTGCCTTCCTCTAGCTTGAAAGCGAGACCGACGAAAGGCATCTGGCTTGCGGGAACCAAATTTACTTTAGCTTCGTTGTTAGAAATGTCCAAACCCGTGTTCAGAATTTCTGATGGGTTGGGAAGATAGTCAACAATCGCATCAAGAACAGGCTGAATACCGGTATTTGCTAAGGCTGAGCCCATTAAAACCGGTGTGAATTTTCTTGCAATAGTGGAACGGCGAATAGCAGCTTTAATTTGCTCTGTGGTGGGTTCTTTCTCTTCGAGAAAAATTTCGGCGATCTCATCATCGACATCTGCAAGTGTCTCAATCAACAGAGCTCTTTTTTCCTCGACAAGATCAGATAATTCATTAGGCACAGGTCCCGAGACGATTTGCTCACCTTTGGCACCCTCATTGTACAACGCAACACGATCGATAATGTTTACCACACCCTTCAAGTTGGATTCAGCTCCAATAGGAACTTGCAATGCAGCAGCAGGAATTTTAAGCTTTTGATTAATCTGCTCAATGGCGCGGAAAGGATTAGCACCCATGCGGTCCATTTTGTTGATGAATGTGACCCTCGGAATATTGTAACGTCTCATTTGTCTGTCAACAGTCACAGTCTGAGACTGAACGCCAGAAACCGCGCATACAACAAGAACGGCACCATCAAGAACTCTCAAGGCCCTCTCAACTTCAATGGTAAAATCAATATGGCCTGGCGTATCAATTAGGTTGAATCTATAGCTTTCATTGTCTTTATCCCAAGAACAGTAAGTGGCAGCCGATTGGATGGTGATACCCTTTTCACGCTCTAGATCCATGTGATCCATTTTAGCTCCGACGTTGTCTCTGCCTCGAACCTCATGAATCGCTTTGATCCGTCCAGTGTAAAAAAGAACTCTTTCGGTAAATGTCGTCTTCCCGGAGTCGATATGTGCAGAGATACCAATGTTACGTAGTTTTTGAGAACTCTCAACATCGCTTTGAGGCAAGCTTTTGGCGATTTCATCTAGTGTCGTCTTTTCGCTTTCATAGTTTTTGATGAGCGAAGAGACATGGAACAGTCTGCGAGAACAAGAGAAAGCCGGATAACTTACCTTCTCTGCCAGTACCATGAACGGCCTTTGCCTCAGGTAACATCTACCCAACACAGACATGCCTCCTTCGAACAAAAACCCTCTGCTTCTACGCTCTTTGATCTGTCGAAAAGATAAATCTTGGATTAACATCAACGTGATAAAAAATTTTAGTATTCGTACTTAAATTAAACTCATCTAATATAACACCATCACAATATGTATACCAATGGTCATGCCTTACAGGAGACTCTCAGATGGCCATAAGACATGGCTTAAAACTCATTCTAACTGACCAGCCTCATGCAAAATTTTTTTGAGTTTAGAATACAGCTCTTCGTCATCTTGCTTGTTTTCGTTAAAGCCGTATTGTACAATCGTGTAAAGACCCCAAATACCGATTAGAACAGACACCGCTAAAGCAAGGAATCCCTTTAAAGTGAACCCTTCCGGCAAAGGGGCCGGTTGTCGAGGGAGATTTTCCAAGTTCAGCCAATCCCTAAAGTCACCAGCCGCATTGCCTTTGAGTGCCATGTTAGAGTTTCGGCACACCTGCTTATAATTATCTGACAACTGCTCCATCGCTCGGAGTTGCTTCGGAGCTTCGACAAACACTGCTGCTAGCCCCTGTTCTAGGTGCCAGTCAACATGACAATGAAACATCCATACGCCAGGATTATCCGCGACGAATCTGAAAACAACATGACCATTGGCTTCTAAAACGACGGTATCTCTTCTCATAGGTATTCCCGGGAACGCTTCAATCGGTGCGCTTTCGTTGTAAGGGACGGGATCTTCATCAAAACCTTGTGATTTTTGAATTATTTGGAAGTTATGGCCATGCATGTGGAAGGGGTGTCTGTTGTCATCATAATTGTTCACAACCAGCTCTATAACTTCTCCATGTTCCAGAACAAATGCATTTATGTTATCACCGTAAATCCAGGGGTTGCTAATTAGATCCTCTGGCGCTGACAAAACAGTACTGAGGGTCGGTATTTTAGGCGCCACGTAAGTGATGTTGTTGAAGAAAGCATAATTCACCCCATTGCCCAAATTGTCCATTTTAACGTCGAGCGTTATCTGATAGTCGTAATCGTCAAGAATCTCCATCTTATCAAGTGGCTCCAGGTAAAAATCATTCATAGCATCTTTGTAGCTGTCAATGAAGTATTCAGATACGTCATTCGAGCCTGAGTCGTATTCAATCTTGGTGGTCCTGTTCAGCTGAAGTCCCGGGGTTATTACATCAAGCATTGTTGCATCCATGCCTTGCATCAAAGCGTAATTCCTGCTAGAGGTTTTTTGCGAGTGAACGAGTACAGCCACTCTTTGACCAGTCGCGATGTAAAGCAAGTTTGTGGTCTTTGGCTTGACGTAGACTCCATCGACTTCGACAACGGTGAACTCGTGGTCTTCCATATAGATGTATTGCGAAATGAAATTACCCACGTTCAAAAATCTCAGCAGGTAGGTTTTGTTGGGCTCGAAATTGATAGTCGCGTTGACAGTATTGTTCAAAAGAACATTTTGCGGAACGGGCTCCGCGCCCGTGGGATTGTACCTGCTCAAAAACTCCTCCATGACTTGAAAGTATGGTTTGTGGTAAAGATCTGAGATTTGAATTGTTAGATCTCGGTCGTATTCGAAAGGTGCCCCATCATCGTGAATAATAAGTGCTGCCCTCATTCCGTCCGTATACTGTGCGCCTGAATGAGAATGATACCAGAAAGTGCCTACCTGGTCTGGCACGGTGAAATTGTAAATATACGTGTCTCCGGGGCTTATGGGACACTGTGTAACCATTTCTGGGCCGTCCATCTCATTTTGGTTTCCTTCACTTACCTTGTGGAAGAGCCCATGAAAATGCAGAGATGTCTTCAAGTTTTGCAGTCCATTCGTAAGCCGAATTACCACCCGATCTCCTTTGTTGATGTGAATGTCAGGGAGTGGCCACGCACCGTTAAAGCCTATCATATTCTTTTCATGCATTCCGTCAGGATTAGCTTTCACCCATCCTGTAGTGAAGTTGTATTCATGCGTTGTTTGAGCAAGTGCTATTAAAGTGACAAAAGACAGCCTCAAGAAGACGTCCAAACACTTCATAATGCGTGATGGTTTGAATATCTACCAGACTTATCTTCTCTCACCCAAGCGCTCCTCTCTCTGTTCGTCTGGCGCTAAACAGGCTTCACTTGTAGAGATCACATATCATTCTAATGGAAATGGCACCCAGTTTTGTAATTCGAAAAAATCACCTTTTCATATTCCGTCATTGCCCGAACATAACAACAGACTTCAACACATAAAAACCAAGGGGTTTAGTAAAGAAAGAATTAAGTCTGACAAAGTCGGCATTATACATTGCTCATGGTATATACGTAGCGATGATCATGTTGGTGGGGCATAAAAATTCTGATGTTTTTAATTTTGGAAGGACGAGGAAAATTACTCCGGCCCATCTATAATGGTTTTAATCACCTCGGAGGGAAAATTCATGTTGAAGTCGTAAGCTTTAGGAGCATCTTCAAACTTGAAATGGTGCGTGATAAGGGGCTTCACGTCAACGTCACCATCAGAAATCAATCTCACGGCATCTCTATAGTCCCCAAAGGCATATCTGAATGTACCTTGAACTCTCAATTCTTTGGTGCCGATAGCAGTGAGAGGTACAGTAACGTCATCTTTCCCTACTCCGACCTGGACATAAGTACCTCCTGCTTTGCAAGCTTTGATGCCTGCTCTAACGCATGGTTCTGCACCGGAACAGTCGAAAACAACTTCGGGCTGTTCACCACCCAAAACGCGTTCAATCTCCGCAACCAAATTGTCCTCGCCTACTATTCTAGACGCGTCTACGGCGTGAGTACCCCCAAATTTTGTCGAAAGCTTCAATTTGATCGCGTGCACATCGACGAAAACAACGTCTTTCGCCCCAAAAGCTGCGGCTACTGCCCCCGTAAGCAAACCTACGGGGCCTGCACCAAACACCAAAGCTCTTTGACCATACCGGACTTCTGCTAGTTTTGCAGCATGCACTCCTACAGAGAGAGGTTCGACTAGCGCACCTTCCTCTAGCGACACGTGATCTGGTAGCTTAACTAGAAAGTCTTCTGGTGCCAGGTAATACTTAACCAAAGTCCCGTCGTATGGAGGAGTGGCAGCGAAAGCCATGTGGGGGCACAGGTTGTATCTGCCTGCCTTAGTCTCATCGGAGTACCGACTTGGAACTCCGGGCTCAATTGCGACTCTGTCTCCGACCTTGACCATGGTCACTGCCCGACCGACCTCGACCACGACGCCGCTGGACTCGTGGCCTAAAACCATGGGAGCCTTCAAAACAAAGTCACCAATAGCTCCCGTCTTATAGTAGTGCACATCAGATCCACAAATTCCTGTTTTCTTAATCTGAAGCCTAACGTAGTGCGGATCAGATAGAACGGGTATCGGTTTTTCCTCGAGCGTTATGAGACCTTTGTGTTGTAGAACAACCGCCTGATGATGCGTTTCCTGCTGTGTCGTTGTCATGTTAGATGCGATTGTTTGTTTGGTGAGAATCAGTAGTGTTCTTTGGAAGGTAATGTTTTCCTTTTATGCATACACAGGTCCCTTTTCGTATGTCTTAACCGTTGCAGCGCGGTTTTTGCATTTGGAGTTGCTCGAGAATCTCCGGAACAAGGGAGTGATCACTTGATCATCCTGTGACTTGTTGTCTTGCGGAAATTTGGCTTATATCACGTTATGAAGAATGGAAGTTGCATGTGACAAGCGAAAGAAAGTACGCGGGATCGAGAGAAGACAGGCTAGCCAATCGCACTATTGGGAATATCTTCCACATCTCCAGGGACTCCATCAATTCCTTCTGCCATCTGTCGAGGGCGATAATTTGGTTGGGAAGACTATTTGTAGGGAACTCGATCAATGTTGATCAAACTTACAAATACGATAAATAACAACCTCAGTGTCATGGGTATTTGCTAAGTACTCGACACATGCTCAGATCTTGGTAAAAATTACCTGTGTCGGAAGCTAGCTTAGACAACATTTGTCAAAGTCATTGTTCTCTCATTCAGCTCCGACTTAATGTTCAGCTTTGCCTAAAAAACAATTATTGGTTTCGAAGGCTATATATAATCTACGACCGCGCGGGATACATTACAATTTCTTCGAAGAAAAGATCAACAAAGGTAACTCCGATGTTCAATAAATTATTGGCAAATGCTATAACGAACGGTTTGTGTTGCGAAATTGGTTTATCCCATAATGTTCATCAAGTAGTCTCCAGTCTTGGAAACCATTAACTATATGTTCTGTAAAATGCGTTAAGGCACCTTTCTATGGTTAACCAGAATTTAAAATTTGATTGATTTGCTGAACAAGAGCACCAATTTCATTAGAATCACAACAAACGCCGTCATTGAGTCGTATGGCGGATGTAGTTCGCCCAATAGAGTTCGCCGAACTTTCCTCGCCTAACATTGAAGAATCTATCATGAAGACTCTATTTCTCACTTCATGTAATAGTGGATATATTGGGCTGGTCGCGATTATTTTTTCATCTTCAGAGAAGTGGATATAGTATTGTAGTTGCTTGCACCCATTGTGGAGTACATTCCGCAACTCAAAAATTAGGATGACTTTCCCGTTAGTCTCTGGGTTGTGATAAACAAGCTCGTATTCGGAAAGATTATGCATTTGTAAAGAAACTGTCTCGAAATTGTTTCCTTCACTATGTTGTGAGGTGATGTTGCCAACCACCTCGAAAAAGCTGGACGTGAATTGAAGGTAATTGAAGATGAAAAAATAATCGTACCGTCCCTCATCTATGAAAGTTTGGATAATGTTTTGAAAATTGGAAGGAGACAGACGCACCCCTAGTTTCTCAACACCACTTTCATTTGTTACAATGTCAATAGCACAGTCATAACTTTGCTCGACTTTTTCCAAGTATTTGAAGCAGATTTCATTTGGCCTCAAATTAGTGATGTTGAAAGTTTCTGTCTGGAAGATGGTATGCAGTCTCTCAATGATATTTGTTAAAACCAGTAATTGCGTAAGCTTTTGCTTGAATTTGCATAAGCATTGAACTATGTTGCTTAAATTGTCGTAAGATTCTGACAAACAAAATGAGAGCGGACTCTTGTCATTAAATTCGACTGGCAACTCCTTACACTGATACCTTGTGATTTTGATATTTCCTTTAAACTTTCCGAACATGCAGACAACAGAACGGTCATAATCGAGCGTCAACATCATAATGTCCTCTAAAATATTCTCGACATCTCTGTTATTAAGAAACGACGTCAGCTTTATGGCTATTAGAGAACTGTTAGTCGATGACGATTTTGAATAGATGAAATCAGGGAGACTGCCCAACTGGTCACCCGATACTATTTTGTTTTCGGTGCCCGACTCATTCAAAGAGTCTATAATCATATGGTTCACAATTTTTTGTAAAATAGTCTTCTTTAATTGAAGTACTTTCTGGTATGACATCGCCTCGAGTTTTGAGACGGTAACATTGCTCTGATCCACATATTTTAGTTCCCAAGAGCCTTTATCTGCTTTGATTTTTCCAATTCTCATTTCAAGGAGGCAAGACGTGTTCGATGAAATGACACCCACAATCAGATACCAGTTTATAGGCCAATTCTTGAGACGAACGAATAAATCCTGGGATAAGACCATCTCTTGGTCTTTTAAGGAAGCGTTTGAAATTGGGTTTGAAAGTTTTATCACACGGTTACAAACCCATCCAGTTTTTTCGAACATATTACGCAGCACTTGCGATATTTTGTCCAATTTTAGCCTCCCAAGCGCATAAATAAGTTCCTGGGTGTTGCTGCTGTTATTGATTTGATGCATGTAGAAAAGAAGCAAAGGACTTGGATTCTTAGCGTAAAAAACACCGCTTATTAGATTTATTTTGAGCTGTATTGGGGCAATTGCTACCGACGTAGTTGGAACCTGGAAAAGGAAAACATCTACATTTTCGTCATCTTCCTCAAACACACCCGTGGAAATAAGGTCGCTTTTTATCACTTGGGAGTGATTGAAAGTTATTTCATTCAGAACATTCTCCATATTTCCCAGGAGATTAGTGTAGCAGTTTGGCATTGGACCAGAACCCTCTGTCTTTCGCAATAGTTCCGTTTTTAAAACAATGGTGTTAGAAGCTTGCTCAACACCTACCAGAGCAGTGCACTTATTGCTCAGCCTGCTTTGGAGCCAATACTTCAAAGTAATGCAATTGGTCTTCGAGTCATAATTATGTATTAGGTTGCCCCCCGAATATTTGCCCTTCGATTCTAGATCTTGTAGTTCCACGTGAATCATGTATATCTGAAGCGTTTGAACATAGTTGTGCAGCAACAAGTAGACTGACGCAAGAGGGTTGGAGTTTTTAAAAAGCACCTCGTTAATGACTTTCTCCATTCGAAATTTGTTTAGCGGTAAATTTTCCTTGAATAAAAGTCTTAGATCCACAAAGAAAAAAGGTGCGCTTTGATTTATCGTAGACAGTTCAAGTTCGAACTCATTTTCCACCCTAATGATTACCCTTCCATCCTTGACCGTGTAATGATGAAACTCTTCAGGAATGTCGGCAAGGGAAATCTTTATCGACAAGATCGTATTGAGGTCATGAAGCTTTTTCAAAATGAGTTTTGGCGGTATCTTGGACGTACTGCTTCCTGTGCGCTCATCTTCTCCGCTCAGTCGCAAATTGTACGTTGACAAGTTGGGCCGGCCCAGAGTCAAAACTTCAAGAGCGGTTGCGAGATCCGGATTAGGCAGCTTGGCGTCGGCCATGCTCACGAGATTGTTCTTCAAAGCCCATATACAACTATTGACCCCCATATTTGACCCCCGAAACCAGTTCAATAAGTCAATCATTGTGCTGAAGTTATTACACTTGATTGTGCGGCACCATTTAATCAGAACGTAAATTCTCAAGAATTGGTTTCTCAAGTACACCACCAATTGCAGGAAAGACGCCTTGCGAGGGCTTCCAGATTCTTGTGTCTGACCGGGACCTTCATTTGTCTTCATAAATTGCGTAATTTCCTTCATTGCGAAAACAGTGAGGTTTCGCAATAAAAGAGCTAGTGATAGCTGGTTGAAATCAACATGCGGAATTTCGGGTGGTGCTTTCATTTCTTCATGCGCTTCGGGTTCAATGGGTTTTCGTTGAACGAGCACATTAGTCTGGGCTCCTTTTTTAATTCCATTCTCTAGCATTTGTCCACCATCAATAGCATTGAAATTCTGAACTGCAGTTGTCATACTTCAACCGCTCTGATCACCTTTCGAGTTCATCAACTAGTCTGCTGCCTGCCTGCCAATGGATAGATTAAGAAGTCTGGAAATGTGGCCTACTAGTGAATTTGATGGCAGGGTAACTGGTGATGGGTATGTTGATTCCGCCCTGAAAGCGATTTATAGGCTAGGCTAACGAAGATTAAGTGCAATCCACACTATTAAGAGACTCCTATTTGAAGCAGTAAAATAGCGAGAATCTGGAGCATTATTTCGTCCAGAGCTAATCTCTGGGGAGAGTGTTTTTTCTTGTTTTTACAAGGAACTGAAACCTTCTGCTAGTTAAGGGTGCGTCATCGGAGAAGTTGAGATCCTCCTTCGTCCTCACTTGGCTGTCGTTTTACAAGCTTGCCTATGTCAACATCGGATTTTGATAACTGGGAACCAGTTGAAGATGAAGCCGGTCCCCTGCCGCCGCTAGGTACACCCTTTCGGGCTGGGCTATCGATATCGCCGTCGGAAAAGGCAAACGAAGCTTTAAACGTCAAATCATCAAATTCACCTATAAGATCTGTAAGTGGGTCTCACCGAAGCTCGGAGTCTTCAATTGAAAATCCGGCATTGAAAGCTAGCCCCGCTGACCCTGAGTTGACCAAAGTGGATCCTGTCGCGGGGCTTACGTCTCTGCCTACTAGAGATGCTACAGCCCTCAGTTCCGTCAATAATATAATAGACCTGACTCGAGAAAACAGAATCTCGGGAAGCGACACGACCGACGATGCTGCGGCGGGTTCGTTTTTCAACAGCATGATGTCATCTCTTTCATTCAGTGGGGCTCCACATAAGAATGCTGGCCACTCTAGGACGGCGTCACAATCCTCGGAACCCAATTCTCCAAGCATTATATCCTATCGGAAAACCTCATCTGCCCGAAAAAGCAAAAGATCTATCAGCAACGACGCAGACGTACCGACCTCGCCTCTACAACGTGCCGAGAAACCTGAGGAGCTCCTTCAACAGGAATTCGACAAAAGACTTTACGTTGACGAGAAATTATCAGGAACATCGTTTCACTTTGCTACTAACGCCAGAAACGATGAGTTTCACTCAATTTTCAAGTCTGCTCCTCTAAGCGACCGACTGCTAGACGACTTCAGCTGCGCCTTAAGTCGTGAATTCTTATTTCAAGGTAGGCTCTACGTCTCTCAGTCAGACCTATGCTTCAATTCCAATCTTCTAGGATGGGTCACGAACCTGGTAATCTCTTTTAGAGATGTGACATCTATGGAAAAAACTTCTACCGCAGGTTTATTTCCGAATGGAATCTCTATTGAAACACACTTGGGAAAACATCAATTTGCCAGCTTCATATCTCGAGATACCACATTCAATTTCATCAAAACTGTTTGGTTAAAATTCAAAGAAAAGAACCATAATGATACGAGTTCAAATGAAGATGACATCAAAGAAACGACCTTTTCAGGCGAGCTTGTAATTTCTGGCTTGAATGGTGTTTCTGAACCTGACCATAGAGATTGGGAGAAAGAGCCACCGTCAAGCCGCCAAAGTTTCCTTAGTGCCAATGACGCTCGCATCGAGAATGCTATTTTGTCAGTAGACGACTTCACACCTTTTTCCTCTGGAAGTCTACGTCACAAGGATTATAGCAGAAATGGGAATGACGAAAGTTACGATGATGATGCCGATGACAATGATGATGCCGATGAAGGAAATGCTAGTGAAGAGGACAGCCGGGATGACATTTCATCTATGCTAGACACGGATGAGAACACCAATAAAAGTGTTTCGCAAAAGGTCTACAAATTGAATGAAAGTAGTAGCTACCAATACGATGGTCCGTTAAGCAACCACGAGACTGCTTATCCAGCCGATTCATTAAACAGTGCAGAGCAGATCTTGTCTGAGGTGGAGCTCCAAGCTCCTCCGGGGATTGTTTTTCGGATATGCTTTAGTGATCACAATCAATCATTTCTAGTTGAGTTCTTGAAATCTCAAAATTCTTCCGAGATCCCCGAAATTGGTCCATTCAAGCAGGAAGAGAATGGTGAAAAGAGTAGAAAATACGAATATATCAAGGGCCTTAATTATTCTGTCGGTCCAAAATCTACAAAATGTCTGGTGACCGAAGAAATCAGGCACTGCGATTTTGAAGGGTTCGTGGATGTTGTGAATACGACGAGAACACCTGATGTTCCTAGCGGCAATAATTTTTCTGTGAAAACACGCTATATGTTTCGATGGGCGTCATCAAATTCAGCCATGCTGCGGATCTCTTTTTGGGTTGAATGGAGTGGAACAAGCTGGATTAAATCGATGATAGAAAAGAGCTGTAAATCAGGGCAGACAGAGGCGACAGATGAGTATATTAAAATGCTAAAAGAGGCTATTGCAAACAATACTATGGAAAGCATCGCGCAAGTATCAAGCAAGCGTTCTGAAAAGCTTCGCCCGAATAAGAAATTAGACAATGCAAGCACTGTCGTAAAGATAGCGGAAAATGAGAGAGGAGCGACCACTGCAGAACCTTCACTTGGTGATCCAAGGCGCCAGAATATCTCTCTCAGCACCTTATTGATCTTACTTCTTCTTTCAACAAATCTGGTTCTCTTGTTAGCTCTGCTAATCAATCAAAAAGTCCTATTGAATGAGATCAAGCAGAGTGACGTTTTGTCGTTGAAATTTCCCAAAAACCCGAATTTTCACAGTTTTCTTTCCGCTGCTAAGAATCTGTACGGAAAGAAAGATTCTATTACGGACCCTGTTCTAACTGAAAACATAAAATTAGCTGAACAATTGGACATATGGGATTGGCTTGAACAACGAAGTGAGCAAAGAACAGGGGACAGACAAGTTCCAGACACCGAAAGCAGGGAACAGCTTCAAGAATATCTAAATTTCTTAATAAGAAAATGGGTGAGTGGAGAACTGTCGTCCACAGAAAGGGAAAAGTTTCTGCGTAGACTTTTCGAGCTGAAGGATTTTTTTCGACCATCATACAATGGTGGCTTGGACAGAGCAGATAACTATAATGTTTCCAAAATTGCAATGGCTTTGGAACATTTAATTGACGTATAATTTTATGCGACGTAATCTATAAAAAGGCCGGGAAAGGAGGGGTGAGTTGAGGAAGCTCCGGGTATAGGAGGGAACCATCGCCCTTCTCCTGAATTACAAGGTTTTCATTAGGAGCTGTCCGTATGGCAATTACTGACTGGCGGAACCTGACTTCGTCGAAGTTTGCCGGAAGTTTGATTTTGTTCTCCAACTTGCTGGACGAACTGCCCGGGGCTGCTTTGGAAATATATGCAGCAAGGGACTGTGTGTGCATCTGGTGATCCAGATCGATTTTTTTCTTCAGATCCTCAATTATTGATAGAATTGCCGGTACTTCAAGTTTGATAAGCTGGTTGTATTCTTGTCTGACTAAACCGAATTGAGCATCAGGCTGTGTGCTTCGGATCTCAGGATGGGTCGGTAGCTTATTCGTGCACAGGTCCACGTATCGAACATACATCAAAAAGGCCTTTTCCACGTTTCCCTTCTGAAATGAATTTTGCGCTTCTTCGAGTAATGTCACACAAGTCTTCAGATACAATCTTACTGGGATGCTCCCATTGAATTGATATGTAACGGCCTCCTTGCTAAGCTGTAACGAGCTTTTCATGGCACAGCGCTTATTCCAAGATAGAGGGCATCGGTTGGGCGAAATCGAGAAATAATTTTGAGCTTTAAGTGAAGAGCTGAAATCCAAACTCCATATTTCCGAGTGCAAGATAAAGATATAAAAATAACGAAGCCATTTCAGGTTACTGAGATGAAGCTGGTGGTCTCATGAATGTTCAAGCGAAATTTAGATGGAGCCGGTTTTTCTTTTTAGTCAGCGACGAGGCCCGAGCTAAATTGATGGAACTTGAGGAGTTCGAGTAGCTCTATCGACTTGAACCTGCGCTTTGCAAATTTGCCAGTTGGCAATTATATGAGGTGTTCCTTGGAGTAGATATGAATTTGATAGGTGGCGCTTTACAGCTTCAGATGTATAAATTTCGGTGGATGTACTATTTATTCTTTTTCACTATAGTGAAAGTTTTGAGTTAGGGTAAAAATTGCAGACAAGCAAATGCAGCTAAGAGGAGATTTCAAAGATTCAAGTGAGATTTATCGCGATACCAAAAGTCGGATTATGAGGGTTAAAGTGAATATCAAGGGTAAGGGGGAAAAGGTTATATCGCTAAAAGATGATATCGGGATCAAACAGCTTGTTGAAAAAGTGAATGAGTCGTTTGGTCAGCAAACTACCCTAAAATCGTTCAGGTTCGGATATCCCCCACGGCATATAAACCTAGACAGCGAGACGATAGTCAGTCAGACGTTACAGGATATTGGAATTTCATCGGGGGAGAAAATAAGCTTCGAACTGGCGGAGAAGGTACAAACTTCACAAGGCTCTACGGGAGAAGCCCGGCAACTCAAAGAAAACCAGATATCCCTCGCTGATGTGTGGCCTGGCCATATCGGACAAATACACGCTGTCCCCGACGACAATTCGTGTCTTTTCCATGCACTTTCTTATTGCGTGAGCCATGAGATCGAGACTTCTCAACAGCTGAGAGAAATCGTCGCTAGAGAACTGTCACAAAATAAAGAGGAGTTTTCAGACGCAATTTTGGGCCGTCCAAATGATGAATACGTCAAGTGGATCTTGAAAAATAGCAGTTGGGGAGGTGGAATCGAAATTGCGATAATATCCAAAATCAGTTCCATAGGAATTTATGTCTTAGATGTGGATGCGTGCGAATTCGAGAAATTCAATGAGGATCAATATGAACGTTTTATGATCGTAGTGTTCAACGGGGTTCATTACGATGCATTTGAGGTCCTTGATTTATTGGGCAGAGATTCGATAACTGTGTTTGACAAGACAGATCCAAAAATTTTAGCAATGATCAAAAAGCTACAGAGAGTGACTAGAGTTATGAAAAACTCCGGATATTCCTTCAATACACGCCGTGATCGAATTAAATGCAATGTTTGCAAATCAGTCATGATCGGAGAGCGAGAAGTAGCTCGCCATGCCGAAAGTACAGGTCATGTAGATTTCGGCCAAGACCACGCATCATGATCGCTACGGTAAACGCACATCAAAAGAGCTGAACTGTCTTTGGTTAGGATTAACCGGGAAGATAGATTAATTAAAGTTGTATATGCTCAAAAAGCTGTCGCGGGCGACAAAAGTCTGAGTATCGCGAAAAAGGTGACAACCATAATCACCTGGAATAGAATTTTGGCTAGAGTTTGGACAGACTCTCAGCAGAGATACGAGCTGCACTAAGATGAGGATGAAATGCAGTGTAAATCAAAACAAACATCTCGAGCCTACTAACTGTAATTAGAGAGGCAAGTCACGAGTAACGTCCGAAAACCTGTATTTCATATTATGCTTTAACCATCCGGACTAAAGACGGATATATAGTAATGAATGAATGAAACAAAGAACAAAGCATCAGCTCATGACAAACTCGCCGTCTTTATCGACCTGCCCTCCGGCAGAGCCTGCTCCCAAAAACGATTGTAAATCCCCACTCTCGGAAGTCACAGCAGCATAGGGAAGGGTGGCTTCTGTGGTTGGAGCGCTGGCCAAAGAAGTGTCTAGATGCTGTGTCACCATTTGCTCGTTAACTTCCTTCTCGGGCCCAATTTCTTTGCCGACTTTTTCAACTTTATTGAGAAATTTTTGCAAGTCCAACCCCGCTGCAGCATTGGCCACTTCTTGCGTGTAGGGAACTCCCTTGAGCTCTTTCACTCGCCTCCTGTGCACCTTTCCCTTGAGATGTGTTTTCAAAGCAGTTGCGCTTTCAAAATACTTTGCGCAATGTATGCAGTAGTACTGTCCAAGACCTGGTTTCGTCTCATCAACCGGTTGATTGAGCAGACTTTGGATTTTCTCTTTTGATGCGAGATCCTCATAAATCAGATCCAGATCCTTAGTTCTTCTTTTTGTCTTGTATCTTTTGACCGAATATCTCCCCATATTTACTAGATGACAGCGTTTGTAGTAGCAGTACTTACTAGCTCTTTTGTCTAGCACGCGGACGACCTAGTATACTAGATGCGATGAGCATTAAAATTTTCCTTTCACACGGGGAAAAGCAACGGCATGAGAAATTTCAAGATTTCAGCCCTAATTTCTTTAATAGTTTGTAGTTGACTTACACACCCATGCATTTATACCCATCAAATTTCCAAGCTGTTACACCCGTACATGTTTAGAATAGGTTCATCGAGGGTTTATGGAATTTCGTTCGCACGCACAAATCCCGAAGTCGTCAGCCGCTGACAAATTCTTCGACTGGGAATGGGCTGAATAAAAGTAGATGGGAACATAGTGCTTTCATCTCAACAAGTTTGAGCGAACTTCGGTAAACCAAAGAACAGGCAAGATGGCGAGAAGACCAGCTAGATGTTACAGATACCAAAAGAACAAGCCTTACCCAAAGTCTAGATACAACAGAGCTGTTCCAGACTCCAAGATCAGAATCTATGACTTGGGTAAGAAGAAGGCCACTGTCGATGAGTTCCCATTGTGTGTCCACTTGGTTTCCAACGAATTGGAACAATTGTCTTCTGAAGCTCTAGAAGCTGCCCGTATCTGTGCTAACAAGTACATTACCAAAATCTCGGGTAGAGACTCTTTCCACTTGAGAGTTAGAGTGCACCCATTCCACGTTTTGAGAATTAACAAAATGTTGTCGTGTGCCGGTGCAGACAGACTGCAACAAGGTATGAGAAACGCTTGGGGTAAGCCTCACGGTTTGGCCGCTCGTGTTGCCATTGGCCAGATTATCTTCTCTGTCAGAACCAGAGACTCCAACAAGGACGTCTGTATTGAAGGTTTGAGAAGAGCCAGATACAAGTTCCCAGGTCAACAAAAGATCATCATCTCCAAGAAGTGGGGTTTTACCAACTTGAACAGAAACGAGTACGTCAGAAGAAGAGATGCTGGTGAGGTCAAGGACGATGGTGCTTTTGTCAAGTTTTTGTCCAAGAAGGGTTCTTTGGAAGACAACGTCAGAGAATTCCCAGAGTACTTCTCTGCTCAGGCTTAAACAAATCTCAGTGATACATAATCTCTATTTAGCTAGTATCTCTGAAATTCCTATATGCTCAGAACCTCCGAATAGTGCTGGCCAGCTCATTGATGAGTGTGGTCTTCGAGGGGAGCGTTATCGCGACCACGAGGATTACCCTACGTGGCAAGTTTTTTTGACACGTCGCGAAAACTGAAAAAAACGCGTGTCCGTTCATCACTTGTCAATTCCACGAATTCTTTTCAGCACGTATCTTGTAATATAAATAACCAGAGTTTCTTAAAACACCTGTAGTATTCTTGAGGACCCGAAAATTGACCCACATAAAATCGAAATGGCGCTCAAGGAATTTGAATACAAAGAGAAACCAGACACTTTAGTCCTATTTGACGTTGACGGCACATTGACGCCTGCGAGATTGACCGTCTCCAAGGAAGTCAGAGAAACTTTAGAAAAATTGAGAAAGAAATGTGTGATTGGGTTTGTTGGTGGTTCAGACCTCAGCAAACAGCTTGAACAATTGGGCCCTAACGTTTTGAATGAATTTGACTACGCCTTCTCTGAGAACGGTTTGACCGCTTACAGATTGGGTGAAAAGCTAGCTTCGCAATCGTTCATCAACTGGATTGGTGAAGAAGAGTACAACAAATTGGCCGTTTTCGTTTTGAAATACTTGTCGTCGATCGAATTGCCAAAGAGAAGAGGTACTTTCCTTGAGTTCAGAAACGGTATGGTCAACATCTCGCCAATTGGAAGAAACGCCTCGACCGAAGAACGTAACGAGTTTGAGAGATACGACAAGGAACACCAAGTCAGAGCCAAGTTCGTCAACGCTTTGAAGAAGGAGTTTTCTCATTTGAAGCTAACTTACTCCATCGGTGGTCAAATCTCGTTTGACGTGTTCCCAACCGGCTGGGACAAGACCTACTGTTTGCAACACGTTGAGGCGGATGGATACAAGGAGATTCACTTTTTCGGTGACAAGACTATGGAAGGTGGTAACGACTACGAGATCTACACCGACTCCAGGACCATTGGTCACTCCGTGCAATGTCCAGACGACACCGTGAAAATCTTGAAGGAACTCTTTAACTTGTAAGCCTAAAATAACTAATACCCTGTTTAATGTTGATTGCTGTAGATTTTTACCAAAGTTTCTCTTTTGTACCATTACTATGCTAGAAGACGAACATACGCCAGCACAAGCGCGAAAGTACCGGTGCAGACACCAATCAGCCACTGCATCACTTGCGTCTTAACCGAGTCAATCTGCATTTTCATGTTACTCACTTCTTGCTCGATACGAGTATCTATCTCCTTGATCTGCATGTTATGATGACTGGATTCCTCCCTTATGCGACCCTTTTCTAGCGAAAGATCTAGTTTGAAGCCAGCATTGGCCTTAGTAATCTCCTCTCGCAACTTTGTCCGCAATTTTTCAAGATCGTTGCGAATCCCTTCGTATTCGTTCTGCAGAGCATGGAATTCGCTTCTATCTGCGGAAAGAAGTTGATCTCTCAGTTTGGCGAAATCAACCCTCTGCTGATAAACTAATTTGATTAGCTTTTCTCTGGAAGCCAAATCCTGCGACACATGGGCAATCCCACCTTGAAGAGCGTTAGTCATAATGTTGACCACTGCACTTGCCTGCTGAGGTGTGAAATCCCCTTTTTCGACCAACAGACTCCGAAAGTGACTGGTATTTTTGATATGGACCGTGTCAAAACTATTTGAAAGTAGCGCTGACGAATGGAATAACCTTCCGAAAACCGGTCTGATCTGATGAACTGTCTTCTGGAGAAACATTGTGGATCTATGCTGTCGGTAGTTTTCCGTTAATACTCACTACGTTTCAAGAGAATTAATAAGTTAATTCCTTTAACGAACTTATCTTATTGAAAAACTCTAGAATTGAGAGACGTAAAATGAAAGGGCATTTGGTACAACAAGCGATTCGCGGTTTTTCAAAGACACGATCAATATTTAAGAATGTTCCCAAATATGATGATGCTGACTTGATGGCTGGTAGATTGAACCATGATATTTACACAGCCAAGAGACTTAAAACTGATTTCCAGTGGTCAGAACAGTCCAGTGCGCAGAAAGAAAAAGAGCATCAGGAGCGAATTGAAAAAGTCTTAAGATTAACTGCGGTGCTACAAGGAGCATTATTTTTGGCCGGAATTGGTGCTGCAGGTACATTATATCTCAAGTGGCCCCAGGTCAAGGCATGGTGGGTTAAAGGTGACTCTAAGCTCGACGATACTATAATTGAAAAACTCAAGAGCCAAAGGCAAAAGAAAGCAGCCACTGAAATCCCTTTCATCCCTGCAGACCAGCAACCAAGCTCTGTTCCGGGGGTATATTACTGGGGCCGCGATGAGAGCGGTAAGCCTCAAAAGTTCCCGCTCAGAGTGACCCAATTTGATGGCCAATATGTAAGAGACGTTGCTCTGACGGATTTAAAGAAAAATTTGGCTATAGACAACAAGGGAGACCTTTTACAGTGGGGTGATAATGGCTGCGAGCCACTGTTATGCGACCAAGATTTGATTAAAGTCAAAATTTCTAACTATGTCGCGTATTGCTTGAATCGAAGGGGCGAAATTCTAATAGTGCCACTCGAGGAAGAGATTTTGAGAAGACATCATAGCGATTTTAAGAGGTCCTTGCTCACCCCTTGGAAAAAAGCTTGTCGTTATAATTGGAAGTTGCCCACGGACGAGTTGTTCAACAAAGGCGAGAAAATTGTTGACTTTGACGTTGGAAAGGAACATCTTGTGTGCTCAACCAACTGGAAAAAAGCATATTCATGCGCTACTGGCCTCCAACCTTTAGAAAACTCTAAATCAAAGGGACAATTTGGAGTTCCTGAACTTTCTCAATTCGATCCATATCCAGAGTGCCACGAACTACATGATATTGAACTTCTGAATTATAGTGTTGTTGGCGACAAAGTCATTAAGCGAAATATCACTAAAATCGCTTGTGGTGATTACCACACTTTAGCCATTGATGACGCTGGGGACTTGTATTCTTTTGGACTCAACACATACGGGCAACTTGGACAGCCGATTTCCTATGACACGGAGTGTGTGCCATTTCCTAAGAGAGTAACCAGCGGTAACGCTCACTTTCCGAGAGACTCGCTCGTCAGATACTTTGACATTCACTGCAGCGGCAATGCCTCGTATGCTGGGGTCAAGCCACACAGGGTTAAACATGTTGTTAACAACAAATTTGTCGATTTGAGTTCGGAGAAGACAGATGTTGTTTATTTTTCGTTTGGCAATGGTCTCAACGGAGAATTGGGCAATGGCCATTACAAGCATTCTCAAAATGAACCTACTAAAATTAAGTTTGAAATGCAAGCTTCAAATCCTTTGGTAAAAGAATGGTCTTGTGGTTCCAATCACAATATGTGCAAACTAGAAAATGACGAGGTTGTCACTTGGGGTCTAAACGATTTTGGTCAGTTAGGAAACGGTAAAAAAATAAAATCTTGCAAGCCCATGTCGATCCCAAAAATCCTTGAGCCAGGTTCAACCTACGAAGAGAATGTTGCAATTCTCTCAAGCCCAAAAAAAAGACTTCTATTGGGCCCAAATCAACATATAAAGGCTGGGAACAACTCAAGTTGCATTTTCTGGTCAAAAAATTAAGTGAAATTTGACTTCAACTTATATTTATTATGATCCCTCTAACGAAATAATTTCGTTACAAAGTAAAACCCCAAAAGCAGTAGAATGAGGGAAATCCAAAAGATAATCTTGTCCTTAAAGACTCTCCTGTTGATTGAATTTATAGTCTGATCCGATACGCCCAGCGTATGTAACGTTTTGGTCATCTGCTGCTGCGCTTTTTGCAAAATCGTGTTTTGTTCAATGATGTCTTCCAAAGACTGCTGACCCATCTCTAGGATGTAGTCCAGCTGAGCATTGCCCCTCTCAAAGATCGATTGCTCCCGCTGTAGCCCACTATAAAGGTCGCGTTGAATTTGAATTTGAGGTGCATCAGCACCAGGATTGGCTGATGTCCCGATATTCCTCCTATTGACAAAGGAACCTTCATCAAATGGATTACTACTTGATTTCAGGAGCTGCTCTCGTGCGTTAGTCTCATTGAACTGCGTTCTCAGTTCTTCGAAGCGTCGCTTTGCATCCTCGTAATCTGACTGCAGCGAATTCAGCCGGTTTTGATACTTAATTTCAGTCTCTTCGTCGTCCTCCACCTTACTTGCTTGATATTTCGTAAATTGATCCCTGTATTGGCTAAGTGTCTTCTCCAGCGATATCAAGCTTGCTGATATCGATCCTTGAAGTGATATGGGTGCTGTAGACCTTTCTGCATCAAATCTCGCCAAATCTCTGTGTAACAATGCCTTCTGTTTTAGTGCATGGTTATATAGTGCATTCTATCTCAAAGCTTGTTAGAATTGCTCAATTTCAACAGCAGAAACTTGAAATGAACATACCATTTCAGAGTGGATTTTCTCGATAAAGCGAGGCCCAAGGTTTACGTTTTTCAAAAACCGTCCTTGAATCAATTTTAGCGATAGATGGATTCGAATCGAAGATCGAGAGCTTCGTTTTCTTACGAAACTCAGCATGTGACTGAAGCAAAGTCTAAGATTTTTCAAAACGTTAATGACGACCGATATTCGAGAATTGAAATGGCTGGTTCATTATCCTCAAATGCTTGGGAAGCAATCTCCAGGGACCGACAAATTTTAAATATTAGTCCCAGCTTCTTTGCAGATTCGAGGATCACAATATATACCACCTTTAACAATTGGACTGCCAGATCGGTTTCCGAGTTTTTGAAGGACGAATTGAAGATTTTTGGTCTACCACTTGACTAAATCAGATTTTCAGCATACAACGTCCTTGAAGTCCAAAATGACGCCAGCGACACCGCCAAGGTCAAGAAATAGAAGGTCCGCAAGAGCTGGAACGAATTCTAAAGGGTTCATCTCGCCGACAACTCCTCATCGACTCGAAGAATTCGAAAATCTGTTGACTCCTGCCACGTCAACGAGGCACAAGCCTGTCGTTTTGGAGAAGCTTCGATCGCCAATTCGCGGGCTTAAAACTCCAGAATACACGCCTGCAAAGCTTCCGTCAAAAAGGCGACTTGATGCGGCAAAAGGAGAAGACGGGTTTGGAAGCGTCAGCCGCGTCTTGTTCCCAACTCAAAATTCAAGCACAACTCCACAACTCACTTCATCGACAGAATCGGGCACGAACCGCGATTCTGCCCCTCAGCTTCTGCTGGCAGAGGCTCCTGCTCTGCATTACTCGAAATGCACCGGTTTAGAAGTATCCTCGGTTTTGGAGAAACAGCAAGACACAAAAGACGTTCATTCTACAATTAAAATAAGCAAACAAACTCCAGGAACACCAAGCGACAAAATTGTCACGTTCGAAATGGCCAACGACTGGAACAATAACTCAGGATCGCGTTTTTCTTCTGATGAAGAGGGAGAAGAAGTAGATCATCAAATTAGGAAAACACAGTTGGAAAATCCTTTCGAATCTAACGATTATGCGGACCGTGAGACAAGAAGTCGGCGGCAAAAAGCACTGCTAGCAAGTGATCCCCAGCTAAAAGATAAAATCACTTGTAGGGATCGCTTAGGAAATATAGTCAAAGAACGGCGTTTAACTAAAGAGGAGCAGGAACAATTTAAGCCAAAGGCTCTGTTTACAAAGGAATTGGAACGGAGAGGAAACAAAGACGAGTAACATATCTGGACGGACGGACAGGGCGGTGTATATAATTGAATCTGGTGTCGTTGACTTTGGCAGAAAATGTAATTTTAAATACAGCAATATCGACTGCCTTTTCAATTTTGGTTGAGATCTTTGCCGCGCGAGTTCTGTCTTTTCAGATTGCGAAAGATAGGTTTTCTGTATGTTAGAAGGTCATGAAAAATCTTGAAGCCAAGATCGTTGCCTTCAGGAAAATTATTATGCAAGATGCAATTCGAAAATTGTTGTGAAATGGCGTTAGTAAACTCTCCCGCGAGGTCCTTGTCAATTTCTTTTTCACCCATTTTGATAATCTTTATAAGTCGAGAAAAGTGTGACGTTATGGCGTCAAGAGTTGCCAAATGTGGCGTTGATAAAGAATGCAAAGCATTTGATAGTCCTGCAACTCTCTTCTGGTCATTGGCCTCACTTTGGTCAGTTACCTTTGAGGAAATGGGAAATTCGGAATAGATTGTTTTCAGAATTTCGCATATATCGTCTGTTATCAATGCAACAGGAAGTTCCATCAAGTAAATTTTCATGGCGCTTGCTAGTGTTGCACTTTCAACCTTAGAAGCCTCGATGACCTCGAAGATTTCTGCTTCAGTTTCAAACTGTGTTTGATTTAGTTGAGATCTTATCTCGTGGGTAAGACTTAATTTAACAGGAGCCGTCCATATTCTAGTTCTGACACTATCATTGGGAAGCTCAGGATACAGGAGATCCATGTATGATAAAATGGCAGACACAAGTAGAGGTACCACGCGCTTGTCTAAACGGCAGCGCGTGTCCAACTCTATTCCAAAGTTTTGAAATCCACCCGGATTATAGTAATTATTGTATGAAATTGCCATTGGCCTAAAATACCCTGTGCGGCGCCCCTTTATCATGTTAGCCAGATCTTCAGCAGGTGAGATTCCAAGCTCAATTTTTTTGGTTTGATCAAGCAAGGTTTCGAATGAGCTCAAGGTACCGCCCATGATAGTCGAGAAATCAAGTACGACCTTCTTCAATGCTTTGAGCCTATCAACTTCACATTTTTCCATGAACGCGTAATGGTCGATGATCAGTTCCTCAAGAGAACAGCGAAGGGCATCAACTTTTATACATTGTTGTTGATATTTTTTGTCTGAATCCTCAACCTCTCTTTTCAATTTAAAAAGCGTTCTTTCGGCATCGGAAAATACGGTTTTCTCACTTGTTGTAGTCGTTTCGGCATCAGGAGTAGAACTAGAAGTCAAGATTGCTGGCATGAGATCCGGAGATGAGTTAGACTTACCTTCTGATGCCAATTGAACGTCCAGTCCTTGCGTTTCAGTTTCATCTGGAGAAATTCTGGCAAATCTGTAAGCGTAATCTCTCCAACTGTATTGAAACTTGCGAGAGTTAACAAACGTAGTGCCAACACCATTGCAGTACTTCAAAAATCCTTTGTCCAACAAATCTTGCCCAAAAACTTCGGCCTGGTCAGCGTCCTTTACGGAGACATGTTCCATCAAAAATTTGACGATTTCGCTACCACTGTTAGTATTGGGGATCTTGAAATTAATCAAAGGTACCTTGTATTCTGTTTTTGGGAGTTGTGACAGTAATGCATGCACTATTTCCCTCATTGATTTGAAATCGAGATCAATGTTCCCAACTTTCCCAAAACTTGTAAACTCTCGCTCTCTCGCGGCCAGAATTTCGCGTTCTTGTTGAACTTTCAAAGACTTCATGATTTCGTTTAACTCTTCCTCATTAAACTTTGATCGTCTGAAGTCTTCATACTGACGACATTTTCCGAAGTATACTTGTCCATGTCTCTCGACCAGTTTCCTTGACTTTTGAAAGTTCGCAACATTAGTTTTTAACGTTCTTCGAGAGTATTCTACTCGTTGCTTATGTTCTTCGCACCATTTACTAAACGGTCTTAATACTGTCGATTCAATGTCTGAAGCTATCATTAAATGATTGTTTCCTTCCTCTTGCATATTTAGCACCAATGTGTGTAGGGCATGGTCCAAAGTGAACCCGGTCATGGTATTTGCTTCAAGCCCTTCTATATTTTTGTCCATTTGGCAAAGCTGTTTGCCCTGATTTGCCTCAAACTCCATTCTGGACGCGAATAGCTGGATATAAAGCTCATTTTGATCACAACCTCTAGTTAAGGCCTCGAACAACGCATTCACACCCGTTGAATAGTCTTCCGTCCAAAAGCTGTCAACAATTGAAGCCATTCTGAGGCGCTGCTGTGCAGGAGAGTGAAGAAACAGAAGTCGATAGATTTTTGACTTTGATCAACTTTGATCTTAGAAACATAACATTCTTGAAAACAAGCAAGAAAATGCCATACCCAAAAATATCTATCCGTTTCTGCATAAAATGCAAGTGGAATTTAAGGAGTGCTTGGTATTTGCAAGAGCTTCTACAAACTTTTGGTGAGCAGATCGGTGAAATATCGCTAATTCCTGGGGAGACTGGAGAGTTTGGTGTCGAGGCACTCAAGACAGAGGATGGGCCCTTGTTGAAGCTGTGGGATCGCAAGGTGGACGGGGGGTTCCCGGATAGTAAGTACCTGAAGAAAAAAGTCAAAGAAGGCCTCTTCGATGATCCAGATGGCAGTCCATTTCGCGTGGGGGAACATATTGAAAGAGATGCCGCTAACAAGACTTTAGTAACTGATCAATGTGACAGCGGAAAAAGCTGCCTTGTGTGTCAGGAAAATTGACCAAGTGGTGTCGATTTGCGTAGGGCGAAGTGGTAAGAAGATGATTTGTTTCGAGGATATTTGAGCCTGGAGCTCTAAGTGACTTGAAATTTATCGTACAAATATTCTATGCCAAAGCCGGAACAAAGTAAAATGTTCAGGCGTTTTGCATTACTGGTCCCCTGAGAAATCAAGCTTCTCGCTCATTTAGGCTTTGTGAGAATTGCACACTCTAAACTTCTATTCGTCTAGATCATATGCATACTGATAAAGTCTGGTCGAGGCCAAATTGATCTGTGTTTTAGTGGCAAATTGAAGCCATGCCATTAACTTCCTATTTTGACGTCAAGCAAATGGCCGCCGAATAGCGACGTTGCGACTATACAACACTACCTAAGCCATAAGCAGTATCTGTAGTCTAAAGATATTTCTGCAAAACAACGGAAGAAATGGTCTTAGACGAGACAGAAATTCAGCCAGACCAAGTACTACAAATCCAGCCGAGATCAAAAGCTCTCTAGGCTTCTAAAAGCAAAGAAAAGGACTTAATAGATCGACTGATAAAGACAGTGTATTACCGAAGTTTCTCTGAAAAGCCGATGCTTTTGACACCTTCACATACTATTCTTAATCATTATTGACTTGATTGAACTTTGCCGGTATATTGATGTCGACGTGGGTATCGGTGGCACTTAATTTTATATAATTTTATCAACATTCACTGTTTGTCACATTCTACAGTTTGGAACAGCAGACAAAGTGAAAAATCATGGCAATCTTGAGAAAGCTCTTGGCCTTATCCATTGCATTGGTGTTGATTGCCGCCCACTCTAGTGCAAACTCAGATGTGTCGTTGAAGAATTCACAGCTCTCTTTACCTGAGCTTGTCAAGTCCGATAAACTCCCAGATACGTGGGTTTTAGGCGAATCTGCTGTCTTAAATGAAGGTAGGTTGATGCTAACACCAAAAAAAGGTACAGAAGGTTCTTTGTGGGCTAAGACTGTTTTCCATCTCCAAGAAAGCTTCACAGTTGCTTGGACAGTGAGAAGCGTAAATTTTCGAGGAAAGTCTCCAGGAGGACTTGCTCTCTGGTTTATTAAAGAGGATGCGAGCGAAAATAAAAATCTGTTCAATGGGCCTGACCATTTTGATGGCTTACAACTACTGATTGATGATAATAGTGAAATTGGCGCAACTCTTAGAGGAAATTTTGGTGATGGGACAGAGACCATGACAAACCAAGACATATATTCCCATACGTTTGCTTCTTGTCTTATGGCTTACCAAGACTCATCTGTGCCCCTTACCATCCGATTGACGTATGTGGGTTCTGATGATAGGCTTTTGAAGCTTCAAGTCGATAATAAGGTGTGCTTTCAATCTACTAAAATTCAATTTCCTTTGGGCGATTATAAAGTGGGTGCAACAGCTAGCAATGCAAACACCGAAGAATCATTTGAAATTCTTAAGATGGACTTTTACGACGGTCCAATTAAGGAATCATTTATTCCTAACGTTAAAGAATTAGATCAGCCAAGACTTATCACAAAGGTCATTAACCAGAAAACAGGACACGAGGAACTCGTTGAAAAGTCTCCCATGGAGATAAGCGGCGGAGATGCAGTCTCTAATTTTGACCTCTTCAAGAAGCTGAATAGAATTGAGGGTAAAATTCTTGCAAATGATATCGGTGAGCTCTTACTTTCTTTCGAAAAAGTCCTTGCTCTGCAAAAAGAGCAGGCACATAGGATCGATCAAATCATTGCCAAAATTGCATCGTCTGATGGTCACAAGGGCCAGATTTCCGACATGAACACAGATGAAACCTTCTCTGACTTTTTTAAAGTTGATCAGAAACTTCAACAGCTTTTGGAGGAACAGCAAAGAGTTAAAGAGCTTTCCAAAAAAAATGGAGGCCAAGATGGTCTCACTAGCGGGCCACACATCGATGAAATCGTTCGCAAACTCTCGATGTGGCTAGTGCCATTGGTCGTTATAATGATGGTAATGGCCTATTATACCTTCAGAATTCGGCAAGACATTGTGAAGGCCAAACTTTTGTGAAGAGAAGGGCATCCCATTCCAAATAGTTACTTAGCCGCATCTTTATTTTACGCATTCCTTACCATATTAGTTATTATTTACATAAGGTGGTTTAAGCCCTGTAATGTTAGAATGCCCAAGGAAGTTCGCGTTAGGTACGCGCTTAGTTGTGCGTACCTCTTCCATTTGACGCATGTCATTATAACTAATTTCCTTATCAACTTTGGAGAGCTCCTCATCAAAGAAATCTTTCAAAGCTTTTGTCTCATCCTTCCGCCTGAGACCAACCGGTAATCCAGCCTTATGCTGCCAGTATTTGCGCCATCTGATACTTCTTCCCTCGCGAGCACTTTGAAGCCCAGTCGTTAGAAAGACGGCATCGTGCTCATGCTCCAAAGTGACGACCTGATTCGGGGTCAGTCTCAGAAGTCTCCTTTGTAATTTATTCTTATCATACAAGGGCAAACCCCTCAGAGAATAGCTTTGGTCTTTATTACCAGATATTTTCAAGGGCAAGGCGTCAAATTTGAAGCCATTGATATTCAGAGAAGCATCGTGATGATCATCTGGGATGAGCGCTTGGGTGATTCCGCCTTTAGCAAACCTCGTTTCTGAGCTAGGCTCCAAAATCTCGTTGAGCAAACGTTTGCTAGACTTACTTACAGTCTCGCTCGCCCCGACGGTGACGAGGTTCGTTGGCGCTAATTCACCTATTGGCGTATCCTGAGCACCGTTTTGCGACGCCAATTGCGAAATGGTCCTGCTATGATATTTGGGCATTTTATAATGCGCACTTAGCTCCACGGATCCCGATATGTTTTGCCCTGCAACGATCATGGCCAAATGTTCACCACCCCAGAAAGCTTTCCCGTACTCGTTGCGCAAATCTTCCGATGGCTGCTCAGAAACAGTCAGCAGAGGGTTTTCCCAAACCATGCCACTACTTGCCTGTACTTCTTCGGGCTTCGTCACATCTGAGTTCATGGACAGTGCTTTCACCAGCGTGAGTATCTTTTGGGGAACAGAAAACACTCGATGGTGAGGTCCAAAACCTTGTTCTCTCGCGGAAAGCTCCCAATAGTCATCAACAACGCGAGTACCAGCAACAATAACTTGTGCACCGAATAGCATAAATACTGACCGAGTCGTCACAAAGTAGCGTTCATCTGGCGCAACATGGTCTAATACCTTGTGTGCTCTCAAAAATTCCTCTTGATCCGCAGATAACTTGTTAGGATACAACGAGGAGTTTTGTTCGAAGAAGTTTTCCACACCAGAGCTTATTCCCAGTGCAGCCATGACATCTCTCACCAATGCGTACATGGTAGATGGTCCTTTGGGAAAGGAAAAAGAAGTGAATAAAAAATTCCGGCTGCCAATTGGGGAACCGTTTTGGTTCAGCTTAGTCTCTCCCTGCGAATCTCGCTTTATTAAGACGTAGGCATCTGAATCTGTTGTTAATCTTTCTTTCATCACAAAATGGGGAACCTTCGGATATTTAAGAGGTGGCTCCTGGAGTGGCCCTAAACTACGAATATATTCTGCAGGAATTGATAGCGAGTTTTTGAGAAGGAAAAGCTTATGCTCTTCTTCGAGTGCCTTGTCGAAACGCAAGATACTTCCACTCATCACTGGAATAACCTTCCGCTCGTCTTAAAACGAATACCTTACCAGTGGCCAATTGCCAAGTCTTCTCAAGTTCTAAGAAGAGATTTTACGGCTCAGAACACTCACCTTTTCCCCTTACTGTAGAATTTTAGGTATTTTGGTGTTTTTCGATTTCTCAAATTTCATCAATGAGCTTCCGCGATAATCATTGCTGAATAGCAGGTATTTTACCGGAACAAACCTGATTGACAATCCTGAACACAGCATGATTGCGGATTACTATAGACTGTGCCAATTATTCAAGTATCTTTCAAGATTTTTCCTCAAATGACAATTAACAGCGATTCTCGTAACAACAACCAAAATGTTATATAGGTTAATTGAAAAATGGTGCAGCTTCGATATCTCAAAACAACAAAGCATGTCTCACCACAAGTGGAACAAAGCGTTTGAAATCATAATCCTGCATTGATTGAACTCGCCAATGTGAAACACAGCAATGGCTTAATTTCTTGGTTTTTGAAAGACTCGAGCAACCATTGGCAAAATGGCACATATTGCTCAAATGCAAAGGCTTAAAGCTTCGAGTTGTCACAGAGTTAAGTTCACCACCAAGCCAAGAATCTATTCGTTAACTTTACAGAATAGATTCGTAACGTTTATCGTGATCATGTAGATCTCATGCCACATGCGGTCTGTGTTGAAAAAGGCTTTGCAAAGTAAACCTACAATGGACATCCTTCTGTCCACAGTGGTTACAAAAGACCGACTCTAGTTCGCTTTAACTGACAAATGACATGCTTCAGGAGGTGGACTTCGCGGAATACACCGGAGAGACGGTTATCTACCTTCTCTGATTCGTAAACCCAGATTTAGAGATCTAGCGTCCATGAGCAATTTTTAAGTAGGAATCATATCGGATTTACTCTCAAAATATTATACAGTAAGTCGCCCGGACTGTTTTTGCGCGAGTTTGCAGATGCAGGTGAGCTTTCCCTGCGATTCTGGAAGATGGTTTCCATTGACATGAACTTCCTGAACCCAAAAGCAAAGAGATGTCAGACAAATCGGATTATATAAGCTGCGATTAGAGAGAATTGCAAGCAGGCGCGGATTATAAGAAATGGTAAGTGCACATTCTAACTAATCACAACTACCACCAATCATTCTCCTAAACCACCTTCAAGCACATCTTTGTAATGAATCCCACCGTCCCAGCAGAAAAGCAAGAAGTTGTGAAGGCTCAGGCCGATTTTTGGGCTCACTCTAGGCGTAGTCCGATCGTCCGGACACCAGCCGATTACGGGATGGAGTATGAAGAAGTTTCATTCCCCTCATACGATCAGGTTAAGCTCAAAGGTTGGTTCATCCCATCTGAAGGATCTAATAAGCTTATCATTTGTAACCACCCAATGCCTATGAACCGCTATGGTTATCCCGGGCATCTTGATGAATTCAAGCAGCTCTGTGGTTTCGAAGTTAACTTTCTTCCGGAGTATAAGATTCTCCATGATGCGGGCTACAACCTTCTCTGCTATGATCAGCGTAACCATGGCGAGAGCGGCGAGGGTGACGGCGGTGTAGCTGCCGCTGGAAGACATGAATGGAAAGACTGTGTCGGTGTAAAGATTTGGGCCGACAAGCATCCAGTCTTTTCTAAGATGAATTTAGGATTAATGAGCAGATGTATGGGCGCAAACGCCCAATTCGAGGCAATATCGCGATATCCAGAGCTCTTTCACAACGTCAAATGTATGATTGCTCCTCAGCCGGTCACTGTCAGGTACGCTGCCGAAGCTTTTTGTGATCAATTGGGCATTTTGGAATACATAGATGTTCTTGACGAAGAGATACGAAAACTGGGGGGCTTCGCGACAACAGAAATTGGCCCAAAGCCTTTTGTTCCCAATGTCCACTTGCCAACTTTAATTAGTCAAGTTCATGAGGATTCCTGGACTAAGCCAGAAGATGTGGAAAATATTTTCGCACTATTAGGTACCAGGGAAAAGAAACTCGTGTGGATTGAAGGAACGAAAAACAGGTTCGACGGTTACAACTTTTTTGGTGAGCATCCCAAAGAAATGCTCAATTGGTACGCCAAATACATGTGAATGAGTTGTCCTTGGTTGCATGAACAGAAGTCGCCAAATAGACTAACGGACTACTCGTAGAATGTCAAATGGCATTTGTTTTAGCTGAAGTAGTTTGAACGAAGATTCAGGGATGAACGTCAACTATATCCATGTGCCGTCTGGCCATCTCCTTTTGGTCGTTGCGTTATTGAAGCTCACAAAGATACTTTGGAGACGGAGAGTCTTGCTTCTAAACCCCTGCCTTGTGCTACATCGGTTGAAATTATCAGACTCATTGTAGAGACCTTCAAAGCCCCTAACAACAACGAGCGTGATACCCAGTTTGGATTATAGACAGGGATTGTAAGTTCACGCCTTCAAGCATGTATTCGACAAATGCGGCTCGTTAACCTGCTCAGATTTTGACTTGGCTGTGTTTCAATAACCTTCAAAAACATCAGAAATATAATTCAACGTTATGGGTTTGATTCTCTGTTGCTTTCAGCGGGATAAATTGAAGAATATTCTTACATCACAGTATTCGCCGTACGGCTGGTGGCTGATTAGAGCTGTGAAATGGTTTCATGATTATCACAGGGATCGTTTAGAGTTCTATATCGTCTGATGATTCATTTTCGAGCAACCAACTGGATCGTCCCCTATGCTATTCTGTCATCTCGATCACGTGATAGAAATTGACGATTACTTCACATGATAATTTTGCCCATTGTGAACTCCTTCAAATAAATCAGCGGTTTAAAATTGGTGGGAATTCTTAGCGAGGTTCCACAAAAAACGCGTAGGGTGTCGTCCATACTAAAAATTATCTCAATTTCAAGTATCTTCGGAAGTAAATTTATATAGCAGACTTATGAACTTGATGCGGTCAAGTTAATTTGTACAGTAGTCCCTCGACCAAGGATCAAACAGAGGTCTCAGTTACCTTGAATCCACTGCCTTTACCCACTTCATAGTTCTCGTGGTGTAAGCTCAGGGGCTCCTCCCCTTCTAAGGTTTGATTAACTGTGCCTTTTGACTTTCCCAAAACGCGATCATAAAGTGTTCTAATCGACCTGCGGCCCTGCCATAACGGGAACACAATGATATAAAGCGCAGCGCATAATAACCAAATCAGCATAACAATCATAAATGCCGAGAAAGAACCTTTACTCAGGTCCCCACCCCAGCCATATAGCGCGCAAGTCAAGATGACATAAACTCCAAGCAGGAAAAACACGTTAATACAAAGACTGTAAAAACTGTGGCGACGCAATATTTGAGACTCATCCTCGTTCGCAATCATAGCTTGTTTTTCTTCAATATCAACGTCGTCCGCAGTCTTTATTTGATCCTTTATACTTGCCATATTGAAGGAACCCTCAGGCTTGACCAGCGAAATGACCACAATGTAGACAGCAGATGAGAAAAGGCTAACTATATTTCCAATGAATGTTGCTTCGGTGGTCATTAACGAATTCTTGTTGACAGCTCCAGCGTATCTATGAGTTGCCCCAATCCAGCAAGCCACGCCTGTTGCAGTTCCCAAAGGAGCACCAATAAGGAGCGACTTCTTCGTCATTTTTGGCCAGAAGAGCGCGAGCGTGACAGATGAAACTTCAGGATTTAGAACGATTCCCAAGAAACTCAAAAGCCATCCAACCGTTACGCCAATGTAATTGAAAACAACTGCTAGACATGCCATGAACATCCCGAACATGACGACAGAGATATGGGAGGCTCTGACAAGTTTGTCACCTGAGGCATTTGGATTGATATAAGTTCTGTAGACATCATAAGTGGTAATTGAAGAAAATGCAATGAGTTCAGCAGAAGTTGCAGATGTCACGGACATAAATAACATCACTAAACCTGCTGCCGCCCCACTCTTCCCGAAGATCGCCGCTAACCCGTAAATAACCGGTAATCCTGCATTGACTTCGTCATCACTTAACGCTAAGGGATAAGTGACCGATGCAGGATTGAGGAGCAGGGCTCTACAGGCCAAGCCTGCAGACGATCCAAGAGCAAAAGGAATTACCCACCAGCAAATACCACCTAACATATAACCAGTGAAAACACTTCCGGAATCGGACGCAATTGCACGTTGCGAATATCCCGGGTCACCAAAGACAGAAGAAAGTCCACCAAGCATAACAGACCACGTCAAAAGCACCATATTTTTGTCTTTAAATGACAAGTAGCTTGTGCCAGCCGCTGGGAAGTGAAGCTGTACCTCCTTCAAAAGATCCCACATCTTACCGGGAGAACCAATCAAGGATGAGTTGCAGTAGATCGTGTAAGAAGAAACAATCAGAATCATGTAGATTATCACTGTGTGAACCCAGTCAGAGATGAAGGTCGCCTTAAGGCCACCGAGAGCAGTGTACACAATCACATTCAATGGTAGCAAGAAACTTGCGGCCACGGTATGCATTCCGGTCGCTGCTGAGAAACCTTGGGAGCCCCCCAGTAACAACAAGGCCGAAACAATAATGTTTGTTGCCGCACAATAACATAAGTATAGTAGGTGGCCCCATTTCCCGAATCGAACGTAGAATACTTCCGAGACTGTGTGGGCCGTAGGTGCATTGAGTTTAATCTGGAGCGCAAGAAATACGAAAAGTGTAACCTGAATTGTTCCTCCAACTCCGTAAAGCCATCCGCCGCTCACGCCATGTAGATAACTCCAGGTACCTGATGTCAGCAAAGTCGCAGGCCAGGTCCACGCGGAGACCGTCGACGATGCAATCAGCCCCGAACCAACATTACGAGATGCTGTAGAAAAGCGCTCTGAGTTTTGGACTTGACCCATATACTTTGAAAGAATCTTTGAGATGCTAACCATAAGCAAAGCGAATGCTGCCCCAATGCCGAGGGCAAACCCATAGCCGTAACCTTCAGAAAGGATAGCTTGCGTCATTTGGAAAAGGGCTTCGACAACAAAAATTCAGTTTAATGCCACGGCCTAGTTGATAGAGGAGCTATTAGCAAATATCCTGCCGGCACAAAAGCTTTCGGTATATATATAAATTCACATCCTTAGTTGCAGCCTCTGTTCTTCCGCGTTCGGACTCATCCTTGGGCTCCGGTGCTGGTTTTAAACGTTAATGCGCGCAAAGTTATGCCAAGATTCGCTACGTTTTAAGACTCCGAAGTTTTTTTGTGTAATGCTATCTGTGAAGATCGCGATAAATATATGCGGTGACACAACCTTATCTTAGATATATACGAACAAAAATTCTCAAGTCGTTCATGTCACTTTAAATAGAAGCCAAAGGTATAAGTGTTGACAATTACGAAGACTAATCGTAAAAGAGATTGCTGCTCGTGCTACCCAGGCCTGTTTCTGTTTTCTTTCGCCTCAGTAGTGATCAAAACAAAATCAATACCTAACTTTTTGACATGCCATCAAGAGAAGGGTAGATACTGCTATTTTGGGCTCAAAAGTATCATGTTTTAACTTTTGAATTGGTAAAACACACAATTAGGAAAGAGAGCTAATTGAGCTCACGCTGCTGAGGTTTTATATCTTTTTGTTACCATAATGTTCACAACTGGGCAGCCCACACTGGCCAAAGAGTACCGGAAAATGATGTCGAGTTAGGCTAACTTACAAAAGTTAATATAATCAAGAGCCACCTAACTCACCAAGACTCGCATCTACTGAGACCTTTTTCGGCTTGTCTCAGTTTATCTTCGAGGGCACTCACACTTTCGAACCAAGAGATAATTTGGCAGTAACTTTGACGCAATCTATATGTCACGAAGATTTTTTGGTGCGTTCGCTCGGATTATTGCTTTCTCATCCAACTGTAAAGATCTGGCCTCTGAGATCACAAGTTGACCTTCACCTCTTAGCAGTTATAGACCTTCCCTAGAGATTTTCAGTCTCTCTATGAACATTTGACTTAAACTGAATTTCTATCTACAAATCATTTGATCTTAAATTCATTGGAAACTCTCAGCAAGAATATTTACACTTTCTTTTGAAGCCGACCGTGTTTTCCCAAGACCAAAACTTTCTTTGCAACACATATCTCTGAACTACAATCGATACTATTAGACAGGATGATTGCCAAAACTTCTAAAACAATTTCAGTGTTGGTTTCCCAATCCCTTGTTAGTATTTTGGCACATGCCTACCTCTTAATAGGTGCATGTAGCTTTCAAGAAAAGCAATTAGTCTCTCACAAACCTTGCCAGCGGCTTAAGTTGTAAGTGTCTCTTTTCACCACCTTTCAATAAAAAGAAGTTTACATTACACTAAAGCGAAATCGAGTTAGTATTATTTTGGGGCCTGACGGCTGTACGTATTCGATAGGTTTCAGAGAGCTTTAGTTGGAGACCCAGACCTCTCCAATGGGTAAAGTACATCGAGAAATGAGTGCTCTCAATCTGGGCATACCATCTCTTTTCAAAAAAGAAAATTAATAGCGTTTCCGTTGACCGTTGTTCATTCCAATAGAGCAATGATTCAAACATCAAACCACGCATCTATGTGGATAAGCTTGGCTCCTCAAGGATTCGAACTTGCCCACAGTGCGATTCTCCCTTACTTGTATTCTGTCATCGAGGCACGTGATATGATCTCGTCATATGCGAAAAGTGTAAAATGCAATTGCTATCAGTCTGTCTTCTAGAATATGCAATGAAGCATTCTGAGCATAATATTCATGAGCATTTCAGTTACGTCACATTCTACGATGGAGTGAATGCGCTACAGATTCATAAGCGTTAGGGGATATTTTGTCAGGCTAATGCGAGTCAGGTACTTAAGCCCTTCGGTTTATTGAATCATTCCTTCTCGCCGTTGCGTCGTCCTTTCTGATCATAGACCATACGACAACCGCAATGGCAGCAAAGAAAGCTTTAATCGCTATCTCATCTTACAACGATGTCTTCTACAGCGACGGAGCTAAAACAGGCGTTTTCGTCGTCGAGGCAATGCATCCTTACGATGCTTTTACGGAAAAGGGCATTGAAGTCGATTTCGTGTCCGAGTCGGGTACTTTCGGCTACGACGAGCATTCTCTAGCTTCTGACTTCCTCAACGGTAAGGATTTGAAGGCGTACGAGGACAAATCGTCCGGTTTTTGCAAAGGTATCAATAGTGTCAAGAAGCCAAATGAGGTCAATGCCGAAGACTACTCTATCTTCTTTGCATCTGCTGGCCATGCTACCTTGTTCGACTACCCGACTGCCAAGGGTTTGCAGGATTTGGCTTCCAAGATCTATCAGAACGGAGGCGTCGTTGCAGCCGTTTGCCACGGTCCAGCGATCTTTGAAAACTTGAAAGACTTGGACACTGGCAAGTACCTCATCGAAGGGAAGGTTATTACAGGCTTCACGAATATCGGAGAGGTGATGTTAAAAGTTGATGACATCATGAGGCAAAAGAGTCTCAAGAGTGTTGAGGACATCGCCAAATTGCGTGGCGCCAAATATCTCGCTCCCATCGGCCCATGGGATGACTACTCGATTACTGATGGCCGTCTCGTCACTGGTGTAAACCCAGCATCTGCGCACTCGACTGCTGTTAGAGCCATGGAGGCTGTTAAAGGTTTCCAGGTTTAGAAATGTACACATGCTTATGTAAACGTTCATGTTTTGATTATATTCAGCTTTGCTCGATGGGGAGTACTTGATGTGGCTGGGATTTTAGGTGACATGGCGTTAGCCTCGCAATTCCCTATGTATCGTTCACGAAGTCAGCATTTTAAAACGAGTGCCTTTCTCACGGAAAAAGACGTAAGCGCATGTATATAGCTATCTACATAATTTAGTTCGCCCCCCCCTCCCTCACAACCATGACTGTTGTTGACCAAGAACTTGAGAAGAATTACATGATGGCTTTTCTGCAGTAATGGATTTCTTGAGACTTTGCTATCAATTACGCATCTCAGAAGGTTAGCAGGAGAGATTATAAAGAAAAAGAGGAGAAAGGAGCCGATATCCACTGCTCTCTCCTGATAGCCCTAACTATACCCAAGGCATGCCGGTATCAATGCTCATGGTGGTTCAGTGAACGTTCTTCTGACGTTCACCTCTCAAGCAACTCCATTTATTCTGCAGGATTCTTACGATCTCTCAAAGGCTTTTAAGGGCTGGATTGCATTCGATTACAAATTCAATTGATGGGGCTTCAAGAGCTTGACCACCCAAATCGACTAACCATTTGGGTTTATAGAGCAAGATAGTCGCTTAATTACATAATTAACGGGGATAGGCAGCGTCGGCAGTCGACACATTCTAAACTAGTACATTGGGTCACTAGAAGTTAACTTTAACAGTCGAATATATCCAGCATTGGGTATTCATTTTTCAGCTTGACGGTCTTGACGATATGACCATTATTCAACGGGTCATACTTTACTCTCATACCATCTCTCCAGCGCCCGTTTTTTCCACATCTTATCTCTGTAATTGGGATTAGTGAACACTTTCTACTTCACTTTTTACCTTGTCACTGCAAACCGGGTTTGAATGAAGTGATGATCCGAGAGTTATCGTTGCCTTCTTTTTTTTAATGCCTTTTGAAGAAACGGGTTCGAATCAACCATAAATCTTATTTTATTTTGTCCTTGCGTTCACGTGGCACCAAACTTCCGTAGTGCAACTCTACCACTCTACCTCCTTTTGACATTTAAAAATAATTAAATGATTGTTCGTCAGAATCCTGGCAATATGCAAAGTAACTAATCATTTCCGCTAATAAATTGAAAGTTGAGCATTTTATTAACGAACTGGACTCAGAAATGAAAATTGATTAGGAAAACGCTAAAGCTTAATTCAGACCATTCTCACAAATACGAACCTATGGTACCCGGAAGTAGTTAAGAAAGAAGTCTTGACAATATGCTTGAGGCGGCCATGAAATCAATCAAATTAAAACGATGAGGACAAGTGAGCCAAGAGAAAAGTTCAAACCGATGAGACAACGACGATGTTTAGAATGAAGGTCTCGAGTTCTTAAGCCTCAGCATGTGTCTTGGCCTATTCCTGCTCTGTTTCACAAGGCCATTTAGGAACATTGACATTTAACACACATTCCACGCGAACAAGAATCATGCTTAACAAGCTTGTTTAAAGTGTTCTCCTATTTAATGAGCTGATTACATATAATTACCAGAGAGCTTCACCTTGATGATAGTGCGGCCTCTTTAGTTCTATATGTGCTGATTTAAGACAAGCAGCGCCCGATAATTATGCCGTCGGTGTCTCTTGCCTCCCCGTCCTGAGTGCTCAAGAGACTTTTATGCATCACACTGGTCCCCGCATTTCCAATTTTTTGAATAGCTGGCAGTGCAACACATGCTTGGCTATAAATCTAAGCGCGAACTACATTCCAATGGAAGAAGCTCTTGAAGAAGCATACACGGGCCCATTGAGGCCCACGTGGGAACGCAGTACTTCATCCCGCTCTATTTGCGACCTAACTTAGGTCAATACCGTTTGAACTTGATGCACGTACACCAAACAACCAGAGATTCGGGTAGGCTCCTCTACGTCAATGGGGCATCTGCCGCGAAAAGACAAACGGGCGAAATAGAGTCTCTACCATTATTACATAACGTAAACAAATTTAAAATCAATTTAACAGATAAGGACCGACCTCAAAGAGAAAAGGTGAAGAACGACAGGCCTTTCGCCTCAAGAGAATGCAAGTGGGATATGCTCTTTGGCCTTGACGGCATAGTTAGGGTTGGAGTTGGTTTCAGAATTATTTAGCAATTTCCTATCCAATGGTGTCGAACTAGCATCTTCAAACATCGTATTCCCCAGTGAGCATCTTTGGCTCTCTTCCCTAACCTTGATTTCCAGAGAAAATAGGTGGCCAGTCGATGGCGACAAGATCGGTTTAGAGGAGGAATACTTGACAACCGAGCTAGGGGCAATTATTGATAGAGAGAACTGTTGGCAAGCAAAGCTGTATTATCTATATGCAATCAAAAGCTTTGACTGATTACTGACTAGACCTGACCATGACAAAGGATACAGGAGAATTACAGATAATTAGCAACGTACATTAACTGGTACGCATTAACCCAGATCCAACTAATAGACGCTATTTAAGTAGCGGATTTACCTATGATGAACGGTGGGCGATTGCGGAAGATCTCGAGCGAAGGTTTAAATATAGATTTGGAGGCATCTAAGGCTACTAATTGGTGACAAGTCTTTGATGAAGTTGTCGATAGGTTACGTTAACTTTGAAAGTAACTAGTGGCATTAAAACCGCGATGAATCAACCATCGGCGCTAGGGCATCAACGTAGCCAAAATTGAACCTAATTTTCTCGACGCTCTCTTGCCAGGGAAGGCAATAATGATGGATTCGGGGAAAATTGGGACTTTGCGGTTTACGACTTTGCAGAACCAATGAGAAATGTACAGCCAAGTTTGGATTATTTGATTTGGGCCTTCTTTTTAGTCATTGTCCTCCAAAAGACTGTGGATGCTTTCTACCTCGTTGACGACTTTGATTTTTGATGAGTCAATGCTTCCAAAGCCAACTAGAGTGTTAAAGTTGCTGGCCCTGAAGTTGATGTGCTGATTCAAGATTTAGTAAGGATCGAGTTGAATTGTTGCTACAATGAAGTTCGTAGTTGGATTGAGCTCTGCTTGGCGTTTCCTTGAGGACCTCCTCCCATTCTACTTGAATGTCCCAGGCTTCTTACCAGCCAAAAAGGGAGAAATTTTGACATAATTGTCAAAGGTCGGAGATCGACAATAAATCTAAATGTGCAAGCGTCGACAAGACCTTGTATCACCAGAAATGGGGCTTTCTGGTGACATAAATGCAATTCCCGGCTCTCACAAATAATGGTGCATATAGTGTTATGTGTTAAGTTGATCACGGTTATAGGAAATTGTAGTTCGATTTTGTTGGCTATTATACTCGCATACCCTTAATGCTATGGAAACCAAAAAAACGATCTGCAAGCTTCATATCCTCCACGTTTGCCAGTATGCTGTCATTTAGGCTACTTGCAGTGTTTGGTTCACCCTCGATCCCCGCTCGAATGTCCCCCACCAAGATAAGCAAAAAAAAAAATCAGCAACTCCCCCCACCCGTTAATCAATTAGAGATTTCTGGATGATGCGTCGTAGGCCAGCAGATATGGGAATGGGTCGGCGAAATAGACCCAATATTGTTATTTAAGCAGGGGTTAAGCCAAAGCATAAGAGATGTTCTTGTTTTACATTTGAAGAAGCTTCATTGTTCTGCGACTGAGATCAGCAAGTATGGTAGCACAGAAAATTTCGTGGGAGTCCATTCAGGGGAAAGAGCATCCTACTTTGTCGTTAGCGTATGTCAGCAACGGCCACGTCTTTACCTCAGGAATCATCGGCTCCAACTACGGAACCGGTGAAACGCCAGAGAAAGTAGAAGATCAAGTGCACTTGGCCCTCAAAAATTTGAGTGATACCCTAGCTGCAGCTGGCGCTTCCCTGGACAAAGTATTCAAAGTCACAATGTTTATATCTCACGCGGACTATTCCAAGAGTGTCAACGAGATATATGCTACATATTTCCCTCAAAAGCCAGCACGGAGCTGCGTTATAGTTGCCTTCATGGACGCTGCTATAAAGTATGAGATTGAAGCCATAGCCACGTTAGATTAAATAAGTTTAACAGCTTTTGATTATCAGGATAAGAAGAACTAATAAATACCTGCTTTCCAAAAACAGATATCACCTTAGCGTTTTTAATAATCTTTTTATAATGGTGAAAAAATTTGAGATAACGTAAGTGTAGGTGTCTGTTCGCTGCTTGAGAAAAATCCGAGAATTAGATGTCAGTAGGTAAAAGCGGCTTGGATAAGTAGAACATAAAATAAAATAAGCCATAATTGGTTAAAAACATCTAAACAATATAGTCGAAATTAGTACATCCATCTATAATTGGGATTGTCGGGGCCTTCCGCAAGCTCTGACGTTGGGACGTCCTTATAGGTCAGGGAGACGCCTTGCCTCCTGTTTCTGCGACGATTATCAAAAATCATGAAAGCGAGAATTCCGGCTATTAGCAGTATAGCGGCACCACCGAAACCAGCAGTGATACCGAGAGCGGGCAAATATTTTGGTGCATCTTTTGCCCTAAAAATATTTGTGGAAATTAAGCCAGCTGCATTGGCCAAAGGTACACCAATAGCAGAAATAACAACACGCCGATTCTCATTTGGAGTATTGTTGTTATACCAAGTGGATGTCAAAACAGAAGAAACAGAAGCTCCGGTGGTCATCAGGAAGCAACTAAAATAAGCGGCGCCCAGATGAGATTTCGTGTCAATACATCCGAAGACGACAAAACCGACTAAGGTAACTGCAACACCAATCATGATGAACACTGACCGAACGCGCGTGTAATCAGAGCAAAAGCATAGAAAAATAAGAGCAACTGCTCCCCAAACATTTGGAGCGACTGTGTAAAGATTTGTTTGAACGGTTCCCTTGCCTAAAGACTGAACAATTTGAGGAAACCAGTTATTGATCGAGTTTAGCGGCACACCGATCACGATTTCTTGTAACATCCAAGCAATGGCAACAGGATGCTTAAAAACTTTTACAGCATCTTTAAAAGATACGCTTCCAACGGATTTTGCTGATGAATCAGTTTCAATACGCCATCTTGCACAGTCTTTTTCCCGCTGATTTAGAAAGTGGGAGTTTTCGGGGCACCTTGGTAAATACAGGAATGCAACTAAAGCAAACACAACAGTCGCACCACCCTCAATCAAAAACAAAATTTTCCAACCCTGCAATTTGCTGTTCTTGATTTGAAAAACTCCAAACGCCAGCAAGCCCGAAAAGGCGTTTGCAATGTTGGCAGCAGCGTAAAAAATGGAAAGTCTTCTGGCAAGCTCATGCCGCCGATAAAAAGTACTCAAATAGTAGATAATACCAGGCAAAAAGGCCGATTCACAGATACCGAGAAACCACCGGGCCGCCATCAGAGAGCCATAATCAAAAGCTGTGGCACTTAACATAGAAATGGAACCAAACGTAAACATAAGGATCGGAATCACGTTGGCGGCATTGAATCTTCTGATTACCAAAGACAACGGAAACGCGAAGAGAACAAACGGAATGTAGAAGATGGACAACATGTTGTTCCATTGTTGTCCCACAATACCCAAATCTTTGTCAATATGATTGGTCTTGGCGTTAGAGATATTCCCCTTGTCCAAGGCGTTGAATAAATACATGATGGCTATCATGGGAAGAATCCTCAGATCAAATTTCCAGCAGATTGTTTTTTCAAGAGTACCGTCGAATAACTTCCCATCCTCGCTCAAAAATACTTCTCCATTAGAGATGCTACCTTCCTCGGAGATAGTGCGCCCACCATCCAAGTCAGTTACTTGAATTTTAGACTCAGGCTTTTTTAACATTCTTCTGGACAATCTTCCACGCTTTTAGTTATTTAGTGTAGGAGCAATAAGAAGGGACATTGATTTCAAAAATGAAGCGAAGATCAGTATTTATAAACTGTTGTTTTCCTTCAAATGACAAACACATTGACCAAGTTTGTTTCGTGAGAGATAACTCGATTTCTATCAAACCAAACTATCTTATCTTGAAAACCCCCACCATGATGATAATCGTATCCAACACAATCGCAACGTGATATTGGGCTCCCCCCACTCCCGATCCTATATCATATCTCCAAATCGTCAGCTACGGCTTAGGCCCCCCACCTAGCTATTTTATCAAAAGATTAGTGCCATTTTAGCGCGAAGGATGATTTAGAGGGACATTATCAGTTTGATAGGGCTTGGTAGAGAGAATTGATTTTCCGGGCGAAACTTCAAGCAATTCTGAGATCTGTTCACATTTTTGTGCCCTTTTTGTTTTCTATACTTTCAAAGGTCTCCATCTAGCTTACCCCGAAAATGTGAGTGATCTTTTTAATATTACAATTTCGATGACGGACTTCATTTTAAACATGGTTACACGAAGAAGCCTTTGCCGCCAAGTTTGATATTTATATTTGTCAAGGCATCTTTTAGAACAAGTGACGGAGATGACTGATGGGAAAAGGAAAAGAGGCTCTGGCCCCTTTCAGTGCCCTTACTCAGGATGTCTGAAGGTTTTCTCCAGGTCCGATCACCTGAACAGGCACAGGGCCAATCACTCCACTCAGAAGCTGAGGTGCGAATGGCCAGGATGTGGAAGACTATTCGCCCGTTTAGACGTCAAGAGGAAGCACGAAAATCGACATGTTACAAGGCAAAACAACTTTGTATCAGAAAGGTACGATTCGTCATCAAATAATAGAAGTGTGAAAGAAGCCACTCATTTACAAGCTGAAATACAGGTGAATATGTTGGGGGATGAATCTTCTGATGCAAATTTTGAGGACTTAGAAACATCAAGCGAGAAACTCGCGAACAAAGAAGTGGAAAGGGTTTTGATAGAGAAGGAAAGTAGAACAGTAGAAGATGATGCTGTTCCAATCTCAGAGGAACTTCAAACGAAAATGAGGACAACTCACCATTATCCGAGTGCCTTCACACCTACTCAAACGATTCGAAAAACGCAAGGTGAGAACACAGCGCTGGAGAACACAGCTTCCGACAAAAACTCTAAGAACATAAATCTCGACCCATTTCTCCCCATTCAGTGGCTACTCAACGAACCCATAAACGTGTCGCCTATCAGCGGCCGATTTTCCAATCAGCCCGAGAATGGGGCCTTTCATGCTTCCTTCGATGATCCGCTAGGTACCTCTACTCTAGCAATGCTAGAAGAAATCTTTGCTTTGACGCCGGAATTTCCCGCTGCGGATAGTCAAACTAAGCTGGACGAGGGGTTACTATTGAAAATGACACAATATATACCTGAGCTGGAAAGGCACCCCGATTTCAATATCTCAAGTCTGGAGTGGTTTTTGGAAGTGTACTGGCTCCTATATCATCGCCAGTATCCAATACTTCACAAACCATCTTTTTCCACGCATGAAGCTCAGCCGCTGCTCCTCTTGAGTATCATAACCATAGGAGCTGCTTTTGCAAAAAAAACAACGACAAATCAAAACGTTCGGCTTGTCGATCCTGACGGCCTTGCAGATCTGATAGCAGATCCTCTACGATGGCTTATCTTTGCAAGTGAGCAGGCCAAGCCTCCTTGTAAAGCGTGGGTAATTCAAAGTTTGGTAATTTTAGAGACTTTCGAAATTACAAGCACCTCACGATACTTACACGAACGAGCATGCATCTACAACGGAGCCAAAATCCAGCTCTTGAGAAGAAGCCCCATTCTTGGTGGAGACCCTTTTAAGTCAGTAGGATCAGACGTCAGCCGATCTAAAGACCTTTGGGGTACTTGGATAGAGAGTGAGTCAATGAAGAGGGTTGCCTTGATGTCTTTTTACATCGACAGTGTCCACGCCATCGTTTATGGACATCCCCTTAATTTTTTTGCTAGTCAAATAAAGCTGTCTCTTCCTTGTCCAGACGACCTTTGGGAATATAATGACTTTGACAGACATAAGGCCCCTTTATCTGTTGCTCAGACTCCTTTATTCTGTGATGGCCTTCAAAAGCTCTTGTGCAAGGAGACAGTTGAGGTAGGCCCCTTTGGTAGACAAATCCTGTTAGCAGGGCTGATTAATTTACTTCTTCAGATTGAACAAAACATATCTCAATGGTCTAATTTCGGAAGGAGTTCCATTCAAGAATCTTGGCGAGAGACGATATCGTCAGCAATTAATTTCTGGAAAACGGAACTTCCTTTGGGTGATTGTTGCTTGACATCGTCGAGCATATTTCCGTGCGACGCTGACTCTCAATCACACTCGTTGCTGCCTCCGTTTCTGAGGGCTGAAGATACAAGATGTAGCTGCCCAGTTTATCACGCCGTTCAGATCTATATGAGAATTGCTCATTACGACTATATCGTATATGCTGGTGCTCCAAAGAGAATGAATGTTCCAATTCTGGAAGAAGATTACGAGGTAGTGGTCAAAAGAATCGGAAGGTGGGCTGCATCACCGGCTGGACCATTGTGCGTGATTGAGTCTATAATACTCTTGTGTGAGATCTTATTATCCCCCGAGGATTCACCGGAAGCGCTCAGTTACTTCTACGAACCTGACAAAGACCCTTTTATTTATAGGCCGAATGCAGTAATGTCTGCAACTCTTTCACTTTGGGCCTATGCTTTTTATTCCCTCGGACCAGAGTCTTCGTTCGGTGCCACAACGTACCAACTTCAAATAAATGAAGGTTACGCTCCCGCAATGGAGGACGCGTCAACCTATCTCAGCCGAATACGCCATCAATTCAAGATTGCAACTGGGAAGTCCTTCGCGGATTTAAAGTGCATGAATGCTAATGATCATGTCGTTGCAATCAAAGAATATTACGTCGAATTCCCGAAGATAGATAACTTGCATTATTTAGTGGGTTTACTGACTTCCTTGAGAAAGGGCTACGCCAAATGCCGGTGGCACGTAGGGAGAGAGTATTCAAGACTCTTAGATAATTGCATCAAACGAAGTTTAGGGAGCAAAACAGTTTTTTGCAGCGACATGTATAACGTAATTGACTAAACACACTTCCCTCACCTATCTTGCTTGAAAAATTCTGGTACTCTGCAATCCGTCCAGCCTTTCGACTAAATTTTGATCTACTGCTGCCTCATTTATGTAGAAATCTTGAAACGTATGTCGTATGCTCTGTTCCCAAACTCTTGCAAATGTTTTTCACCATCCTCTCCAAGGAACCCAAATGTCAACCACGGTGTTTCCGTTATCAACCACAAAGTACCACGGATAAGAAGCAGCAGTAATGCAACTATGCTGCGGGACAATTTTAACCTTAGTACCGAGTGGTATCAATTCTGTTGCCTTTTCTTCGAGGGGTGTCAAAATGCCATGCTCTTGACTTAATCTACCAACTATCCAGTTTTCATATCCCTTCGGGGAATATATCCGACCATGCCCAGGCAAAGGACCAAATTCTCGAGCCAGAGCAATCACCCCAGCGTTAATCAGCTGTTCGCCAGGCAATTTTGTACCTCTCCCTGGATATGAGGAGATTACTTCCGCAAGAACCTTACAGGAAACCTGTTCGGGGCCGATACAACCAGTGCTCATTTGCTGGAGATCGCAAAACGGATAATTTCCCGCGTGAAGCTCTAATTTGCCATATAACTGTCCCAAAGTGGATAAGTCGACCACCTTCGAGGCATGGGCAGTTGGCGTTGCCCCAACTGAAAGCTGAAGTTTTAAAGACGAATCGATTTTGAGTGCCTTCTCACAAGCAGAGTTACCGCTAGTAATTTCATCTAAGAGAAATGATTTTGCTTGATTTACGTTTGATGAAGAGTATGAGTGGCCCGCATGGCAATAGAATCCATACAATGAAACTTGGTCTTTAATTGACGTCGTCAGTAAATATTCAAGAGTTTCATCCAAGAACGCATCATCTTCAAACCCTGCCCTGTTTGTGCCCATATTAATTTTAATGAACACTGACCATTTCTTGTCAATTTTATTCTTTTTGCTGAATTCTGAAAGAACGTCCAGCTGGTCTTTATTATCGAGCATCAATCTTAAATGGGTAACGTGAGTGCTAAGTTCAGCCAGTTCTGGGAGTCTACTTTTTAGCACAGGTAAGCTGAAAAGAACATCGTCAATCAGACCCTTTTCAATGAGTGGTAGTAAGCCCCAAGCTTCCATCAACGTCGAGACGACAATCTTTTTAGTTGTTAAATTCTTCGAGCCCAATTGAAGTAATGTCCCCTCCATCGTTTTATGAGTCTTTACATGTGCACGAAAATCAGCGTTAATGAGACTCGCATTAAGAAGCATTTTTTCACAATTGCCTTTGAAAACACTTCTGTCGACAATTAGTGAGGGTGTTGGTAAATTGCTAAGCTCTTTGTGAAGGTAGGTCTTTACCAATTCTGTTTTATCTGATCGAGCGGTAAACGTGTAAGGATATGCCATGATTAGTTCTGGTTTCGTTCCTCGCCTTCCATGTGTAGGATTGCGTACCGCGCAGTTTTCGCTTTTATAACTTGGCTGGCTCAAAAAACGTACTTCCATTAAGGAAGTGTTTTCCTGCACATCGCGATCGGGTCTCGACCCGTGATTTCGATAGATAAGAAAAGATCCCCCACTCCCCCCACCAAAGGATATCTCAACTTTTCGGAACCTAATCAAAAGCATCAAGGCCAAGACTGTTGTAATGGTGGATTTATATTTAAAAAGTCTGATGTGCAGAATGCAAGGCGATTCCCTGCTTTTTGTGATAAAACCTACCAATCAAACAAAACCTGATTAACTATGTCAATTTACGATACTATATTGAACGATGACTACAGCTGGCCCGAGGAGTTCGGTGAAGTCCCTTTAAAACTCGATTCCTCTATAATCAAGAAACTAGATCCAGAATATGTCGCTTTTTTCGATGAAATTTTGTGCCAAAGGCCCGACATCTTAGAAACTCACAAATTTCCGGTTGCCAAAACAAAAGCCGGTGGTAATGTCATTCCTGGCCAAGCACCAGCGATGAAGGTTGCCAAGACCTTTGATTTCAAAATTCCTAGGAAGTATACCTCAGGCGAAAGCCCAATTGATGCCAGAGTTTTCGTCCCGACGGGAGAGAAGCCGGCGTCGGGTTGGCCATGTACCGTGTGGTATCACGGAGGTGGTTGGGTTCTCGGCAATATTTCGACTGAGAACTCGTATTGTACTCATCTTGCAGAACTTGCCAAATGTATTGTGATTACCATTGACTATAGGCTTGCTCCCGAATTTCCTTTCCCAGCCTGTGTAAATGATGCCTTTGAGGCTCTTTTGTACGTGATGGAGAACGCGGCAGATATGGATATTGATAACACCAGGGTGTGTCCCGCCGGGTCTTCAGCAGGTGGTAACCTGGCTGCTACAATGACACACAAATATGCCACGTCCTCATTTGCCAAACATCTTCCTCCGCTCAGATTTCAGATGATGATTGTTCCCGTTACGGACAACACGGCAACAGATAAAACGATGATTTCGTGGAAAGAAAATGAGAAGACTCCGCAGCTTCCTGCTACTAAAATGCTATGGTATAGAAAGATTTATTTGCCCGAAGCTGGTACTACTTTAAGCGACCCTGAATCAAGCCCTTTATTTTATCCAAATGAGAGCTTTAAAAATGTTCCACCTGCTTTTATTGCAGCAGCTGAGTGTGATGTTTTAAGATCGGAGGCTGAAGCATATCATGACAAGCTGAAAAGTAATGGAATCGCGAGTGAGATTGTTATATATAAGGGTGTTCCGCACACTGCGATGGTTATGAATGAGAGACTGACACAAGGTGCAAATTTGGTTAGAGATACCATCGAAAGTGTAAGAGCTGCATTTTACAGATAAATTTGATGATGTAACCGAAGATTTTGTTTAACAGACAAACCGGTAATAATCAACTAACGTTTCAGAAATTTCTTTGTTGTGGTCACGATTGCGAGCTAATACATCTTATTCATTCAAAAAAAAGAGAACAAGTAATATGCAGCCTCAGCACTCTCTCGTGGAACTGCTTTGCAAACATTATGTAAAAATGTCAGAATTTTCTTGAAGGTTTTTTCTTGCCATACAAACAAAATGTCTTACTTTTCAATACTAGAGAGCACTGATATCTATCATCTGAATTGTATTTTACGGAAATCATGCCAGAACTATCATCCCACTTTGCACGATCTTTCCTTTCTAAGAGTTACATATGAATTTCTGTTCTATCATTCCATGACAGCACGCCAACTGACCCAGATCATATCAAGCGAGCGCTATCCGATATGGAAAGCTGGGCCGACCGAAACTCTTTTCGGTGGGGGGCGGGTATGCTCGACACTCCCCCCACCGATCTCATCAAAGAATTTTGATAAGGTAACAGAAAAAAGACAAAGTTGCAACTTCTACTCATGATGCCAGGACACTACTTGCTTGACGCTGGACTAGACATTCAGATGTTTGTCCAAATAAAAATGCGCAGTAATGACCCAGTTAATCGCCAAAACTGAAATGTCATACTAAGCCAGTTAGTCCTCCGCTGAAAGCCAAGGCACCACTATAATGTCGAGCGCTAATGCTTCCGCGACCAGCAAACAAGCCGATGATCGGGATTTCGGTGTTTTGGACAGAAACAGCTTATCATCCGAGGATTTGCGTCTCGAAAATAACCCGTCGAAAGCTTCTTTCATTGATCAAGATCACTCGAACAGCCGACCACAAGAAACGGCACAGATGAGTTCCATGTTCGTCGCCAAATGCATCGTTAAAGGAGAGACTGAAAAAGCTCTGCCAACAACCTTCGAGGTGTGTAAAGAGCACGATATTGACACTACCAACGTGACATTCTGCTACTCGGCTGATGACATCTCTAACTCCCCGCACAATTCCTATGAGGACCTTAAAGCTCCTTTAGAAGGAGGGTACGGATGGGTGTGTTGCGTGTGCGTTACCTTAATTATGTTTTCAACTTGGGGTGCAAACTCTGCATTTGGGGTCTTTTTGGCCTACTTTTTCAATAATGGGGTGTTTCTCCACGCTACGAAGTTCGATTATGCACTTATTGCCGGAATGACGGTAGCTTTTGGACAAGGTTTGGCTCCATTGGCTATGGTTTTAACCAGAATTCTGGGTTGCAAAATGCCCATGTATGCTGGAATTGTGGTGTTGTTTCTCGGGTTTTTTTTGGCTTCGTTTGCAACAAAACTATGGCACTTGTACGTTACTCAAGGGGTACTTGTGGGAATTTCGATTGCCTTACTTTATGCACCAGCCACAACTATCATACCAGGATGGTTTTTCAAGAAGCGATCTTTGGCGATTGGTGTATCGCTGATGGGAACTGGCGCTGGAGGCGTCACTTATTCCTTAGCCGTCAACAAACTCATAGGAGAGACGGGCCATCATTATTGGGCACTACGTATGATGGCGATTGTATGTAGCATCACCCTCGTCGTTTCGGTAACTTTGCTTAAAGAAAGAAATCCCTCAACTCCCACCGGGTTGAGTTCTCTGTCAAAAGTAAGGCAGCAGTTCGAGATTGTTTATTCCTTACAGGTTTCTAAGATGCCTAACGTTCTTCTGCTTGCCGTGTGGTTTGCTTTTGCTTTATTTGCCTACAACCTGATGATTTTCACCTTATCACCATATGGTGTTGCCAAAGGTCTGAACTCAAAACAGGCCTCACTTTTAACTACCAGCTTGAATGCTTCGCAGTGTTTGGGTCGACCAGTCATGGGGTTTTTGGGAGACAGGATAGGGAAGCTAAATGTTACGGTAATTTTGACAACGTGCTTGACTGTTTTCATGTTCGCCTTTTGGTTAAACTGTCACAGTTTCCTGCAGCTTCTGTTTTTCTCGATATGCGTGGGTTCGTGTGTGGGAGTAGCGAATGTCATGAGCACGGTTCTAGTTGCAGATATGGTCAATGTGGATTATTTCCTGCCTGCATGGAGTTTAGTCAATGCAGCTGGCGCTCCTTTCCTACTCGTTTGTGAAGTCGTTGCACAAGCACTCGTCGTTGAGAGACCCACCCAAAATCCGTACTTGCATACGCAGGTCTTTGCTGGGCTTTGTTTCTCAGCTGCTTTGTTGCTTATCATGCTCCTACGAGAATTCAAGGTTCGGAAAGTTCTACAAGAAGGTCTCAAAACTACAGAGTTTGAAATAGAGGACTGTTTAAAAGGTGCAAGAGGTGACCGAAATCTCGAATTGAAAAATTTCGTTGAAGAGCAGGAATTGTTAGGAAACCTGCTAACTAGAGGAGCAAAGGGGTTTTTACGTAGAATGTTTTATCCCGTGAAGGTTTGAAAAGATTTCTGTTAAAGTTGACCGGCATAAGCAGTTGAAAGGTTCCTAAATTGTAGATTTCCTTCTTTCTTAAATTTCTCGAATGTAAACTTGTCGCGCGTTGAGCTGATATATCACCAACACTATCATGACAAATAAAGCACTCTCAAGCTGGCCTTATCGTCTACTTCTTTAGAACCATGTAATAGCATTTCAACTTATCGTCTTTTACCCGCGATGAGATAGGTGGTGGAAAATAGACATTCAACCCCATTTATCGTACACCGGTGGCATGATTTGGGTAATGTAGTGATCTTGTGGCCGTCACTTGGTTCGCTTAGACTACTAGAGGCTCCTAGTGATTTGGGTGCAAATCATACCTCCCCTGTCCTTATTTTATTCTGGCATTGTGATCACATGACAATATCTAATGATTTTCAACTTAAAAATATCACCTAATCATGGAATCCTTCCAACTGTAATACGAAATAAAGTTCCATTGTCTTCTATGGATGCTCAATCAATTTTGTGCAACAAGGGCACCTGGCGGATCTAGATCTAGACCAGCCTAACTTTCTCCTAATATGTCCGAGGATTTTGTTAAAATCGATTTTGGCAATGCTGCTTACGAAGAGTTTGGTGTGGACAGCCATAGGCTTTCATAGTTGCCGTAAAAACGCTATCATGAGCAGAATAAATCTATAGAGCCGTAACTTTCAACTAGGCTGGCGATCAAGTTGGTAACGCTTCTGCCGACGACATCAAACACGGCGATTTTAGCGCAACACACTACTTGTCTGGACCACTTTTCGTGGAAGACTGCGAGCTAGGTAGTGACTTGAAGGGCAATATTAAGGAGGTAAACCTCCCAAAAGTTAGCCTTGAAGAAACGCTAGAGTCTTTGCCGAAGTAAACGGCGGTGGATTTCTTGTCAAACACAATTCAGAGGCTGCAAGGGCCGTGTTAAACTTCTAAAATATATGTACCACTTCCCGTCACATTCCTGGTGTCAAGTTCCCAGGTATACACAACTCGGGCATTATTGGCGTTCTATCAAGTCATGAAGTGCTAGTACAGGAACTTTAGTAAAGTTACTCTCCCTCAAATTCACTTCCACGCGATATTTGTAACGGACATCTGCCAAACGAACACATTGTCTAATCCCGTAAACGTTTCATCAGGAAACAGCAAGCAGATGTGGGTGTTACTTCGAGGCGTTCCGAAATCCCTCGTAAATGTGGCATCAACGCTCTAACCAGGGGATCCACAATTCATCTGCCAACGTGTCTGCTTGGAGTATATTCTCGATTTGAGATCTCGACTTGGAACTTCCACGATTAATTTTAACAGACAAGGAAAGACAACTCCACAAGCGGAAAATGCCGGAACTACAGCTTAATAAAATGTCTGACCAGTTAGCTTCCTACAGCATCGAACAACTTAGCAGTGGCTGAATAGCAGAAGCTACATTCGGAAGCTATTGTCGTAATTTGAAAACGGTCAAGTCTGGACTTTATATAGCTGCCTTGGAAACTCGAAAACAACACCAAAAACGGAGTTATAAGAAGATCGTCGATAAGAAACGATAATCTCTACCTTATTTGTAAACATAATCTGAACCAGGTTCGGACTTATGTCATCATATGCGCGGCGATCTGATGGAAATGTTGTTTATTTTCACGGATATACACGGACATGAAATAAGAAAAAAATATATAATATCCGCTCTGTTGCGTGGATCAGCGGATCTACGAACTGGTGCAAGAATCTAAACCAAATTTGGGGTTATAAAAGTCGCTGATGGTCCGCCGCAAAGAAATGCTTTAGGCAGATTTCAACTTTGCTCAAAGAGCTATTCAACGCCTCTTCCAGTCAGCACGAATTATCTGTTTTTCGATCATGGGCAGAAGTTTAATCTTGGCCCCAACGGAAACAAGCTGTACCGGTCCTCACGAGGAAGAATCTGGGAGTGTCAAAGAAAATATTAGAAGCGGGATATCTCAGAGATCAAAGGAAGATAGCTTAGAAGAAAAAAGATCAAAACCACACGACGGAAATATTGAAAATGAACAGCCCGAGAAGGCAATTGCTCCTTTGACGGGCGTCCGATTCTACGTCTGCTTTGGTTCGTTGGCGCTGTCACTTTTTTTGGCTGCTTTGGATATTTTGATTGTAGGAACGATTATGGAAACCGTCGCTGCCAAATTTAACGGGTACAGTCTGACCGGGTGGCTTGTCACCGGTTATAACCTGCCTAATGCGCTTTTGAGTCTACTATGGGGCCGCTTGGCAACAGTGTGGGGCTTCAAAGCTTCTATGCTTTTGTCAATTGTGGTGTTTGAAATAGGGTCCCTGGTAGCCGCTCTAGCCAAATCTATGAACATGTTAATCGCGGGAAGAGTTGTCGCGGGCTTTGGCGGTAGTGGGATCCAAACTTTGTGCTTTATTATCCTCTCAACATTGGTTACTGATCGAACGAGAGGCACTGCGGTATCCATACTGAGCTGCGCTTTTGCTGTTGCTTCGATTGTGGGCCCCTTTTTAGGTGGAGCCTTTGCTACACATGTTACGTGGAGATGGTGTTTCTATATCAATTTGCCAATAGGAGGGTTGGCCTTTGTTGTTTTCCTGCTCTCCTACAATCCTGATCGCGAAAACACTTACGAGAATTTCAAAATCTTGATGAACAGGGTGAGAAGAGCTCCGTATAACGAAGTGCTGAAGCCCAGTTTCTACTTCAAGCTGTATCGAGCCGTGGTCTTCAAGTTTGATTTCATCGAGTTTGCCCTTTGTTCTGCTGGCTTCACACTCATTCTGCTCGGACTAACTTTTGGAGGAAACAGATACAGCTGGAGTTCCGGGTCCATTATTGCTTATTTTGTTGTTGGCATTCTGCTTGTAATAGCCAGTCTGATTTACGACTTTGTCGTATTTGATAGGATTAAACCCAATACAGAACATATCCCATACATGCCGCTACTTTCATGGAGGGTCATCTCGAAACCGGGCGTCCTTATCCCTAACATTGCCACCTTCTGCACATGTTTTGCTTACAACTGTCAGATTGTCTACATCGTCCAGTACTTCCAGCTCGTTTGGGGAGACTCACCCTGGAAAGCCAGTGTCCACTTAATTGCTCCGGTAATTGCCACTGTTATATCATTAGTGTTTTGTGGGGCTATACTTAAGAATACAGGTCAAGTTAAAGCTGTTTTGGTTCTCGGAGGGATAATTGGTGCTGTGGGCTCAGGAATCTTAACCTTACTCAGTCCAAACTCTAACAATTCTGCTAAAATTGGCCTGCTCATTCTACCGGGTGTGTCTTTTGGTTGCATTCAAAATGGTGCTATGCTGAGTTCACAGATCCAAATTCCTAAAGACCATCCTCTTTTTAAGTTTGATTTTATCTCAGTGACTACCTTCAACGCTTTCACAAAGATGTTGGGCACAGCATTCGGCGGAATTCTATCGAACACGGTCTTTACGACCTCAGTGCATAATCAACTCTCCAAAATTCAACCGCCTTCAGCTCATAGCAGCTCTGTTGACGAACTCATCAGTTACTGGTATACAAATTATGGTGGGAGAGACTCGAAGGAAGTACACATCTTTATGAAAGCCATAAAAGATGTTTTTTGGATGGGCCTCGGGCTTGCGGCCTTGGCCACAATCGCATGTATATTTTCCTCAAACAAAACATTAGGGTCCAAAAAACCTGTGCCTGACTCCGAAACCAATGAGAAATAGCACCTAGCAAGTTAGTTTGAGGAAAGTAAACAGCAATCGCTTGGTGGAAATCTGTGAATAATGTGCCCGACGGTTATAGTCATGAATGGAGTAGGGTTTTTTTCCAAAATTACATAAAATAGAGCATATAGTAACTATTACGGAATTGTACCATTGGACTACAATTAATGAATTTCCTTGAGTTTTCTTATCCAGGCATTATGTTTTTTGTTAACCTCGCATCCTTAACCGTGGCTCGCGAAGATGAGATGAGAGGAGCGCTGTCGTTAAACTATCAACCCAACAGTAGGGGGCTCTCAATCTCTGATATCGCGTCTTTTTTCTGGTAATAAGTCTGGGAAGGGACTTGGTTATCTCATGGAATAGTAGAATAATTTGGTACTTTGAAGCGTCTATGTTTTCTTAACCGTAAGTTGATGGAAAGGCAGCCAAGAATATTACACAAGACGAACAACTCAAATTAAAAGCTTGATATGTGTATGAATTTTCGTTACAGTTGCTCCTCACACGGAGAGGTTGGTGAGATTCGAAGATGCCTATCGTCAAAAAAAAAAACCACATAGGGCTGTGAATAGCTGTAAGAGGACATAGTAGAAGAGCCAAGCTTTTGGCTTGGCTAGCGTATAGGCAAAGGGTTAAATTCGCCCTCATTTTAAACAGCTTGGTTTTTGATGCGCGAATAATGAAGCTAACTGAGCCTGACGCAGATTTGGCTTAGTGTCCAAGTCAATTGTCCAATAGCTCACTCTTAGACTTGGTATACTATTTGTAATATAGTGCGGGAGGTTGTAGGCTTGCTGTCGCAATTTCTTGTCCTCACTGTAGCCCTTACGGCATGAGCTTACAACTTGAGTCGTCATAAATATATTTGTGTTCCTATAGTTCCGTTAGTTAAAGGATACGTATCAAGAGTTCGTTCTCATAATATAATCTTGCGGCAGAGCATACAAACACCCACCGTTTAACATTCCAACTTCCGAATCAACGTGCAGCCATACCGCCGGAAGCGTACAATGTCTGGCCGGTAATCCAAGTTCCACCAGATGCCAGAAACAAAATGATTGGAACTATATCTTCGATCTTTGTCAACCTGTGATCAAATACAACAGACTTGTAGAACTCAACGGCCTCAGGCTCTTCCTGAGAATAGAAAAATGGGGTATCCATCGGACCAGGTGCAACACAGTTAACAGAAATACGCTTCCCAATCAGCTCCTTGGATGCACTTTTTGAATAATACTCGACGGCGCTTTTAGTTCCCTGGTAAACAGCGTAAAGTGGAGTGTAAGCGGCCAGCAAGGAAGTAACCAGCGATATAATGCTGCCACCGGGGCTGACGTGCTTGGCAGCTTGGGCAATGAAAAAAAATGCAATTTTGTTGTTGACGAGGTCCATTTCGTCAAATTCTTTCTCGGTTACTTCCGAAATAGGTTTCTTAAGAACCTTGCCAACATTATTGATGGCAACGTCAATTGAGCCGAACTTAGCTTTCGCCGCTTCGAATAGCTTGGCGACGTTTTCCGCCGACCCTAAGTTGCCCTGATAAAGCTCGACTTTTACGCCGTACTTGCTTGAAAGCTCTTGTGCTAGTTTCTCTTCATCTCCTTGCACTGAATTGTAGTGCAAAAACAGATTTGCCTTGTTTTTCGAAGCAAGTTCAATAGCAGTGAGTTTTCCAAGGTTCTTGGTACCACCAGTAATCAATGCAGTTTTCCCTTCCAAAGACATATTTGATTCAGTTCCCTATGCAGGTATTCTTATTCGGTGATCCGGTGACCGTCGAGGGTTCATGTCAATTTTGGCCCCCTTATGTATTTTCCAAGGGTGCAGGAAATCGCTCATTCCTTTACCCTCCTTTGGGCGCAATAGACAGCATAACATTGTAGAAAGCAACGCTCACATCCGCCTAAGGCCCGAGATTGAATTTAAGAATCGATATTAACCTCAGAGCGGGAATGGTCTCCAGACCAGCGAAGACAGGGTCATAAGACCAAGATGCTCTTCAAAGGCACTTGAGTAGTTACAATTGGATTTGCGGGCATCCGAGTACATGAATTAGAATTTGTGACATTTTTATGTCAAACACATTTGAAAGCCTCGTTTCTGATGAAAATTGTTGAAAGGACACGGAGTAGTGGAAAAACGTTTTCAGGCTTCTCCCTATCTTAGTGTCAAAAGATGGAAGGTTTCCATTGGAAGCCCCTTATCCTTCAGCTCTGCCTGAGCTCACTACTTAAGCTACTTGGAACAACTACGTCAAGGTACACGAGTAAACCCCTTTTAACCTGCGGCAAAAGCCACCCGAAAAACTAATTATACATGAACCTCCCTTCAGCGAATAGCTAGGGCGGCTACATCTACTTGATTTTCACGAAGTCTGGAGTGGAATTTACGGCTTCGTGTATGTCCGGTTTGAGCAATCCAGTGGACGTTACAATTGAACTCAGAGGCGAATTGTGTCGCGCGAGACCAAGAGGGAATTCAGGCTTAATGTGTATCTGAATATCCAAAAGTTCCCACCCTGAACTGCCACATCGCCTATAGAGATTAAGCTGAGTTTGAGACTAAAGGATGTAGTTTGTGCATCTCTAGTAAGAGCCTCGAATGAATAGTGTCATCGCCCTTATGTCGAAGATGTATCGATTTGCAGCTTCGCAGAATCCCTACTCCTTCTAGTCAATACTCTCAGTTCAGGGCACACGCGGGACCTTTCCCCTCCCTGTTAACGTTCAAGTATCGCATACTGGACTGCGTGGTCCCACCGAAAATGCAATGATATTATTCAAAACTCCGGCCTCAATGAATGACCGGTAAGATCACAAGGTACTCCCGTTTTACTCCGCGAAAATCAACTCTCAACGCTTCAGGCGAACACTCAAAAATGGTAGACCGCGGTGTAATCTGAGCGATTGAACTTTTAGTTCCTTAAGCGATTTTGTCCTGATTGCCTGTGATAAGCATATTCATGGATATATATCACTACACCTGCGTCTTTATGCACGCTTTTTTGAAGTTGGCTGCTCATATATGTCGAATGGAGTATGAAATAGCAGGCATGGAGCACTGTAAGCGGCTCGTTGCTTATTTTGTGAATGCAGCGAGGAGCTACTTCTGTTTTATACGGTGCCTTTTCAGAGTTCTGATCACTTTGCAGCATGGCTATCTTTGCGACTTGTGAATGGAACCCATATGTAAGGAAGAGCGCTTTGAGAACACTGGGTTTCCGTTGAATATTTTGTTTTGTAGTTCCATTACGGGCTGTCGATTGCCCATGCTCTACTCATTGTGAGCCCTGTGCAAGGAGTTAACCTTCAGTGTAACCCACTTATTCCTTGACTGTGGCTCTCCCTATGATAGAATATATAAGTACGACGGAAAGTTCTTCATTACCTCTGCTGAAAGGGCCCAGTTTATGCTAACAAGGGCTCTTTAGGATTTATCGGTTTCGTCAAATCTGGGGCTGTTATCGTATGACATGCAGGCACGACTTGGTGGTAAATTTTACTCAGGAATCTAAGAAGCACATTAGATAGATTAGTCTTCCGCTTCCGAAGCAGAGTAAAAAAGGTATAAATTCGAGCATTCTGACCTACCATTCAAGCGCCAACTCGCAAAGTTATTGAGTACGATGGAACCATTCCTACACGCAGTAGAAAGTATACTTTCGATGTTAGTCAGAACTTTGAAGCACAACCGCGGTGTCCAACTCGGAGTTTTGGGTGTTATTTCGGCTTCCGCCTACAGTTTTTGTACAAGTTCTCTCAAAAGTGAAGCTGTCACCTTAAAGTCAAAAACTTTTCAGGGGCCAGGATTGTTCTCATGGAGGACTCTTATCCTCAAGAATATACAGGATGTAACACATGATACACGCAAGTTTACCTTTAGCTTGCCTTCGCCTAATGATATTTCTGGTTTGGAGCTGGCCTCGTTTCTGCTTTTCAAGCCCATTGATTCTATGAATCCAAGTTGCATAAGGCCTTACACTCCTATCAGCTCTTTAAACAATGAGGGGGAATTGGAACTAGTTGTGAAGCATTATCCCAAGGGAAAAATGTCATCTCACTTGTTTAGCTTACAGGAGGGCGACAAAGTTTCAGCAACTGGACCTATCAAAACCTTTGAATGGAAAGAGAATCAAAAGAACAGTGTTCTATTGCTAGGTGCTGGTAGTGGGATTACTCCCATGTTTCAATTGATCCGTGGAATCCTGGAAAATCCGAAAGACAAAACAAAGATCAATCTGTTGTATGCAAATAAGACTCCATCCGATATTATTTTGAAAGTGGAGTTAGACGAGCTACATCGTAAATTTCCTGATCAATTTAACGTAACGTACTTCGTTGAAAGCTTAGAAAGCGGGTTTGAGGGAAAATCAGGGTTCATAACAAAAAAAGATTTGAAGCAATGTGATGAAAAGCAAAGTAGCCAAGTTTTCATCTGTGGTCCCCCCAAGTTCGTTGAAGTTTACACCGGAAGTAAAGGTCCATTGATGTTTCAAGGACAGTTGAGGGGTTATTTAAAAGAATTGGGCTATCAGAAAAGTAATGTGTTCAAATTCTAAGGTTCGTGCACGATTTTGCTGCCTAAGCATTACATCAAAATTAAATTACTGTTAACGCGCCTGAAAAGACTGTGACCAGTTATTCACTAAAATACATATTGAGGTTTATTTTTGTCAGTAGTTGATAAATTTCTAAGCTGCCCATTCAATTCGTTCACAGTTACTTTAGCTAGTAAATCTGATCAGGTGTTGAATACTTATATTGATGAGGTTTTTCCTTGTCGGAGGTTGATAGGTTTCTAAATTGTTCATTCAATTCGTTCATAATTGATCTAAATAATAAAGCGGATTAGGAATTGAGTACTTATATCTCTCCGTGGCTATCTTACAACCACGACCACTTACAATCCTGTTCATATCAGCTCCTTTTATACAATTTCTGTAACATTGATCCAAATTTGGAATCCGTTACTTTCTTCAATCTAGACGGTGAATTTTCATCATACGTCATTCATCATACCACATATGATCTGATTACAATGTTCTGATGATTCTAGAACTTTCAATGGACCAGTTTTAGCTTCTAGCTCTTTCGCGGAATGCCAATCCTTTGTCCAATCCTCTAATTTTATTCTGTCATATCGATCACGTGATGATGCAATTGGACGATATCATCTCCTCGCCAGCTCCTTCCAACAATGATATCCTGTCTCGCTATCTCCTTCTAACAGTTCTTGATGGCCAGGATACCCTACTTGTGTTCCGAATGCAAATATGAGCGTGGGTGTTCGGTGTGTGACAGCCTGAGGGTGCCGTTGTGCTGGAGGCGGCAGGGATCATGGTGGGTACAGGCAGCACAGGAAGAATGTCACGTGTGACGGCGAGACACGGGTGTACTCTAACCTGCGAAGGACCACGTTTCGGGGGCTCTGGGCAAGATGTGATGGTGTGTGTGACATTAGATACGCACACTGGTCAATAAATGGACGAAAAGAGGGGGGTTTGGTGTGAAATGGCCAGGGTGTAACTGCCTAACTTCGTGGGTGTCTGGGTGTTGGGATGTGGTTTGTGGTTTTCTACGTGGTGCTAGTGTAAGTGTGTGAGGGAGAGAGAGTATGGAGGAGGAGTGTGGAGGAGGAGTGTGGAGGAGGAGTGTGGAGGATGGAAGGTGAGGAGGAGTGTGGAGGAGGAATGTGGAGGAGGGAAGGTGGGGGAGAGAAGGTGTACTTGAATTTTGAAAGATAGGTGGTATTGTTTGTAGGAGTAAGGGCAGATGTGACGTTAGAAGTGATATAGAGTGGTAAG